GTATAACTTGGGACGAACGGTTTTTTTTTTCGAAATCCAGTGGAAGGGGCTAGGTATAGTATATTTTGTATTGAAACAAGTGTTGCGGGTCCCCCGAATGGGTAAAACGGTAGCTCACCATCGTTTTTTGTTGCACTACATTCGTACTTTAATTGTCGTACGACACAGACCGGGAAGTCGACCTGCCTTCAAGTCTGGAAGTCCAAGGTAAGTTAGACCCGTCCGCATGTTTCTTTTATTTTTTGTCTTAAAACTTGTACTAAATAGTGTTGTATGATTCGGGCGACCTGATTCCTTGAGCCTAGGGGACAAATTTGTTAATGTTACTTAAATCAATTTGTTCGTTCGGCTCGAGTCATGAGGACCGTCAAATATGACATACACGCTATAAATATTGTGTTTTCTTAAAAAAAAAATGTATTTCTATTTATCAAGACTTAGGTTTTATTAAATATTTTATTTATTCCCAAAGCTTTGTAGAAAATCTTAATTGTTTTAAATACCTACAGAAATATTTAATTGATAAAGATTTTTTTTGCAAGTTCTGTACAATTAAATATTTTAAATGAGTTTTTAATTTTATAAATTATATTTGTATCAATTTAATCAATTTAAGTATATAGAGATGTAATCGCGTATTTTCTTATGCCTTAGATAATTAAATAATATTAATTTTAAATGTTGAACTAAATACATCTAAATTTTGATTTATCTTTTTTATTTCAATATTATATAAATACCTTTATGTAAGAAGATAATATATCAAAATAACGCACTGACCATGACATAAAAAGTGTCACTTGAAATATTTAAAAAAAAAAATCCGACTACCAATTCAATTTTTAACCGCAATTACATTTCTGACAAAATAATATTTTAAGGTTATGAAATTATAACCAAATGTTGGGCAACAAAAAGCAAAGAAGATTAAACTTTTTTTTTTTTTGAGTGTCGCAATTAACCCTATATTATTATCGAACAATTATTTTATTAAACCAAAAGTTAATAGATTTTGATTTTCCACAAAACATTACTTATAATAGTAATATATAACATCAATGCGCTTTTTAAGATCACTTAAAATGGTTCACAGTACTTGATTATCTTTAAATAAATATCCATATAGTTGTAAAATTGGTAGTTTTTTAATTATCTATTAATAATGATAAACATTAGGATATGATACTGATTTGCTCACTCGCTGGCCGCTGCAATCCCAATAGTAGATATCAATGGCCATATATATAATGATATTATAGTTTCGGACAAAATGGTTAACGTTTTTGGCGTGTTTATTTTAAAATTTGAAATGTATGTATACTTCTACAATTATCATGAAGACAACTGCTTTACATGTATATTGTGTTTTAATGGGCGTGTAGACAAGAGGAAAGATTAGTTGAAATTGTTTATAGTTTCTTTTGGCTTAAAATGTATAATTTATTAGACTTTAACTTCACTTTTGAATTAAAACTAATGATATATCGCTCAATTATTGCAATATGTTTATTTATACCGATTCTCAAGCTTTGCGCGTGATTATAGTCTAGTTAATTAGTTAATTTATAATTATATTTATTAGGTACAATTAAATTAAGACTTAATAATAATATATAGTATATTTCATATACGGTACTTAACGTAATGTTGATTGCACGTGAAAACCAAGCCGACGTTTTGACAATCGTTTGCAAGACTTTTGGTCACACAATTTTCATCAGTTTACCCAAACCAAATGTCTCGTGTGTTGTTTTTATTTTTTGTCTTTTTCCGACCTTGTTATCGACACACGTGTAATTTTTCGAGATACGCATTCACTCAACTAAAAAAACACGCATAATACAATTGTAATTGTATTGAAACTCTGTGACAAGTCTCCGGTATCTTCGTCTTGTGGACTCGGCCAAGCGCTTCCCGGTCGACCGCACCACGCGTTTTTTTATAACCATACCGCTGACCAGTGACCACAAAATTGGTAACAAACACCACAGCTGCTGCTGCTGTTGCCGCCGCTGCGTCCAATGTACCTACCGGCTAATATTAGAGTACTCTAACACAATACGTGAGCAATGCCGGTTTAATTGAAAGTAAGTACAAAATGCCATAATAGTATTATAATTATGACCGTTTGATTAGCGTGCGGACGTTGTGAACGTGGAATTTTCGCTTATCGACTTATACACATATGTATATATATATATATACCTACCGTGTTAAGTGCATTGTGGAAAAACATGATAGGGTCATAAAAAAACGACCGTGGTCGGCCCCAAGTTTACGATCATCAAGTTTTCGACAATGTAAATAATTGTAATCCTTATCGGCGTGCGTTTCCCGTTTGTATCAGCATTTCGTTATGGTCAACATCCAATACCGACATGGGAAATGACTTTTTGATAACGCGCAGAGTACCCACCTGTAAGATTATTGTATTATGTAATTATTGTCGAGTCGATCGAATTTCAATGATAATAGATATGCGAGTAAACACAAAATGGACACAACCTGTTGCTATTCATTTTACATTTCGACCACTTGAATGTTTCATGTGAATATTTCGCAAATTCAATTCGTTTTCCGGTACTTTAATCACACGGGTTAACACTTGGATTATTACTTTTATCCTTATCATAATAGTTGTTGACGGATAAGGGATGTGATTGCTATTTTGGAGATAAAGCGGATCATCGTAATTTTGTTTATATCATATTTTATTGTTATAGTCTACCGTGTCAATTTGCTATTTAAATATTTTTAACAATAACCAAAATTTTCTACTTTTTTTTTGTGTTCCAATAAAAAAAAACTATAATAAACTCCACTCATTAATAATTCTGAAGTAAATTCTATATTTAGTAAAGAAATTAGAACAAAACAAATCTTTTTGAAATACATTTTAGACATTTATTCTACTGTGAACTTTAAGTACAAAACATGCTGAAAATACCACAAAACGGCGTAGTTTTACAACATTGGAGACGATTTTAAAAATAACTAGAAGTTATTCTAAAAGAACTGAGACCACGATTGAATACACAAAATATATACATTTTGTTTCATGTTCCAATAAAAAGATTTAATTTTATTGAACAGTGTAATACCTACACAATTTGATTAGACAGATTACATGTTCTCTATGTACTAGGATGTAAATTGTATATTTAATATACACTCTATATTTGAGTTATGTAACAAATTGGATGAAATGAACTTCTAAACTAACTAAATAAACTCGGTTTCACGAAAAACATTGCTAACCCATAAAATTGTGTTAAATATTTGCAATTGGATGGTTAACATTATTTTTTTAAACGACTTCAGCCATCTGAATGTGTATAGAGTTATAATTAAAAATATTAGCGCCTGAAAACGGGGGAAAATAAATGATTATACAATTTTATTGACGTGGTTATTATAATTATTTTTAAAAAAAAATAGTTGAGTAGGTACTATTGAAACGAGCTGAGAGTTTGAGAGGTTTTATATCGTTTTTAGTTTTAACGACGAAAGATTAATAACATTTGACGTTGTTTAAGTATACTATTATACAGGCAACGAGTAAACAATAGGTAGTCTATACGCATAACTTAGCACGTTGTTAATTAATATTATCGTTTAATGGTTTCTTGTGGTTTGATTGATGTATTGTCGACCGTTGTAGACGGGTTTATATATCACACATGAAGTCGGTCCTAGGAAACTAACATAACCTTTAGGTAAGGCAAGTTGTAGTCATTTAACAAGCAAAGTCAGTTGTTCATTAACGTTTAAGTGTCGCTGAAAATTTTCTATGTGCAATGGTCCTTTGCGAAAGCTTCAACAAGAGTTTTTAAAAAAACATCCAGATTAAAATTGTAAGTTTTGTAAATCGTTCTTAATAGTTGCACATCCTTTTTTTGGTCTGCATTAATATACAGAGCGATGCACGTTATAATATGACCATGACGAATCATATTATAGGTTTGCGTATGATACTAATACGTTAAAAAAATAAGAAAATGGTAGTGAAATGATAAATTTGTTATCGATATAGAATAGGACGTTTGCACTATTTGAAGGAGGAAAATGAGAGAGAGAGATGTACCTTTGACATAAAACAAATTAATTTTAACATTAACATTTAACTAATGCGTATTGTGATGAACCGTTAAAAAATAAACAATAAAAAAAATACTATGTTATGTATCTAAAATAATTAAAAACGTGTATGTTTCAGGATTTAGACATAATCTACAACATACTAGCATATAGATCACAATTAGTGGGTTGATTACTCGTATAATAAAATAATTGTATACCTACCTATGATACTATAAACCATTTACAATGCACATATTATGAAATAATTGAAATGGTAAAATAATATCTACTTGTTCATTAAATGCAAAAATTGTATAGTACGATAATTAACGTTTATAGAAAATACAATAGGTATTATCAAAATATAAGGATAGTTTTATTAAGGATACATTAGAGAAAGGTACTCCAAGTATTTTTTTTTTATGTGCTGATGTAAACATACGTAATATATGTAACAACTAACAATATATTGTGTAATTATTATTATAATTTTATTTTTTGTAAGATAATACACAAACAATACAGTATGCGTTTGGGTCATTTATGATATTATAATAATTAAAACATATTATTGTATTGGACGTCTCGCGCGTGGCTCTTGTATATGTTATCACCATATACCTTATTCTACAGTCTATGAATATTTTACTATAGAAAAAAAACCATCTGCCGTCTCTCGTGCCATATGATAGCATTATATATTATGTAAAAAACGGGCTCTCCATGGATTTCCAAAACAAAGGACCACCTATGCTCAGCTGTAGACAATATAACGGTGCTATGGCAACGGACTGTGATGTAAACAACAAAAACAGTTAATTTACTTTACTTGGGACTCGGAAACGGTTACTTTCTAATTTATGTCAAACCATTTGTTTTATTTTTTTTTTTGAAATATAAATATATTTTGTTTTTTTGCAATGGTCGAAAAAGATATTATAAGACAAATTCTGAGTGGTTACATTAATCGGGAAATCACACTAGAAAACGAGCTGAAAGAACTAACGTGAGTACCATTAATTATTGTTATCAAAATTAATTATTTATAAAATTAATATCACTTGTCTTTGGACCATTTCATTCAGCAATTGGGAATTAATGATAACAATATACCTTTCGATGGCTTTAAAACTATTTAAAAATTATGTTTTTATTTTACTAAGTAAATGTGTTATAAGAATTTGATTCTTATCACAAAAGACTATAATCAAATCAATAATATTATGTACAGTATTTGTTTTTTAAATTTGCTTCCATGACCCATATTCTGGTATATTTATTTATATGTACATTAATAACCGGCCTAAAATCCAACAAAAAATATAAATAGTACATCTGTACATTACATTACAAGTTGTATGTATAATCATAGCAAAAACAAAAATATAATAAAAAAGTGACTTAATTACACTAAAAATATATATAACATATTTATAAAGATAATAATAAATGCCTAGTTGGAAACGTTTTAACAGGGGTTGAGGGAATATTTAGTAAACATTTTATTTTTTATTTACCAATAACATAATGTCTCAAAAAGCCTAGTTTATATTATAAAGTTTTTATAAAATTGGTTAAAAACATATAATTATTGTATTTTAAACGTTTGCGGTTTTATGTAGAAATAACTATTTTTTTTTTTAGAATGTCATAACTTCAACATATATATAAGTATATACAAAATATTTGTTTCTTGCAATATCGATATATTCAATTAGATCATTTATTAATTGAGTTTCACATTTCAATAATGTGCGTTAAATAAAAAGAATAGTGTTGTTAAGCGAATGTTATTACTAGATAAATATTATCAGTTTGAAGTTTAAATTCTATACTTATATTTGTTTTTATATTCTTGGGTATTATTTAGGTTGAACAGTAAGAAAACGTCCGCCGTGTTTAACGATGACTTTTTTAGAATTCGACGAGATCAACTTGTAAAACAAAAGAACAGCGCTAAAAAAAGAAACGAGGCCTTTTTAAAAGTAATATTATCTACACAGTTTTGCATGTATTTTTAATTCGCCAATAATACAATTAAAAATCACTATCACCTCCTTAGCCATTTTATCGCCCTAACCTAAACATTGTAACATCTTAATGTCGTCTATACAATGTAATCCTAAATGTTTTTACTCGGCTAATGTTGGTTTGCGCCAACTATACTTAACATTTAAGTAGATTTATAAACCTATAATTTCAGTTATGTTAAATTACCCTTAAATTTCGTATAAAGTCGGTGCAAATGGTCATAAATATTCTATGTTTAGGAACTTGAACAGTCGTCAGCCAAACTGCGCGCCACGTTGGCGTGTGATGATCTCCTCGACAAAAGATTAGACGAAGTACGCACAAAGTTCTTCAATTACATGAGAAACAAACCCGCCAAAGACTCGAAGCCATCTCAAACGACCTCCGCAGACGATTTCACATGAAACAAAGACTAATATATTTCTTTTAGAAATGTATGAATGACAATTTTAGCGAATACTAGTTTAAGTTGATTAATTGTTCTATACGGTTATTGGGGCCATTTTGAGTTTTCATAAAAATAAGAAAGGCCATTTTATTACCTATATATTTAAAAAGTATACTATTCGTCGTAATTTTGTATTACCATTTAATTGCCAAATTATAATTAATGTCAATTAATATTATGCATCAATTGTTTTTGTTACATAATCAATTATTTAATTATTATACAAGTACATACAATTATTGTAACATTATGTATTATTATATTTTCAAAATTGTTTTTATAAAAATCATTTACAAATGGTGTAATGAAATATAACCTATTACCTTTTCTTCGTGATTTTAAACTACTCGACTGAAAATTATAATTTTATAAAGCAGTAATAATTTTATTGATCAGTATTTTTATGTATAAAACTAGTTTTAAGGGTTCCGCCCCTCTTTCAAAACATTGGCTTTTTGACTGCGACAATTTATATGATAACCAGTACCTTATCTTACTTATCATTTATTGATTTATGTAACTTCTATTTTGATTTGTAAATTTCTGATTAAATAGATAAAAATCAAATTACAAAACAAAAAATATATTTTAATGTATATTTAAATGGTTCATTTTTTTCAATTGTATTTCTTAAATTTACATGAAGACATTTTTTTTATGTTAATAATTATTGGTAAAAATTATCAAAGACGTGGTCGTAGTTTAAAAAACTCGTTTTAATTTAATTTTTCGTCGTTTTTAAGTATTTTTAAAAAATATAATTTACGAACATTAAAAACTGTAGTCTTATACTTGTAGGATAACTAATCGGCCTGCTATCGTTGTTTCCAAGTATTCCCCTAAACAAATATGTGGATTAGTAAATTTACAAAAATTATATTTTGAGTCAAAATGTTTTTCAGTTTTAGAATAGATTTTTTATCTTAGAAACTGAAGGTTTAGCAATGGTTAATCTTTTATCACAGAAGTTTTTACGAGAGATTTTAAATAAATATAAAAATAGTTTCAAAAATTGTCAAAACATTTTGGGTTAAGTATGTAGATGATATTATTTTTCTTTCAAGATATTAATTCTCATTTGACTTTCAGTACATAAACGTATGAAAAAGAAATCGATGACTTTCTGTCCTTTCTTTGATCTATAGCTACTAAAAATCTGTGTCCGATTGCCCTTTAGAAAATGCCATTTTTTGTTTTCGTTTTTCGATTATTGTATTTAACATTCTATAAAAAGGTTCTTATACTAATCCCTTGTAATTTAAATTCAGTACCTATGCCCAACATTTTACCATCGAATAGTATATTATTTTTGAACATGAATTTTATACTGTAGTATTACATGCACACGTTTTTGTTTTTTTCGTTGTAATACACATTTATGCCGCCTATGAAGTGTATTGTGTTTTGTTTATTAAATTGAATTTCACTGTACGTACGCTCTGTGTGTAATGTCACCTTGAAACAACTTCTACAGTATTTTTATGTTTACCCAAAACTGGTGAACGGCAGAATAAACTTTGCAAAATAATATAATACAATGTGTAGTATAAAATCTTCGATTTGAGTTTGCGATTCAAGTCGAAATGATTTTTTAAATTGCTGAGCTTATATATGTTGAGCTATCCACAAACGGAAACATGTTTCTGTTTTGGTGTTTATGTAACTAACAACAGCTAAACGAGATGCTTGGAGGGAGAGGAGGATTAGGTTGGCTAAGATATGGGATAAGGCTAAGAATAATATTGTAATTAACTACACGACGATTATTTTTTTTTTTTTAGATAATTTTTTTTTTACATTATTACCAATATGGGCACTGGAAGTAGAACCCCACACATGTTTATATTATATATATTTACTCGAATTCATGTATGCTCCTTTGATTTGTGTTTATAATGATTTTTTAATCGTTTAAATAAAAATTCTCTCGGGTAATATATATATTAATAATGAGTGCAGTAGGTATTGAACTACATACTTATACTTATTAGTATAATATATACTTATTGTATATTAGTAAAGCAATTCAATTTGTTTGTGATTAAAATTTAAAGTGGTAAATAAACTAAATAGTACCTACCACCATTTGTTTGTAACATATTAATTCAAATTTTTAATAATATCCCCGTTATCTTCCTGAATAAATCAAAAGTAATAATAATAATCCAGGCTTCAGCCACGTTGACCATTCCACCGCTTAAATCAGTCTGTGGTAGTGTATTTTAGGCAACATTTCGAGATTTGATTATAAGGAGCGACCGACAACAATTATTTTTATTCCTCCTCGCTTTAAACTTTTTTCTTTTGGACAAATGTAGAAGGGGTTTAATAATCTTTTTTTTATTGTATAAAAAATAAAAATCAAGAGGTGTCCAAATACTGCGAGGACACCCGTAATATACTATTATGGCAGTATATTATTTTTGAATTACCTAAATGGCCTGCGCAGTGTAATTTATCTCTGCTGTATGTGTAAAGGGACTATGGATGTGCCGGGGAGGTTCAGCCGGAATGCCGGAGAACGATATAGTTCTATGTTGGATTATTCGTTTCGAGACTTGGAGTCAATTGGCGAAATAGAGTTCTTGAAACCCCGAAAAGGTTTGAGACCGTACAAGTGCAGCGCATCTTGTGGTCTTTACATGTGCAACGCTTGGCGCATGAACAACAACCGGCTGACCAACATCAGAGGAATAGTTTCCACAGCGTTTAACGTAAGCGCACACAGTCCGTAGGTATATATATTAGAATAATTAAGTTAATGTACTAAAGTATATTTGTCTCTCTTGACAGCTACTGGACCGGCCCGAACACTTGACTTGGTTGGATTTGTCGTTCAACAAGATCACTCACCTGACAAACGAAATCGCCATGTTTCCATCGCTGAGAGTGTTGTACTTGCACAGCAATTTGTTGGCCGAATTCGAACTTTGTCTCCGTCATCTCGTGTATGTATATACATGCAATTATTTTATCTTATACTGATTCTGTATATAAAAAAAAAACAAAATTCTTTCCCAGTTAGCAAAACAATTATTCTAATGTTGAGACCAAATTGTTTTAACATTTAAAAAATAATTTTAATTCGTTTTTGTCCTGAATATTGTTAAATTGTTGTCCAACTACGCTAAAATATTTTATTAATTACACTTTAACGTTATTTTTTCCAAACATTTTTCAAACACTGTAACTCTTGACAAAAATCGTTTCAAATATTTTTAAATAATTCAAATATTTAATGTTAACTTTTCTTGTCTTCGTTTAGAATCTGACCAGGGACACAGTAAGGCAAATTTTGATAATAATAGAATAAATAAAATATATATTTTTTCGGTTTATCACTCCATTTAGATAAAAAAAATATTCGAATAATGCCCAACTCCGAACAGAGACAATCGAAACGGTTTGAACGTAAAATTTGTTAAACAATCGTTGCTAAATAAGAAAATCAAGACCTCGAAGTCTATCAGAGTGGTAACATTACAATCATAATTGAGAAAACTATTTATAGACTTCTCTCGAAATCCTTTCAAGCCTTCTCTAAAAATGTAGCTGCTCAATCAAACTCTGGATCTATAGATTATATTACAAAAAAAAATACTAATATTATCTAGTTACTAATGACAAGACACATTTTAGGCCTTTTACAATCGCATTTTTTTACCTAATTCAAATATTATTCTTATATAGCTTATATGACACGAGGAGGAAACACTAATATAATATTATTAGTTTGTAATTTCATCGTGTTCTGTATTAAAAACGAATCATTGGGGGAAATATTCGGAATATATTTTTAAAATACGCGAATACTTTTACAACTCTGTTGGCAGATTTATCCATGATGACTGCACTTGAGTTCCATAAAGTTCATGTATATATATATATATATTACACTAGTATGTTTGGCAGGCAAATAGGAAGTCTGTACTCGTTGACGCTGCACGACAACCTGTTGGACAAAGACGTCAACTACAGGAACAAAATAGTGTTGCGTCTCAAACAAATCGAACTTCTTGACTTCACGCGAATCAACGAAGAAGAGCGGAAAAGAGTACACTTCTACGGTCGTATCCGCGGTGTGAAAAACGTCGCATTTCAACGGAATCACCAACTGCATTGACCAGTTTTTTATAGACTCGATAATATTAATAATAACCATCATAATGCATGCGTAGCTCCGTTACATATCATACATCTATTATAGGTCACTTTGAGTGTATACTGTAGACCCATTGCGGTTCACGAGTCGAAGAACAGATCAGGAGATGAGTATGATGATGACTAATTTTTTAGTTGAAGATTCTTCAACACGCACAGAAATGAGCATCGTCTCCAAAAAAAAAAAAAAAGGTTTGCCAAAGATAAATTGCCTTAGGGCAGCTAAGGAATGACAATATTTCACATGATGTAACGTGAAGTTTTCTCATCTTCGCCACATTTCCTACACAAAAGTGTCGACTTCAGTTTTAAAACCAGATTCAAAAAAGTTGCCTTTACCGTGTTGTTTTTGTGAAATTACCAGTGTAGCAATACGGGTTCGTGGTATAACAGCACCGTTCAATATTTTTTTTTTATTTGTATAAAACCAAAAATTTGTTATTAGAACCGTGCAATATAAAAACATAATAATAATATTGCAAATACAATATATTTATAATGCTAAATTTATACTTGATATGTACCTACATCTCGCATAAATACATTAATACATTACATAAGTACATGTCTTTCAAAATTAAAATAAATTGAACTTTGAAAAATTAAAAAATTACACGTTATTTAAGCAAATAAATTTTTTTTTTTGTAAAGTTTCCAACTTTCCAATTTTAATAACACCAGATCAAGCTTTTGGTAAAATAAATACAAATTACAAAAATGTAGTTATATTTTTATTTTAAAAATTGTATCTGCAAGTCGATATGCAATCATTTATATTAGATAGGGTTAAATTAATTAACAATCTTAGTTAAGTAACAGTATTTATCATGCATGTGTGTGATTGACACAAATTAACGTAATACATACAATTTTAAATCAATGAAACCCTATTTGGGTTTTCCCTTGTAGCTGAATCGTGATAGAATATTATGTAAAAAATAAATCTGTTGCTTCACTAATAGTGTTAATTTGTCAGCATTTTAGATAACATAAGCCTACTGGAAGGAATGAGAAATTAGTTCATACAAAGGTAGATTTTTATGTAATTATTCATTTATGTAATTTAAAACATTAAAAAACAAATCACCCGTTAAACTTTTCAAACTATTATTATGACATGTCTCGTTTATTTAATTGTACTTTTGAATTGCAATAATCGCCTCAACCCCAAATTTTGTCACCTAATGGACATTTTAGTCATTTTTTAAAAATCATTAAAAACTACAGAAATATGGATTTTGAAGGAAATTTTTGGTGTACAACTTTGAAATTTGGTATATGGTCAGTACGGCTAAATATTACGAATTACAAAACATTTTGGAACAATATAATTGGTCTACATTGTATTATTCAATTAGAATCTATCCACTTTAGATAGTAAAAACTATTAGTATAAATAATTTGACTTACAATAAATGTGTGTTTAATCGTTTTATCTGATGTTTGCGTTTATCTTGATAATAAAATACAGTCTAGATTTTGTTTAAGATTTTACAAATTTGCGTAAGAGAGTTTTGGTGACCAATACAATCAGATTGATATCAAATTAAAAATGGGTACACCTATATTAAGTAGAATTTATAATAATAATAATATTTAATAATTTAAAAAAGACATGACATTCAAATTTGTATTAAATAAGACAAAAACAATGAACCAAACGCCTATACCAGATACAGGTAAGAATTCTAAATGGTACAACAAATTAGTGACACTTTTATAATTTATTGTGTGCTGACATTAATGTGATTGAATTGTATAAATTAGATGACAAATAACTCAAAGTATTAATTATGACATATACTTCAATATAAAAATAATATAGTGAATGCTACAAACAAAATTCACATAACAAACTTAGTATGAGTAATTTTAATGGGTTTTTTTTTAATATGGAATGTAACTATAAATATAAATATAAATCAGTGCAGTCATATTATTATTTTAAGTAAGCTAATATTTATGTCTTCCCGGCAGATAAATTTGATTCAATGTAGACAAATTCATTACAACTGTTATGTGATATTTGGTAGAATTCCAATGTATCGGTTTGTGCAACTGAATGCAAAATACTGCCACTCCATCCAGTTTTTAATATTGCAATACATTTTCTGAAACAACATTTTTTATTTATTATAATATGCTGATTTAATGGCATTGAATTACATTCTGTTTATTATTGTTTAGCATAAATACAAAATAATAATTATAAATTATTACCATTACATTACCATTCTGAAAAATATTTTTAGTTTTAACTATATTTTATTTCTTAACATCATGAAGAAATATTAGTCATAATTAGAGCCGACGATACTACACGTGTATTTTAAATACACGTGGACAAGGTTCGTATAGTTCGAACTGACGTGTAGAAGTTTGTGTAGTTGGAATTCACGAGTAGAAGTTTGCGTATTTAATACACGTGTAGGACCTGAGATTCAACTAACTTGACCCAATGGCTATAATACTTTATCTTAGTAACAACTATTAATTAAAGAATAGTATCACGTAAAATTAGAGGGCTTATTAAAACTTACAGTTGTAAGAATACGTGTAGTTGCAGGTACACGTGTCCTTATAACTACACGAACTTGACAAACTACACGAATTTCTACACGTCAATTCGAACTAGACGTGTAACATGTGTATTTATTTACACGTATAATCGGTAGCTCTAGTCATAACATACAACTTGGAGTAACTATAAATTAAATGTTAAATAAAAATGTTCAAATTTCTCTAGCATTGTTAATTATTACTTACGTAATTATAATCGGATGTTTATTTTGAAGGAAAATTCGCCGTGACATAATGATAAAGAACAACGAGTAAGAATAAGCCAACACCCAAAACATTGGCAAACACAGCAAGTTGTACGTCTGTAATCATCCTGAAAATAAATACATTTAAAAATTACAAATTCTATCAAGAAGTCAATAAATAAACTAGTTACTTTTGTAAAACTAAGGTGTAATGTTGTTTTTATTATACATTGAAACAGAATTTAAAATATCACATGTTAAACAGCATATTTTGTAAGAAAATATGAAAATTGTACCTTTAATCAGTTATGAACTTAATGATAGTAAATACACTTTGAGAGGTGATTAACACATTTTTCTAGTTGTTTTATTTTTTATATTTATAGTTAAAATTTGAATAATAGATGAATAGATAGGCTAGGGACATATGAAATACGGCAACCGCTATAGTAAAAAAAAGGGCGCAGTGAAAAATACATGTTTTATAAAGGTTTGCGTACATTGCCAAAAAAGTTTATGGCGTAGTCTATCTATGTAATGTAGTTAATATTTAAATATAGATTAATATAGATACGTTAATAATTTGTTTAATGGTTAAATTGTTTCTCTCGTTAAAAAAATGAAAAAAACAATTGCTGTACTGTGAACTGTAAGTAAAAATATATTACTTACTCGTATTTTTATTTAATGGTAGATTTTCTCAACACGAGTCAGAAAAACGTTGACAAATTAGAATAATAATAACAGCAGGAAACTTGAATTTTATTGAACAAATTGTAAAGTTGTTGACTGTTGTTAATAATTATTGTTATGCAGTACTGTACTATATACCTGCCGCGGTGTAATGACGTTATCAAATTCGATAAGATTGCCGACCATGGAAGAAACAAAAATTATTTTCTACTCCATGCGCACACCTCGCAGAGCCACTCGACAAATAAAAATGTCACATTTTGTTAAGACGATTTTTGTTTTTATAATTTTTCTCACGCACACGGCACAAATTATATATTTGCGTTGTATTTCTTTTAATTTTAGTGGGAATTTTTATAGTCCAACTTTAGGTGTGAAAAAATCCAATGGCAATCACGTCATAGCGGCTGTCAACTTGTTTTATTTATATTTTCTCGTGACTCGTTGCCTCTAACGGGTGGAAATCATACATTGCATATGGCGTCAGCTTCACTGACAGTTCGAAGACTGCTATCTAGTATTAGCATATAATATATTCTATGGTTTTGCATAACGATGATTTAATAGTTTTGTAAAACTTAACTTATTTTGTAGTGCACAACAAAATATAATGGCCTTTTTGTAAGAATATAATTAACGTAGAGAATAGTAAAGGTGACCGTAATTGGCGTTAAAACAGTTATATCGACAGGAAAATTATTTGGGACTTACAAAATTGGAACCATATATTATACGGATGACCAAGTAAAGGTAGCATTTTTACTAGAATTGTGAATTACTTGAATCATACCACGATTATAAAGAACCGGTTAGCCGTCGGTTATACACAAACGTGGTTATAAAAGGCAAAATCGCACCCATTCTAGTTCAAACGGAATGAAATCAAACGTATAAACCGCCTAAAAATGTAGTATTTTGTTAAGACCATGCAACTGTCCTTTTAAAAACTGTCCTTTACACGCGACAAAAATACCCCCAAAAAGTATTTATTTTAATTTGAATGGGATATTTTATAGTCCGTATTTTGGTGTTGTCAATACAACCTATTATTATTATACGATATTATATTTAAAACGTCGAGATAAATATTCTTATCTAGATAGATATTCTTTATCTCGATGATTTAAAATAAAGTGTGATAAGAGAAAAGGCGCGAATTCAAATGAGCCAATCGTAGAACGGCGGTTCTGAGTGTGCTCACATTTGCAAAAATGCGCAGACGAGAAGCATGCACGTAGTTCCAGGGAGCCGACGTGACTGCGCTGTCTACGGGACTTTGTGACGTCAAAAGATCATGTGCTCATGCGCATTTGAGTTCCCTGTTTGGCAATATATCTATATTTATATAGGTGTAAATATATACAAATACGACGGTAGCGATGCTCGCACCACCCGCCCCAGCCCACTTGGATGCTCCGTCTATTAGTATAAGGTCTATGGATTGAATAATTGTGAACATAGTAAATAGTGATAACCCTAGACGCACCCTAATGAGAAATAACTTATCTATAATATTAAATATGTTGGAGAACGCTACTTAAGACTTCACGTTTCTCGCGGTTTCTTCTATTCCTTCTTCTTTCAACAGATTTTCGCTTACAAAAGAAACATACTCACGTCTTACAATACACGCCCAATAGTAATTATGTATAATAGTTAAAATATATTTCTTCCCGAAGCCATGTAAATTCACAATGGGTGGTGTTTACGGTAGCAGAAGACCACCGTCTGTGTTCAAAGTAAGGTCGTTTGTTTCATTATTGTTTTACGTACAACAAATAGGCTGATGCCTCAATCGTTGTAATTCAAAATCTTTTATATATGTCTTAGGTCATCAACGTAGATGAAAAGGCCAATGTCAAATATTATGGGAAAATGGAAATAACGGCTTTCGATATAATATTGCATAAAAACGGAGGATCAAAAATTATATGGCCACTGCATACGGTTCGAAAGTATGGTTTTGAATCTTCTACATTTTTTTTTGAAGCTGGTCGCTTAGCTCCTCATGGCCAAGGAGTGTTTGCGTTTAAAACTAAAGATGCCAAACATATATTCAATACAGTCAGGGAAAAATTAAAAGTAATTATATTCAATAATTAATAATAGTTAATACATACTTATATAATATATATATTTATTTATTAAAACATTATTTTTAAGAACCATTTAGTTGATTGGGTAACAATAATAATTTGAAATTTAGTTTTAAATAGAAAAATATATATTTATTAAAACTTCACCTGTAATTTAAACTACTTTTCTTTAAGGTGATTAACTTTTTTGGTGTTTATAAAATATTTTAAATGTCAATACTTTTGTGTCTAAAGTTGTTTGTATAATTATTTAACAATTCAGTTGTTCAATAGACAATTTACTTTTGAACAAATATAATGTAGTTTAGAAAACAAAAAATGATTAATTTAAAATAACGGGAATAAAAAAAGGCTCCCATTATAGGGATTATTGATATATAATGCTATTAAAGATATCTAAATTGTGGTGTATTAGAAACAAAACTTATCACCATAATAATATGTTACAATAAATATAATGTTTTTTCAGTCTGATAAATTCAGTATTGAGGCAAAAGATAAGTCTTCGGAAGTGGGCACTTATTCCGGACAATCATATACGAGTACGCACACTATTGAAAAAGTATATGATGAAAACGGAGAATCCAATAATAACAATCAACCTCCTGATCTCATGTTAGATCCAGACACCGTCTGTATAACTTATATGAATACATTGATTGATCATAACAAAGAATATGACAATGTTTTAAACGACCCTTTCGAGTCACCTAATAAACCCATCTACATAAAAGTTGAAATTTGCTCTCCTAAAGAAAGAATTGAATCTCTGCCTACTTCCCCAACAGAAATACCTGGCTATACTGCTATCGACCACAATCTCACCAAGCATTTAAGTCAAAAAATGCTAAAAAATAGCGAGGATGTTGGAATGAGGAAAACAAGACACGATTCTACCATGAGTAATCCTTAGTAAAACAATTACTTTTTGCTACTTGTAAACATACTTATACGTTTGTTTTACTCTACATGAAAACGCATCCATTATATCAACTATCTAATTGATGTATTTATTTTGTTAGCTTTAGAGAAAGTATAAATAATTAGATTTTCATTATTGTTAACCTTTTTTTTTTTTTTAAAAATTTGCATTTTTATTTTAACTTTTTGGGCCAGATCAATTATCTGTGGATAAAAATAATTGCTCAAAGTACAAAATTGTGCTTTATTTTGTTTTATATATAAAGCCTACTTCCCATCAAGAAATTAAATGATTTTGTTAATGTTAATTTATAGTTTTTTTTATGTTAATAGTATACATTTAATGTATAACAGAAATTACTAAATTATGTATCAAAAATTTGTTATGTTTTAATTATCAGCTTTTACAAAATAATATAAGATTTTAAGATATTTTCCAAATGCCAAAAAAAAAAAAAAATGTGATAATTGTTATTGCTTTAGTATAAATTACTATTAGGTTAGTGTTATTTTACACTGACCTCAACTAGGATCTGTTTACCAAATATAATGCTATATAAATTGTAATTGCTGTAGATTTGTAACCAAATTTATAAAATATAATAGCTAACTTATTTGTATTATACTTGATAAACAAACAGAAAACATCATACTTTTTGTTCTTTTAAATATATATGCATAGTCTTCCCTGATGGTGTTTCAACATTTTATCAAAAATCATAACTAATGTTGATTAGTTTTCTAACATTATTGGGAAACTTCTAGATGCAATTTTACTTAAACAATACTTGTAAATAGAAAGTTAATTGCATAAAATAATTATATTTAATAATTTATAATTTATCTCTGTAAAACAAAATAATACTAATGTTCGGTAACAACTAAGTATATATATAATTATAAAATGTAGTACTTAATTTTATTATTAATAAGTACTGTACTTATTAATTTATCAGTCTTCTTCAGTGATCGTCTCTATTTAGAAAAAAATAATTATGGTACTGTGTTTGTAACTATTGCAACCGGCCACATCAATGGGCCTTTGGATATTATTTTTGCCATTGATTTTTTAATAACAACAAAATGTCTTTTAAACTCTAATCCACAACCTCTTGAAAGTCGAAAGTCCATTAATGTCTGATTATTCATTGGAATTACATTAGATTTAAACACTAAACGCTGATCAGCGGTAGTAATAGTTACCTGTAAAATATTATTAAGTATAAATAGTGTATGAAGATTAGAAATAAACAAATCCATTTTTGTTTTCCTGTACCCATCAATCTATAAAGATGTGATAAAGAATCTATTTAATTTTTCTGCATGTTATACTAGGTATGACATTCTTGTTGGTCAAGTACAACTCTTCGTTAATATTGTACTAGTTTTGAATCAAACTTTGACAATTGTTAAATCCGAAGTTAAAAAAAAATTCTCAAAAAGAGTAGTAGTTACATTCAAATTTGTTGACAGATTCTATATCATTTAGATTGATCGGAACAGTGAAAAAAAACATTTATGACCTAAAATAAAGAGTTTCCAATCCTCACGGCTGTTATTATCGAAAAGAATTTTCGTATTACATAAATTTATAAAAACATTACCATAAACCAGTTTTAAAATATTAATAATTATTTACATACCAAACCAGCTGTATTAATTTTCCATGTATATCCTAAATCATCGAGAAATTGGGACAATTTAGATAATGCATCCTCTGGTGATAATGTCACGATAAATCTTGTCATTCTCTTAACTAATTTCTGTATAGAACTCTAAATGATAATAATAAAAATGTATTGTTGCACACTAAAATTATTTTAGTAGGTAACAAAAAATAATATAAGATAATATGGTTTACGTTTGTTGATGTTGTAGCCGACTGTGATGTTAACAACTGGGTAGATAGTAGTAAATCTTCAACCTGAGTAGGTTGTGAAAACGAATGTATATCAGATTCGTTTGGTGGGATCGACACAGTAGGATAATTATTTGCTGCCAAAGCAGGTTGGGAATAACATGGACGTGCTTCATCAAAATCTCGATCAGTACAAACGGGCACACTCACTTTATTATCTATAAAACAAAAAACAAATATATACATTGATTTTATAGGCAATTTTTTTTAAGAAATTGTTGGTTTTTAAAGTTATTAAATATATCTTTAGCATTAACCTTCAATTGGTCGATAGGGTAAACAGTTTTTATTGCATTATTTCATCCTTATTTTTTACCAAATTTAATTGTTTTAATACATATTTAGATATGAATTTATAATATAAATAACTTTTTTTATAACAAACAAAATTAATTAGGAAAACTAATTTCGTTTAAAACTAAACATGAACAATTGTGATTGTAAAGTATAAGTATTAGATTTGAATCTTTTAAATCAGTTTCATAACTTGAGAGTCATAAGTCTTATGATGAGTTTTCAAATCGAAAAATAATATTATGGGTAAAAACTGATACATAGTCGCATGGGTTAAATAGTTTCTATATATGTCACAAAAAATAGGTCATCTGTTGATGTAAGACAGCAGTCAATGTTAAGTAAGACTAACATATATACCACAGCTATACAAAACATGAAATAATAGCTTTTTCAAATGACATTTCTATGTAAGTTTATAGTTGTGATGAGACATTATTCACCTTACGAAACCACCGATAGATTGTTAAATAAAACAATGTTTAGCTTTCAAATCAAAAAAGCAACTAATGCTAAAATGTTAAGTACTATTCTTGTAACAAAAGTGTATTTAAAAAAAATACAATTGTTTTAGTAGATATACAAGAATAATTATAAAACTATATTAAAATGTTGAAATCTATTGTAACACCAATGTTTCAATCTAGTACTACAATAAATATAATTTTAAACATGTTAGAGGAATTTAAGCCTGCCACACAGTTAAGGTACTTAGAGCCAACTGATGTATATAAAATAAATTCACTCAGAAGTCACTTAGTACCTGGACGTGTATCAGATCAAGTGTATCATTGTTATAGAATTTAAAAAAATTAAATAGAAACATATACCACATGATTTTGACTTTTTCAACCAACGATGAGAGCATATTTTTGATATATCGTATCGTCGTGAAGGCATTGGTATCAATATTTTTCTTACGAGCGATAAAGCTAAAGTATCCAATTTACACCATGGTGAATGATTAGCATAGTCGGTCGTTTTCCATAGTTTATATTCAATTTCGTCATCGGAAGGCATCTCCCACGGTAACTCTATATTTACACAAAAAATAAAAATGTACTTCACATACTTGAATGATGCATTTAATGTTATCTAAAGTATTATATATTCTATTATTACAAAAGGAAAACATACATTTATAAAGAATCTTAAGTTACAAAACTATTCACAATTAAATAAATACGTAAGAAATATACATATTTTTAAAAACAGTATATATATTAGTCCTTATTCTTACATGCAACCTGGCTAGCCCTCACACATTTGTGGGGTTGAACAAAGCCAAGCCTAGTTAACCAGACCAGACGTCAACGAGAAAAATCAATCTTCTCAGAAATCAAACTATGCCCTTTAATAAGGAAAGTGAGTTTCTAGCTCCTTAGTCATAGCTCCAAAATATTTGAATTTTGAAGTCAAATAGGTGTTAGTTCCGGAATTAATTGTGGATCACTGGTTTTTGTTGATTATTTTGTACTCATTATTCAATACTTAAACTAATTTACAATTCATATAAAATTAAGTGTTCAACACCTAAATATAGAATATATGGGACTTTTTCCTTATAAATAATTTGTGTTAAAATTATTAGGTCAATATTTAATAAAATATCTAACAACTTCATACATTAACAGAATTATAAACATTAATAGTAATAATGTATTCTAATATACATTAGTCGCGTTATCATGTGCCAATAACTTTGGTACAGAAGCTTTAGGATGTCTCGTCAAAATGTACCTACAGCTAGAGTACCAAAGAGATCAACAGTGATGTATACTATATTATTTACATATCACAAATAAAGAGATTTATAATATATTTTTAGTATCTGATATTATTTTATAAAAAAAAACATTTACCTCCAGCAAGCATAGATACAAGAATAATACCACATGACCATATATCAGAAGGTTCGGCTTGATAAGGCAAGTGCGATAAAACTTCTGGAGCTAAATATGGCCGAGTACCACAACTGTTCTCTAGTCTTCGTCGCTATTATTTAAAAGCAAATATTTTTTACATTTAAGTATATTTTCTAATAATAATAAATTAGAAGTAAATCATCAATTTTACTTACTTTTCCATTACACAAAAACATTGTTGCTAACCCAAAATCACTAATTTTTAGATTTCCATGTTCATCTAATAGCAAATTTTCTGGTTTTAAATCTCTGTGCACAATACCATTATTATGTAAATATTCCTATTGACATAAATTTCATTTTTAATATTTATAAAAAAAATTATAATAAAATATAATGTACATAACTTACAACTCCAGCAATTAATTCTTTAAAGAACTTTCTAGCATCAGATTGTGGCATTCCAATATCTGGTTCTAACAATACAAAACAATGGATTTTAGTAAGAATACAATTTAGTTATAACGTTCAAGTTAAACCTATTCGATCGAACAGCTCGCCTCCAGAAGCATATTCTAAAAATATGTAATAACTATCTTTGCAGTGTCTTTGACCAAAATATTTTATTATACTAGGATGTTTTAAACGACAATGTATGGTTGCTTCCTTTTTTACCATTTCCAACGCATCGGGATAGTTCTTTAAATCTATAACCTTCATAGCTACGGTACTATTATTTTTTTGATTTACCAAAAGCTTCACTCTAGAAAAATACATATATTTAGATTGTTTTATAATGATATAAAATAAATAATATATTAATTATATTAATGGATTTTTATATTTATACATTTTATGAGGCATTACTAATTATTTATGCAATTTATTAATTATTTACTTCCTTTTCAAAAAAAAATATTATTATTTTCAAGTACATCAGGTTTATAAAAAATACATAAATTTGTTTTGAAGAAACTGTTTAAGAAAATGTTTTATGAAATGAAAATATGGAAATTTTTAAAACTTAAATTTTAATAACTAAAAAGTCGGAAATTATAATTGACCTTGATCATTTTTATAACTTAAATTTACAAAATTTATGTGTAAATAAAGAGCTTAAACAAATTCTTAAGATTGCTTATTGTATGAAATCAAAGTTTAATTTATAACATACTCGCCAAATGTTCCTTCGCCTAAGGTTTGTGCGATTGTCCATCCTTCCACAAATTCAGCATTCATTTATATTTCCTAAAAGAGATACCCATACATTAATTCACAGCATACAATAGTTAGTTAAGGATCCAATTTAATTTTAATTCGTTTTAAGGTATACAATTTTGTGACAAAATAATATCAATGTCACGTTGTAAGATACCTATTTCTTTAGAAATATCATTAATATAAAATACAGAATAATTTATAGGAAATAAGATTACATTTACCTTGAATATTTTTAATTAGACAAGAATAGTATTTTAATTTAAAACAACAACACAACACTCATCACTCACATCAAACACAATATGAGAGTATAAAAAATATCATAAAATATACAATGGGTTGATGGCTAAATAGTAAATACAATTTGAAAGCGATATTAATGAATTAAAAATTAAAATCAACCGAACGTGATGTGACAACGGTGAACGGCAAGATTTTCATAGACAGAAGATACGTAGGTAGTGTGCATAAGTTTTTACTTTTTGTATGCATGCAAATTCCGTTAACCCCAATAACTTTTCAAAAGTAAATTTTTAGGTTAGGTTCATGGCATAAGTATACTAGGTTATTGCATCTCTACCCCAACTCTCTAATGAAATTTTCGATGATAAGAATAAAATGGCAGCGCAAGGATCAGCCAATCAAATTATAATTTTATAAAGGTATTTAATAGACTATTTATATATTCATTAATAATCTAATGATGTACCCTTCCGCTGTCATTTTGTGATTTGATAATATAATAAAGTGGGAATTTGCAATAACCTAGTATATTTAAGCCATGGTTAGGTTAGTAAAATCGAAGCACTAAACTATCGATTATAAAACACGAAAAAAAGTAGTATGTTCCTTTCGATTTTTATTAAAATAACACCGGCACGCAGCAGCAGCATTTGAATGGGTTTTTTTCACTAACTCAATATATTATTATTATATTATAATATTTAAACTGAGTTGGTAGTTTTTTTTAAATCGCCAAAAATGTCAGGTACTTACAAAAAAATCAATCATTATTAGTTTTGATTGGTGTATAATCTACGTTTTACTGAAACCAGTTCTGAATTCAGCAAAGAAAAATATAGGATATAAATATCTTATTCCAGTCTATACGGCCTTGAAATTCACGCTGACAAAGCTCGCTCCATCTCTCTCCATCCAAAGCCAGTCAATTCCCTCTAAATTGTTTGTGTCTGTTTATTTTTAGGTGTGCCCTAATGGCCTGTTCTACTACAAGCACCACTTGGTACCAACATTATCAACCTACCTTCTTTCCACCATAAGTCGCTTATCCAATTTATGTAGCTATTTCTTTACTTATTGAATAACGTTTGGTTTGGTCTCTGGTATTTAGCTTGAACTCCATATTTTTCCTAATCTTCCACTCAGTGGAGTCCACTGTCCTATTTTTACGTCAATTTAATGTCCAAAGTCTCTTCTTAAAATATTACTTTTAAAGATCAACGTCTTATGTTCTATAGTTTTTTTCGCCATGTCCATACCTCACAACTATTTAAAAGAATCTCAATTTTAAATACATTTTACAAACCCTCTAAAATACCACAAAACAATGTTATTTTATGACTGGTGGTGATTTAGACTTGTAGAAAAATAATTCCTAGTCCATTTTCGAATTTAGCAAATAAAAGAATTAGGTAATCTTTTTTGGCATTGTTAAGAAATTGTTACAGAAATAACTGGTGTTAAAAATTAAAATTTTCCTACTTTATTAATAATAGCCACCAGTTCGAAATTCGATAAGGCTACTTAAGTCCTAAGATATCATTAGGAATACGCATACAAAGAAGTGTGAGACTTATATCATTAACTATATTGATTGATCAGGACATGTTGAAAGAAGGGAAAAAATTAATTAGTAGAAACTAAGCAGGGATTAGAAGAAGATGTAGATTGTAGTTTAAGTGGGTGAATATATTGATTAGACACAATAGAAAACAGTTTTTGTTGTTTAGAAACCTTCAATATGTGACAGTTATTTATTGTTTCATTAAAATGTATTAATCATATAAATAATAAATAATCACTAAATTTTAATTATTTACATAGATACAAACTATTCTAACATAAAACAATAGCGAGTAAAATGAAAAAAATCTAGGTAATTAAAATACAAATTATCACAAATTAATTTACATAAATACATATAAAATAATAAATAAATAAACACACAAATAAGGAACGTTAGTTATTATGATCAATAGAATTATTGAATTGCTTATCATTAGTATCACATTTTTTAAAAGAATTATCAACTTCATCTGTAACAATACTTGGTAATATGAAATGACTATCACTGTTACTCCTAATGGGTTTAATTGTGCGTAGTTTAGTAGTTCCTGAATAACATACACTGACGTCTCCACAATCTAAAGGATGCATCCCATTATTATTTGCATTACCTTGAGGACTAAGTAAATCAAAGCTACTCTCTGTAACTTTTAAAAAACTTTTTTTTTTCTCTGTTGGATCTTGTGCAATTACAATATTTTTAATAATATTTTTTGAATCCGATGAAGATTTTTCAAAATTTGGTCTGGTTTGAAATGATTTATTATCAAATTCATATTTTTTACGCATTTTATTCAAATTTCCTGGCTTGTTTTCATTTTGTCGATTTCGACACATATTTATTTGTGATATTAAACCTAGAACTTCAGCTGGTACTTCTATGTCTGAATTAGAATACACCAAATCAGAAACAAAACTACCAAGAGTAGCCACAGTAAGTTCAAGACTTTTTACTTCACTTTCTAAACGATTAATTGCAGTTAAATTAGTTGAACGATTCATTTCTAGACGACCATTATTTGTTATTGAAATCTATAAACAAATTAATGTATGATGAATACATGGAAAATTAAAACCTTAAAATATTGTGAATAAAGTTGATTTAGAACGTTGGGAGAAAATATGATTTGTAGCAAATACACTAATTAATACAAATATATATAAATAGTTCATTGAGCTGAGAGTAATGTAAATAGTTATGATGCATAAGAAAGGATTAATTAAGTGAGATCTAATAGCAATTTATAATTGCGTAATAATGGTAGGATTTATTACCTCCAGCTGTTCATGTAAAATTTTATTTTGTTGCATTAAAGCTTTGTTCATTTCTTCTAAATGTTTAATTTTCTTAATTTCTGGGCTCGGAGTGGATAATTCTTCATGTAAAACATGATATTCAACTCCATATTCCATTAGTTGTTTTGATATATCAATTGTAAATACCTTTCAATTAAATTGAATAGGAAATTATTAGTTAAATATATATAACTGTAAAGTTTATGTAATAGATAATACCTGTTTAATAATTTTATCAATTATATCCTTATTTACAACTGGTAAATCGTTTTTAATATAGGTCATTATTTGTTCCATTCCTTCACACGCAAGGAGGTTTTCTTTATGGTACGTCAGAAGTGACAATATGATGCGAAACATGACATCTATGTTTTCAAAAAACAATATATCTAGAATAAAATAAATTTATTTATTTGAAAATATTAACCAACGGTGACAAAACAAATCATTCAATGCCATACCAAATACACGAGAAACAAATCCGAGGGGAAACTGAGATGCAAATATAGTTAAAAACCATGGGGCAGCATATAAGGTTGGATTAATATCGCAATTGTCAAAGTGCTCATATAAGTCAGGATGGTGGTCATGAAGTAGACGTGATAATTGATACAGCTGAACTTGTAGAGCAGCCATGTCTGGTAGATACTGTTTCCTTAGAGAACGTCTAAACATTAAATGTTTAAGCATCATGAAAGCTTGTTCTTCAGACATCTGAAAAAAAGTTTAAATATTGCTTAAAATTACCGAACATAAAAAAATTGGTTAAATTCACTTACATGTAACAGCAAAACTCCGGCAACAAAACATAATCCTTGGCAATAGCCGACCTCTGGATCTAATAAAGAATATGCTTTAAGCAAATTATACAAAGCTAACTGGCCTGGTCCAAACGGTGACATAAAATAAGTATGATTTGGAAATGTCCTTCCTAAAAACACACAAAATTATATATTTGGTAACAGTATAATACATTAATGCCGAGTTGTATAAACATATAATGAACCAACAGATGTTTTAGGGTTCCTTATACATAATTTAGTGCCCCGTGATTGGTCCATTAAATTTTAATAAGTCATTATATTTATTAATTCTTTATGCAACCCAGCATAAAATTCTTTTAAACAAATTTTTAATCATCCAGAATTTGAATGAACAGAGGTGTTGTTGTAAGAGTATACGTTGTGTGTACCCACCTCTTATATGTGTATCTACTATCCGCGGGTACAAGATTTTCATTATTTTGATTTTCTTAGATAAGTAAGAGGTGGATACACACAATGTATGCCCTTATGACTAGATCGTTGTTTATAATGTTTAAAGTTTAAAGAGCCGATAATTATTTAAATATGGTTACCTAAATCAATAAGAATAGCATGCTGATACTTTGTCAATTGTTTCAATAACTGCTCGTACGGCACGTTAAAATTTGGAAATTTTTCAAAATCAATAGCAGAAGGTGCAGTAGTATTACAATACAATTCGGCAAAAAATATCCAGACATCTCCTCGTTTACTTCTAGGAACGCCTATGAAAATGTAAAAAAACATATATCATTAATTAATAATGAATTTAAAATAAATATTAAGAGTTCTAGAATATTATTACCTTGTCTAATTGCTTGCTTCAACATTTTTGAGTCATACTTCCTATTTTCTTTATTCACTATTGTCTCCCAGACTCCTAAATATTCACGTGCAGACGAACCGATATCATCATATTCTAATTTTATCCGCTTAACTGTTGCTTCTTCTTGTTTTTCTATTATTATTCATGTCATGCAGCATTAACATTATCTGAGTTATAATAAATAAATTATTTATTTTAATACCTTTTAATTTGGCATTCTCTTTTTCCATTCGTATGAGTAATACTTGTTGATTAATTGCTTTCTTCCATAAAGCTCTCAAATCGTTTTTTTCTAACTTTCTTTTAAAATGTTGGTCTCCTTTAACAAAAAATCAAATATTACAAGTCAGTTTAATTAAACAAATTAAATTTAAATAAACAGTCATATTAAGTGCAGATATACATTTCTTCTAATCCAAAATTTTATAATATTCATGTTATATTATTGTCTAATAATACACATTTTATAGAAAAACCACAATGGGATTATTACAAGTTTGTGATGATTATTATAAAAATAAGTTAAAATCATAGATTATTATTTTATTTTGTAAAATACATCCGCAAACTTCTTTAACCCATTTCTGGCTAATTGTGAGTATGCGCACCACAAAATAAATACATCCTTGGCCGGAAATAGGTTAAATAAAAGCTTTAATATATTTTGCATTTAAAAACTAACTTATATTTATATATTATAAATATAACTAGTAGTTGGGGCTTACAACTATGTACAATAGGAAATAAATATTATACACACCTTTTTTAGGTTTGTTGGGTGTTACAACATTTTTGAAAATTGCTTGTCGCCAACTTCCAGGGTTTGAATCATTTTGTTCATCAGAATCATTGTCTGAAGTTGAATGAGTAGACGACTTAGGCGATGGCCCAACTTTTAAAAACCTATTTTACATTATTCAATTATAGGTAATAAAACAAATTTTAAACATATAAAGATACATTAATAGATAAAAATTTAAATATCTGTTATTAAAAATATAACTGTAAAAGGTTTTACAAATTTCTGTTTAAATTATTAGGGTTTTAAGGTCAAAAACGTGTTATATATATGGGGCATTCTGAGTCAAACCACGCAGTCATTGACCCGACCTCCTCAACATTTTTAGAATTTTTTTTTTTGAACTTATTTTGGTCTAATATAAGACATTTTTTTTATTGACATTTTTTTCAATCATTTTTACCCCAAAAATAAATGTTCTTTTTAGTTATTTTTCACAAAAAATCTATTTCGAGCAGTTTTAAAATTCTGACATTTTTATCATAAAATTAGAGACTCAAATCAAATATTTTTGGCTAATAACGGAAATGGGCAGAGTAATTTCAGTTTTTTTTATTTTTAAAAATTAAAATAAAGCATGTCTAAGTAAAATTGTATATGATATTTATATTTAAAAGTGTAAGCTTACATGTTCATCATTGATGCTGGACTGCTGTGTGATTTAGTTTGGGCTAAATTAACTTCTGGATTTTCGACTATTGTTTTGGATATTGAATTCTGAGTTGCTAAACGAGAATTTAAATCTGACTTTGGAGAAAGCTCCTAAAAATAAATATTAGTTATAATTGATACTCTTATAAATAACTATTTTAATAAAGTTTTTGTTTAATAATGTACTTTAACAAAAATAAAAATGCTTCGAAAAAGAAACGTTACAAAATTGCAATTATTTTAAGAGTAAAGTAGTGTAGGCGTTAAATGAATCACCCGGTATACTACTTATGCTATCAGATATTGAAATGTTTTATCATTGATTATAAATTATTTATAATCAATGGTTTTATCACAAGTCAATATCTAATTACCAAATTAAAAAAAAAAACACTACTATAGATATTAGAGTGGTTCAAAAAAACCTTAATTTATTATTTTTTGTTCTTCTTTGAACATATATTATTTGGAAAACATAATAGTAAAATAATTATAAAATCAAAATTTACCTTTGCGTATGAAACATTAGTTTGCAAACCACCATCTTTAGTAGCTGCCATGATGCTACCAAAATCATCTCTTGAATTTCTTCTTTTTAGTAATTGATCAAATGAACTAGTTAGTGAACGTTTTGCTTTCATAAATATTGTACTTCCACCAAGATATTGATTTAAAAACTCATGTCTGAAAAGTTATAAATTAATGAATTAATTTATTAGTAAATTATTATTATATTTACCTATTTTCAGCCGAATCATGAACATGTTTCGATTGTTTGCTTTCACAGTGTGTCCTCAATAACATCATAAGTAATTCATTTTGTTCTTTAAGACTTATTTTACTTAATGTTTCCAATCCATGTAATTTAGTAAGGACAACATCTTGGTCATCTTCCGGTAACATGTCTAGATGCTTAAATATTACCGACTGAACTTTGTGTTCATTGAGATCTTAAATATAATAAGTTAATAAATAAGTTTAAAAAAAATATATATATATATACGTTCATATTTTTTTATATGTTTACTTTCAACGTCTGAACATAATCTATGAAACCATACCATTGGACAATGTTCGCAAGACACGATAACTTGTTTTTCTTTTTTAAATGATTCATTTGTGTTATGGTGAGCCAGATTAATAGCTAAAAAAATGAGTAAACAATTATGTCAGAAGAAGAAGAATTGTATAATGTGCAAGATAATGTTAAAACAAATAAACCTGTAACTAATTCGTTTGCTACCGATTCCGATTCACATTTGAAAATATACCCAATACAAGTTTCCATTGATGACGAGTCCCGACACGTGAAACCAAAATGTAAATTATTTCTATGACCCTAAAAAAACAATAATTTCAATTTTATTGGAACAAAATCAACTTCATTAATATGTTTAAAAAAATGTATACCTGTACACAGTTTATAACATCTTTTAATTGTTTGTGCAGAAGTATTTGTTTTCTATCTGGACTTATTAAACGTAAATCACTTTTACCAATTTGAAAAACCATTGTTCTATTACTGTCTTCTCCAACATTTGTATTTTGACCCTGAAAATATAGAAAACACAAACACACAAAACAAATAAGACAAATAAATATGCATTCATACAGAGAATTGATATTACATAAGTCTTATTTAATAAATAATAATTACATTTTGTTCTACTTTTTTAATAGGATAGTTTACAGATCCAGATCGGGTTCTTAAAAATCTGTAAATAATATAATTTTTAACTATTAAATTAAGTATTTTTAAAAAAGCTTTGTAGTTATACTTAATAAAATAATTTACTCTGACTCCTTAGAATCCTTATCAGTTTCAAGAGAAGAAGAGCTTTGATTTTCAATTCCTGGGGATAGAACTATCATTGATCCCCGTCTTGTATCTGATAAATAACCAGCTGGATTTTGTTCTGACGGCTATAAAATAAAATAAAATGTAGATAATTCAATAATTTAAATAGTTAATACATAAACATAATATAAATATTTTTTTAAATTTTTAATATTACATTAATTTGTGATCCTCGTCTAGATGTATTGCTGCTATTCGACTTTTTGTTTTTTTCTAACTCGTGCAATCGAAACTTTTCCAAGGCGTCATCAATAAAAGTACTTGGAACTTTTTTTTGTGAAACTCTTATTTTACCAACATAAAACACCTAAAATAAAATTAATATTAGAGATTCCATTTGTGAAACACTGTTTTGCAAACCTAACTTATTGTACTAAATACATGTAAATTAAATTAATTGATCATTCCCTTGTAGCAATATTTGATTTGAACATTAAAAACAAATGGAAAATATAGAATGTATTTAATGTTGCTATCTTCTTGAATAATTGCTATTTATTTAAAAATATTATTAACTGATGTTAATTACCTCAAAAAAATGAGATGAATTTGGTGATATATCTGCACATAAAGATGTTAATGTTTGAGCGTTACTTAGTGAACGACCAATATTGTGTAATTTTTTATGCGAATTTTCTTTCATTGTAGAGAATAATTCCATAATCTAAAATAAAACAAAATTTTTTTTTTAATCTGAAGTCATTTAGAATAACAACTGTTGACTATAAAGTAATAATTATAAACGAAGAAAACAAAAAGATTTCTAGGTGTTCTAAATATAAAAAGTTGGAAAGTATCCAAAATGTCAATATAGTGTATACATAAAGAACAACTCTGAAAATTTAAAGCTATTTGACAAATGCCGTGAAAATGAACATAACGTTTTTTGTTTTGTATTAAATAATACAATAGCAATTTTTTTTTCTAAACATTTGCAATTTTGGTCGTGTTGATTAAATAAGAATAAAAATAACAATAACAATAAATAAATAATTACAATAACCCGACTTCAATAATTACATTTGAGACTTAACATTAATACAATGCATATGGTACCGCTATAATAGGTAAAGAAGCCTGTACAATGAGCATGACGTTTTTCGACGAGGTAACTACTTTAACACTAACGAGGTAATAATTTTAATTTAACTTATTAATACACCAATATGTTCACGACTTCAGAGGTGCCTCTGAATTGAAGTTTATCTTAATAACTACTGGAGGACGCTAGGGAGAAAATAGTAATTTCATAGCAAATGTTTATATAGTATATTTTAAATTATTTATTTACTCTCCGGCTTTTTTTTTTAGGTTCAAAGCAAGTTTTTTTTTTTGTGAATACCGATTACGCAATGGGCATAACTTGATTCATTAAAAATTCCAGAGAAAAGAGTTTTTGGCAATACTCAATAATAAATCTCAATGTGATTTAATCAGTATCGGGGAAACGTTTTGGTTTTTATACAACATGTACCAAAAGTCAATATTGGTTACACAGCTGCTGTTAACCGAACTTTAAAGTGTTACTTCAAAAATTGTTCTTAAAGAGTGTTTCGCATTAAGTACATTAATTTTATTTTATTTTAAAATTATTTTTGTATGCATTGTATTTACATGGTTCACATAACGCGTTTTTCTAAATTTGTTAAGAAGAAAAATACGATCTTAATACAATGTTGGAGACCAACCAAGTATAATCTTCACATACACTTTACAACAATGTACAAATACTATTTCATAAAAAATAATACAGGGGGGCGGTGTATTGTAATCACTTCCAAAAAATAGAATTAAAATTAATATTTCGTGCATATTCGTATAGCTATGAAAGAATGAGTTAAGCGAATTATCATAGTTTTAAAATACCGCACTTATAATTGTATTAATACATGCAATAATGTCTTCTAAATAATAATAGCAAACATTTAGATAACAAATTACCACGATAAAATTCCATGTAAAATAACGCTTAACAATGTCGTCAAATCCCGAAAAATGTAATAAAAACTATATAGGCTCAAGGTTTTCAAGGATAATAAAATGTATGGACTATGGAAATTAATAATTATTAAATCAGCGTTTATATACAATTTTAAGCCTTTCGCTTACAATCATCTATATAATTATTTGTAAGTCTATTAATTTGGCTCGATTATTTTTTTTGGTATATTTAACTAATATAACTAAGAAACAATTATATAAAAATCATCTAGAACAACAAATTTTAATTAACTCCTACTATTCCTTAGTTCTTGTAGTCGAAAACACATAAAATGAATACCAACAGAGTTAAATTGCTTTGTATATAATAAACATTAAATTTATAATTTCCTTGCCTCACAATACATACCACATAGCGGTTTGTTTATTACATAGCATAATCTATTCAAACTACTCACCAGTTTACCTTGTCCTTGGTCAATCTATACGGTTTCGTTATTCATTTTATCTTACTTTAATTTCATACCCTACAATAACCAACATAATTGTGATTTGTGACTTCTACTTTCAATGTTATAGTCTAATATTATTTATTAACCCGTAAAACAAGCTAGCTAATGTTATTCGCCGACTAACAGATCCGATCAGTGTGAAATATTAAAAATAGCATTCAAATATAAATATAAAATTAGAAAAATTATATTTTAACAACATTCCAAAAACATTGTGAGGTCGTCAATTTATCAATACTGAGCAGTGGTTACTTTAGAAAATTAAATACACCATATAATCTTAAATATAATTATTAATAAAAATAAACATATTATGTCGACTCTCGAGGGTTATAACTCTATACATACAAATAATTAATGTTCCACTATTTTCTGATAAAAAATAAGCTACCGGGCCGAGCAAATATAAATAATAAAATGGAATGAATTGGTATTATTAGAGGATAACAATTTTGAATAATATGATTGAAGGTCACGTCGACCAATGCTGCAATTCTTTAGAAAAAACACCGGTCGGGCAGTATAAAAAGTATATTAAAAACGGTACACTTAACTTATTTATTTACACAAATTATTTTTCGTTAAAATATTATAATAATAATAAGTGTTTGAATTTATATTTGAACGCAATCTCCGCCGAGTGAAAATACAATTTACAATTACAAAGACGCAACAGATCCAAATTATTGTGCACCGTTTAGGGCTAATTTATTATTACTAATTACACTAATTTATATTGATACGAAGCTGAGAAGGGCATAAGATATTGGTTTTACAATCTACAAAAATGTTTTTTTTAAGTCTGTTAATATGATTTAAGTGTTTTTTCGTTTGCTTATACTGTACTGACTACAACGATTGAATTGCTGCAATTTTGATTTTATCTTAAATTAAATGATTTAGCGTGTTATCTTTTCGTAATATAAACAATGTGGCTGCTACTTGTTATTTAAGTACACAGATAGAACATTTTTATTAATAACATTAATATTTGTTTGAAAATGTTTGTAAATCTCAACGAATTTTTGTGAAATATAGTGAGGTTTTAATAGTGTTTACTGTTTATTTTTAAATCAGTTGAATACAAACACGTTATTAAATGAGTATTTGTGTTTTTAAATATGATTCCGCAAACTGGATAACTGGGAAATATACCTAAAAAATGAAATGTAAATGGAGTATGGATGTGTAACCATACTTCCTGCAAGGTTCTTTGAAGACAAAAGGTCATTTTAACTCATGGACGGCACTTCCATAAAAATAGCAATTCAAATTTCGTCAACTATCTAGATCCCAGGACTTACCAAATACCAACTGCTATCAATAGAACATGTTGAAATGACCTGATGGCCGATTGTGGGATTTTCGTGGAAGAAAAAATGACCTTTAGTAATATATAGTTAATAATTATTAATTATCAAATAATTAATCTTCTTCAATTAATGCGTCTCCTAGTCGACGTAAACTTTTGTCTTTACACTCATATTTTTGTTCATATAAATTAACTAATCTGTTTTTATTCACCGGTTGGACACTCAAACACTCAACCAGTGGGTAACATCCCCCTTACCTCTACCATAACAAAGATTAAAAAAATGTACGAACTTTAATGAAAACCTTATAAAATACATTTAATGTATATTCTATTTTTTTATACAATGAAATTTTAATTTTAGATAAATATATATAATATATAATACGTATGTATTTTGTTAAAAAAATATATTTTATACTAAATAGTAAATATTTACTTAAACTATACATTATTATACTAATATCTACAACAACCTGCATCTGTATAATACTTAATAATTAATGGTTTTAAGAAGCAAAAAGTTAGTCAACATTGAATATATTTTATCTATTAGAATTTCAATAATAAAACAATGTTAACAAATTTAATTAAATTTTAGTTTTTATAGAAAACTAAAAAGAGACTTATTTTAAAGTATAATGTGATCTTTTAATCGCTAGTACTTAAATTTGTCTAATACACTATTTACAAATATGTATTCTTCATTTATTGTAGAAATTAATCACTTATAAACGGCTATTAAGTAAAAAAAAATTATAAAGCTAATAAAACTCTGGAAACTATTAAAAAAGGCAAATAGTATTAAATAATACTATAGATTAAAATATATTCATAGGTAATCCTTGGCTATATAAAACACACACAGCAACCCAATTCATAAGACTCTTGAATAGGTCAAAATATATCCAAAACTAGAAGATCAATAAGTATACAGTATGGATATGTATGTTTTATCTATGATAATACTAAAATTACATTTTCTCTGCTACAAGGAAAAATGGATATGCTTTTGGATAAAGAAGACGAGGGAGTCTTTTTCTCTTCCCCCTACCCTTTCATTCCAATCACACTCTTCACTTTCTGGCATTTGGCTATGATGCTAATTTCAGATAGAACTCTCAGCCCATAAACATATCCATGTTAAAAAAAAAACATTATCAGGATTTAGCTATTGATATAGATTCATGTTTGTATTAATAAAAAACAAAATCCTTCTTGCTAACACCTAGAATTTAAAGTGTTAATTAACATATTTTATTTTCATACATTGTTTAATTTTATGAATGAATCATACATGCATATTAATTCAAGTGACAAATTGATTTTTAATTAGTGTCAAGAAAAATAAGAATAAACATGTTAAGACATTTCTAAGATTTCTTAACCCATAACTGGTACAGTGATAAGAATCGTCATAAGGTTTACATTGATAGGTGAACTGTGAGGCCGCACTTACCAGTTATGGCTTGTGACATAAAAAATATCAAACCCTTAGCAACAACAAATCAAGCCGATTTGTAAAAATATGGACCTTGAAAAGCTTTAGTCCAGATTGGGACATGGGTTTCAATGTACGAGTGTTTGGATAATATGTTCCTTTAGATTTGTTTAATTCCAAAATTTTAAAACTTATTATAAAGGTTGCCATCTCCAGTACTTACTTCATCAGGTTGAGTGGTAGTATAAACATGACATTCCACATTACAATCGTCAACATTTCTGAGAGCATAGAAAAATGTGGCAACGTCACTGTTTAAAAACGCTAATCGAGTAATATAACATATTTCATGCTGGAACAGTGGTTTACATTTATTTTCCCAACTTTCATAGACACAAAGAGAAGAATCTTCTATTCCAATTTTGACCTTTGAATCAAAGAAATAATATTAAATGAAATGAGATAGATTATAATATTCTATATTTAAATTTAAAAGATGTCAAATTGGCCATTAGACGAAAATCGAGTTTAAAAACATTCAAAAAGTCTTAGTCAGAGACCTGGATATTACCAGGGACCCCCTGGTTTTATTTTAGTTTTAAAAGTAATATTGTAACTAAAGGTAGGTCAGTGGTCGAAACAATCAATCGGTAATTGAAGGGGATCCCTAGTTTGAATCCAGGTTTTTTTTCTGATCATATAATCACGTCCAGTTTGACTTCTTATGAAATTAAATAATAAATGAAATTTATACTGAAAGATCAAATATACACAACACAAATATTCTATATTTTTTGCAAGTTATGTTTTAATTTTTATACAAATCAAGCTATTCCAATAGTTGAAGATTGCTCGTAGTTCAACCTTATATATATAGAATACAATAATTAATAGTTACTTCTTTGTGTTTTTTCTTTTTCTTAATTTCAGCAATGACCCAAGGAATCATTGGATTTGTAAGACGTTTATTTACTATGCTTGAACTTAAATATTGTACTTGGTATAGTTTCATAGTTAAACTGTTTTCCTTAAAAAACAGTTAGTAAAAATAGTTATTGATTTAATTTGATAATCGAGCTTTGTTTAAAAAATTGTTTGTTTAATTTATCTAATTAAAGAAACATAAAGTTCTATGTTATAAAAAAAAAGTTATATTGAATGAAACATAATATTATAGAGCATAATATAACACTAAAAATGTTTAAATATTTGAATTGTAATTATAATTAAAAAACTGATGTACACAAAAAAATAGGAAACAAGTGTAATCGAAAACAATTACAATTACAGATAAGTTCTAGTTAAATCGATAAAAAATAAATTAATCAAATCCTTCAACGACCACTGCCCGTAACACTGATGGTCATTACTTAAAACTTTTGACAAATAACAATTAATTAATTTTTAAAAACCGCAACCGATGTGATAAGAAGATAAGAGTTTGTATTGTATTATGACCGAAAATATAACATAACACTCGGTATTTATAATTAGTATTCAATACTACACTAGTAGGCACATAATATTATTTATAATAATTACATTCACACTTCACTTTAAGATTTTTACTAATTTTAAGCACAGTATGAAGATGCACAGTGTTTATTTGTTAACACCTACAAGTTACAACTTTGCAATACTATAGTGTTCGTGTGGTCGTTGCAAAAAGAACCTGTACAGTAACGGGAAGGAGATAGTTGTATATACGAATATTCAAGGTTATTGCAATTTGTAGTCGTTAGTTTTATTGTTATACCTATTTAGTCATTACATTCCTATTTATAATATAAAACGGTAATTATGATTAGAAATAATAACACAACCCGTTTAAATCCAATTCACTCGGAATACATTGTCCACATACAAAATTTATAGCTTAAACTATAAAGAAAATGTTCACTGATTATGTGTTACAATATAATATACTAATATACATATTAGTATTATGCAGACATGCAGTCTTGAGATGTACGCCATGAGCCATCATCAGGGGTGGTTTGGTTGTCGTCGCCAACATAAATTTTGCCTAGTGTCTACATTTTTTAATTTCATTTTGACCAAAAAAATATTTTTGAACTGCTAAAATGTTATGTTTATCTAAATAGTTCAAACTTATGATGTTCAGAGTGAATATTAAAATTGAGAGAGAGGATCTTTCTGGTCAATCCCATTTGTACTCGTCAAATTATTTTGAAAGAAAAAAAATTTATTTGAGATTTTTTCTAAAACTAATAAGAAATTAGTTAAAAATTAAATAAAAATATACTTCATAAGTATATTTAGAATGTAATAGTAAAAAAATGTCATACTTTTACATTCATCATTCTTTGATTATATAATATATACATTAAATTATGCGTCATAATATTACCAGACATTGTATTGTATACAAATATTTTTTAGCTATTAATTTATATTATTATTACAATATTACTAATTATCATATAATTTAAATAGAATAAAGGATTCCTTTTTATCATTGCTTCTGACTCCAAGGCTTGTCACAACTAGCAGAATGGGTTTCTAGTTGGGCAAACAGTGTGATGGAACCGGATGATGGGACTACTTGTAGTCTTAGAGTTACTAATAATACAATTTTTATAATGCTGGAAATTAATAGTACTCAGATGCGTGACGTACTAGGCCACATCGGTCCTTCATAGGATTTTTAAAAATCTATAAATCTTTACAAACGTATTATATTATATGTAATTCAAGTCATTTATTTTCTATTATTATATATTCATATGTATAAATGTATAAATTATAAATTTATATAGATAGGTATAATGTGTAATATATTTAACAGATGAAGACAACAAAAAAATAAAATAATTTTTTATCAAAATATTAACACTAAATTTATGATATAAAAACAACAAAAAATATAAAGAAAAATATTAAAACACCAAATATTTTAATCATTAACCAACGATTGGAAGTTACAGACTGAAAGTACCGTAATATTTGTGTGTGAGCAGCTTCAATGCTGAGTTCAGCATCCTGAACATTTGAGTCAATTCTGTAAAAGTCCAAATAAATAAATATAATTTATCATGCATAAATAATAAAACGTAAATCATTACTCAATTAATAAATGTGTGTATTTAGCAAAAGTCTGAACAAAATTACAAGCTGGATTATAATACTAAATGGTAGAAATTAGATAGCCTAGCCATTCATGATTTGGCCCATTCATTGTTAATTTTTATTATGTAATCATTACATAACATAATAAAACAACTGGTGGTTTAAAGAAACTTTGAAAAAAATAAAACTTAAAACTGTTAATTGAGTTTTTTTATATAAATTTACTCTTTTCTAATTTGTTTTTAATTAGTTAAGAATAAACAAAAATAAGTAAATATTCACTAAAAGATATAATTTTTTTCCAGTGAAAGTACACTGATATTTGTAAGAGCTGTAGGTTTGTATTTTGAAAATGTAAAATTTTTTAAATGTTGACCGGCCTTAACCAATTTTATAAATGCTATAAAGCTAACTATTAAAAATATTATATCATTATTTTAGGATTTTAGTACCATAAAATAAGAAATGTTTTAACTTGTGGTTAAGGCAATTAAATCAGTTAATTCTCAGTTTATGTATTACTAAGACCAATTCATTACCTTTCAACCATTTCTTCTTGTTCCTTAACCATATGTGCTAATTGTTGGAATATACCGCCTAATTCAACTATAGTTGATTCAATATTTTGCATGGTTTCCGCTCTAGTATATAAATACTGGTCCTAAAATTAAATTGTCACAAATTTAGTATGGCAAGTAAAAAACTATTTTCAACACTAAATACATTAATACAACATACTGAATGATCATAAACAGCCATTGCTTGTGTTTGCCGAGTAACTTGTTGTACTTGTTGATCATTGGTACTGTCCATATCTATGGCACATTGATTATTGGACATTAAAACAGAATTGTGTCTTGGAACTAATGACGAGGCATCAGATAATGCTGCCAAACTACTTCCTTGTGAAAATTGATCTCTTCTTGATTTAGCATGCTTTAAATTCTTACAAAAGAAAAAAAGATGTTATTAATTAATAATAGGTACATATATTATTATATTATAAAATATAAAGTATTAATAATAACTAATAAGTAAACTAATATGTATAAGTTAGGAATTAACAATACTTGTTAGACTCATGTAATAACCTTGTTTTAGGATTTTTTTTTTTAATTTTATCAAAAAAAGAACTAATTAATGATTTTATTAAAATTATACTCTGTTCACATTAGGATAAAGCCTTAGCGGCCGACTTTTATGCAGAGGCGCGCTGTCTAATAGTATGAACGTCGAGGTTCTTGCTAAACCTAAATAGAGTATACAATGTATATTATGTACTTTTGTTCTTATTTCCAGAACTTGTTTGAATTCATTAGATATATTAGCTAGTTTTGACTGTAACGAAATTACAACACTAGATTCATGCGATAACAAATGTTTTCGACCAGAGTTATTTTGACTGGCTTTTTGTAACTTCGCAACATCTTGTAATCTAGCTATTTGTTGATTTAAACTATTCAGATCCTCTTTAATGATGTAAGTCAATTCTTGAATTTCTTGGGGACGATCATTAAATAGTGATTTGCGTTTGGCCACTAAAAAAAAGAATCTGTATAAATTATAAAACACTATTTTCAGTGAGAACTATTTCTTAGTAATTATTCTTACGCAATGTTAACTTTTCTAGTTTCGCATATGTATTGCTTATATTAATGCCAACACTTTTAGCTATCAACATAAATTCCCCATAACTCTGGAGTGCTTTTACTTTTTTTACATCTTTAACTTGAACTGCACGTGCTATCTGTCGACCTTGTAAAGATCTAACTGCATTATTGAACTCTGCAGTACGATCTCGTGGCATTATCCTATGAATATCTTTCTCTGTTGATATATCAACTGATGAATCTTGAGCTGAATAATCGTTAAGAATTTGATCTGAGCCAGAATTAACTCTTCTCCTTCGTGTAGTCATTTAAACAAATACCTATGAAAAAAACAAAGTTAATACATAAAACACTAACGATCTTAACTCTTATTAAATGAAAATAGATCCATATAATATTGGCAATATATTAGATTTTACTTCACCTGATTAAATATTAAAAAATTATTAAAATTGTAATTGGCTTTAAAGAGAAAACGAATCGAATTCGCCATTAATATACAGCAGTACACTCATAAAACTATGTAAATTTAAGTCATTGGTAACAAGTAATAATGAACATTATTTGTATTACAACATTAATAAAATTGATTACTTGACTCAAAATCGACAATCTCTTCTGTTGACTTTAAAAAAATATATATTTTCTCATACAAGTAGCTATAATATTTTGTTAATAGCGTAAAAAGTAAATATACATTTTGTAATTAGTTAGGAATTACTAATTTGGAAATTATAAGGCCAATAATGTTATCTTATCAAATCCCACGTAACATCTAAAGATTATGAACAACCATATACCACCACCTCAACATAACCTTAAATTTAGAAGACAGCTGATATTGAAACACGACCAAGGTGGATTATCAATTCAACTTGGTTATGTGGTATTCCGTATTTACAATATTTTTTTCTGGGTAGCCGTTCCCTGTGGACCGATTTTTGCGATTCTGTCTGCAGTATGTACAGTAACAGTGTACCACTATTTAACGATAACGGATAACGGCTGAAAAAGGAAAACTTGTTACTGTTGGCAGTCAATTTGTTTAACTATTATTGTTTAGCCATTATTCATTAGCTTTTGCTTTTGTGGTTCAGCTGTTATAAATTAAAATCATAGTGTTAATCATTAAAATTTGTGTTGTGTATTCATTTTTAAATATTCAACAATAGCGTCAACCATGTCCGAGAACAGTTCGTTTAACGGAAACGAAGAAGAAGAAGAAGTCGTGAGATTAGGCGAATACATAAATGACAAAAATAAAGAATTGGAACAAGCAAATTTAATTCTGGAAGCATCCGAAGGTGACAGTTGCACTTATTCAATGGTATGTTAAAAATTATATTTGTAATAAGTACCCAATTTTAGAATTCTACATTTCATTATTTCTGCTATACAATTGCATACCTTGTGGCTTCAGAAATCGTTTGTAAGCGACCCATAAGGGCTAAATGGTGCCCAAATAATGAATAGGGTTATAAGTATAAGTAATTTTTTTTTGGAAAGGAATCTTTGAAGTATTTGTACCAACTACTAAGTTTAACACCCTATATGACTGCGCCATTGACACTACTCAATTATTTGATATGAAACTGTTGAACTGTTGAGGCAAAACAAAATTTAATTGTGATGTTTACTCTACCATATCCCAATTTTGCACTGCCCCAATAGGCCAATTGTATTTACTTTTCACCATTGTTAAAAATAAAAAATAAATGTTCATAGATTAATTATTTTTGTGAGGATGCTGATTATTATTGTATTTTTATTCTGTCATAGGGCTATTTGAACCGTCAGGCGTTGTACGCTTGCATTACATGCACTGAAGAAGGAAAAATATCCGGTGCTATTTGCTTACCTTGTATGTACCAGTGTCATGAAAATCACGAGCTAATTGAGTTGTGGACAAAAAGGTAATACAAACTAAAACATTGTTAAGTATTTATTGATGTTTGTAGTTTCATTAAGAAAAACATTAAATATAATGTGATAGTTTCTATATGCAGTAGAACCTCAATCAGAGGTAATAGAAAACCTTGATGTCAAAATAAATGGTATTCCCTACAAAAAGTCGATAAATCGAAAGAAAATCTATAGATAACTTGAGTACTGCGTTGAACTGGTTTACGGCTAGAAACGCTAGGTAAAAAAAGAAAAAAAAAAGTGAAAATTCATAGAAAAGTTTAAAAAACCATTAAAAAGAAACATAGCAATCAAAATGCAATCATTTTTCAATAAACAATTATGTGTAAAAATAAAATTATTCAACTTTTCTATGAATTTTTAAATATTTTGGTTTTTCTAAGCAAAAACATCTTGGTCAAATTGTATTTTCTAAAACCTAGATAACTCGAAAACCTTGATAAGTCTAAGAAAATTATGTTACCCTTGAACTTCGACTTCTTAATGTTCCAACATAGATATAATTAGTATAAATGAAGAAGGATATAACATAATAAATGTATACATATTTTTTTTAGAAATTATCGTTGTGATTGTGGAAGTAATAAGTTTACGTCAAAGTGTGAATTGGAACCTGTGAGTTATTTATTTAACTATATTTAATTAAAAATTTAAATTATAATTAACTAATTTACTGAGCTTGATCATGTAGACTGAAATTCTAACTTTGCTATAGAGCTCAAAGTATTTTAAGGTGTTTTTTATATTAATTTAAATTACCATTATTATAATTTGATTTATTACAGAATAAAAGCGAACCTAATGATCGCAATATCTACAATCAAAACTTTAAAGGTTTATACTGTATTTGTAATCGCCCTTACCCCGATCCTAATCCAGAGAATAATGATGAAATGATACAGTGCATTATTTGTGAAGATTGGTATCATAGCAAGGTATTTTAAAACATTTGGTTGTTTAACCTTATTATTTAATATATTTTTTAATCAGCTGTTAGAGGAAACAGTAATGAATCTATATATGTATATATATATATATTGTGAAATTTGACGTTGGATAATTATCATTATTTATACAAATTAACTTTTCTATAGCTTTCGTAATTTGGTATTTTATTCCGTTTTAAATATAATTTACTAAATATTTACAGTTTTAATAGTATATATCTAAACATTTTAGTTTAAAATTAGCTAAAAATATTTAAATGTTTCTTTTAGCATTTAGGTACAAAGGACATGGACCCCGAAGATTATTCTGAGATGATATGTTCTGAATGTACTCCTAAGTTAAGTTTCTTACCAGCGTACAGACATCTTTTAGGTAAGACAAAATAATAATTTTAATGTATGTTAGTTGTTATGGTTAAATTTAGTCACACTCGTTAGTTTAAAATTATGTTGGGGAAAAAATGTATTTACAGTCACATTAGTAATAAGAATATTTGTGCTAAGTACAAAAATTATATCAATTTTTTTTTTTTAAGCATTTATTTTTAACCCTTTTCAATACTGACATCCTCATACGAGGATTTAACTTAAAAAACTTAAAATAATTGAATAAAATATTAACAACGTACTATCATTATCAAAAATGTCTTTAAACATAAGTTCTAGTATAGATTGATAGTAAAAAAAACAACACAGCTATATTGATAATCAATATCAGCCCGATACGTAAAAAATTGATTTTTTTTTCAAAAAAAAAATTCCCAGGAACGAAAGGGTTAAAACATTAATGCTGGGTTGCACAAAACTTCATTGGTTCCTTAGAGCACTGTGATTGGCCTAAACACTGTTTTTGGAACCAATAAAGTCAAGTAACCAAGTATAATAATATATGACTTGTAGTAACAACATCAATCAATCCTACAATGCGATTACAAATTTGTATGTGTTAATATTGAAGCTTGTAAATAATTTTTCAGTAAGCGATGATCCAAAACCAAACATTGAGGGAGATACCGAAAACTTGGTAATAGTTTTAAAATACTTGTATGTACATGATTTAAATAAGGAAATTAGTCAAACAGTCTTGAAAGTTTTTGTCAACATTTATTAAAGGTTGAATAAAGCAATAGACATATTTAGCAGTTGCTTAAATATCATTTAGTGGCCCGTGATAATTAGATTTTATATTTTTATAAACCAATTGATGTATAATTTTTTTTAAACCATTTTTTAATACATATTTTAAATTGTACCATAACGACATTTTAATAAGCTTAAAATACAAAAATGTTATGCCATCATCTTCAAAACTGAGAATTATGTTGATATTTCAAATTTATATTATATAAACATGAAATAAATATGGTGGTCATATACACTTTTATTTTCATAAACAATTTTAATTTATCATTTTGTTAAAAATATTTTTTAGTTAATTTTACAATATTTTGAATTTTACATTTGACCAGTCAACATTTTCAGTAGATTATTCTCAACTTAAAAAGTAAAATAAATGTAATGATGATAATAATGTATTATACTTTAAATATGATACCACATTAAAAAAAAAAAAGTTTTTACACCTTTATATAGAAGAAAATTTCTAAAAAAAAACACCATTATTACCCATTCATTGTCATATATTGAATACTTTTTACAGTCTATAGTAGCATTACAAAGGTGTATATCACTTTCTGTAATACAAATTTCTAGAGTTGTTTTGTTTTAAATGTGCTTAATATAGATTAGTGAAATTTATATGGGCTTATACTTAATTATTATCATTACAGGAAGTAAATGTTGAAGATGCAGACAAAAGCTTCTTCGAATGCTGCAGAAATATTGAAAAATACTGAAATTATAGTAAGTAATCGCTTATCACACAAATTTTGTTGATAATTGTTAACTTAATTATTGTTTGTATTTTAGAAATCTGATAATTCACAACCATCGTGTAGTAAAGATATATGCAAATTTGTCAATGCAAAACATTCAAAGACGATTTCAGGAAGTTCATTTTGGGTTGAAGGATGGCGTGAAGAACTTTGTACATGTTCTTCTTGTAATGTAAGATTTAGGTTTTATTGTTGAAAATTACAAATTCAATTTTTTAAATATTTAGTGATCTATTTAAGAAGTTTGCATAGAAGGTCTAGTTTTCTAATTGAAATCTCGTTCGTAATTTTATGCACATATTAAAACTTTATAAAAACAAACCAAGAGAGATTTTAAAAATGTCAATAAAATTATTTAATGGCATGACATATTAATTATTCTATAATTCAGAATAGTTCTGCTTGAAATTTATGTAGGATTTATACAAAAAAGAAGGTGTTCCATTCATAACTGATCCACAAGATACATTACAAGCATATGAAAACAAAAGCCGCGAAAGAATGTCAGCCAAGGAAAAACAAAGTGAAGAAGGCTTTACTAAAGCTTTATCATCAATGGATAGAGTTGCTGCAGTAGAATTGGCACATCGTAAGTTTATAGGGACAATATTTTTTCATGTAGACTATTTATTTACAATTGATTAAAAAAAAATGTTTTATGGTTAATATGTATGGGGTACATTAAACATGATAAAAAAAGCAATTTAAAGGTATTAGCATTTTAGTAGACTGCAAATAAGAAAAAAAAATCTTATCAAAAAGCTGACATAAACCCATTCTTCAGAAGTCGGAAACATACATTTTGGGCTGTTTTTTGTACTCAAGTAAAAAAAATTCTAAGAACCATTGGAAGTTGTGTTTGACTGGTATCTTGTGGTATGAATATTTGTTAAATCTCAAAAATAATAATTTAACTGGTGGGGTTGATGAACTAACCATAGTTTGTATAAAAAAAAAAACGAAAGTACTGATTTTGAAGAAACATAATTTTTTTTTATTGTCAATACAAAAAGATAGCTTTTTTTTAGTTTTACAAAGTGCTTTGAAATGTCATAGTTTCAAACAATTTTCTTATTTGAACAGGTTAGTTACTTACTGAAACGTTTAATTTTGAGATCTAAGATATATTCTTACTTTTAGATGCACCATTTAAAAACAACTTTCTATGCTTTTTAGATTTTTTGATTTAAGAAGTAGAGGAAAATGGGTAAAAGTAGATGGTTTTAGGCACTTCTCAATTTAACAAGAAGTTTTGGAGGGATTTCTTTTTACTCATTTGCAATTGGTTCAAATGCTGAAACCTCCAAAATTCATCCAAACATTATTAAATAACTTATAAATAACACTAATAAAATAACTCCTTAATGATATTTAAAATAAATATTAGTATGATTATTTTAGTGCTGAACATGCCAACTTTATTATTGTTTTCAGAATATAATCAATTCAAAGAAGACTTAGTTGAGTGGCTTAACAGTTTCAAAGGAGACAAAGTAGTAAAAGTCGAAGATGTTCAAGAATTCTTTTCTAGTATGCAAGCTAGAAAACGCGCTAGAATGGATGACGGAATTCCCCCAAATTTTTGTCGCTAATTTTTATTTTTGACAAGTATAACTATTAATCTTAAAAATTCAAAATAAATGTTTTTCTGAATTTGCATACAGTTATAATATTGACAAGTATTTTTTAAAAATTTTCTTTTTTTCATTTATAATTAATATAATTTATGTTTACACCTTAAGAATATATCTAAGTAGATTAGTTATACATTTAAGTACCTATTAAAAATAAAACTATGGTTATGGTATCATGACATTTTGCCTTTTAAATATGCATCCTAATTATTAAAACTGTATGTTAAGTACAACCATATTATTAAAAAACATATTTATCATGCTAAACCTGGCATTATAAGATCTGATTTTTAATGATATTGCCTGGTTTCTACAATCCATCACTTACCAAGATAATATTAAATTTTTTCAGAGCCTTATTTCACAGGCAAACAATTATCTCTGTGGTCATTGATAATATAAATGTTTTATTCCCTTATTTATTATTAAATCTATGAGAAAATTTAAAATTGTTATTAGAAATGTCCCATGAAAAATGGTATAACGACTAATAATTAAAAAAATTTAGATACAACTTTTTGGATTGTATCAATTTTGATGATGGATTAAAATATATCTATGTACTCTATAATGATTAAAATTTGTAAAAGTAGACCAAAAACCCTAGAAAAATATATTAACTCGATTGGATAGAACAACCACAATGAAACTGTCATTAAATAAAGAACAATCGCAAGACCTACTCGTATTACACAGGTAAGTGTAAGAAATAGTCTCGCAAGTCGCAAAAAACCTACTGGTCTGAGTGCATTGTCGATTTCCAAGGCACCCATTACCTAACTAAATACTAATATTAAAAAACTGTTAATTTTTTCATAATACATGTTATTTTATTAAAAATGGCTTTATATAAATAACTACACCTGCATATTTTTGATCGAAAACAACTCTTCATTGCAACTGTATTTTGAAACGCATAAGCCTACAATAGTTTTGAACACAGATATAGATTTTTCAATAATTGCTTGATTTATCGTTTAGAGTACATTTAAAATTTTCGTTTATAATGTTTATTGTAACAATCTTTACAAATAGCAATTTTCACATATAATTGATTAATTAACTAAAAATCATTTTAAAATTGTACAGACATTGATACCTTGTAAATGTTATGAAGAATCCAAATGTTTTTTCAATACTTAAATTGGATTATTTTAATAACGTTTTGTTCAGAATAGAGAAACACATGTTTTTGTAAGCGTTATAATGTTGAAAAAAAAAATTAAATACCACAATAGTTCTTTTTCTTTTGTTAATTTATATGTTAACATATTTTTACTTAATGTAAAGTTTTAGTAATAAACAACTATACAATGCACCTTAATAAATGCTAGTGTACAGGCCTCTCAAATAATTATTTTATTAAATTATTATTTTCATTTTTATTCCAATAAAAAATTATTTTAAGTACAAATTAAAGATTGATTTCAGTATATTATTCATTTTCATTTTTTTTATATTTTTTAAATAAATGTTTGCAGGACTTAGTAGTTTTAATGTGTTACTATCATTTCAATAACTAAAAAAATTGTGTACATTTCTTTTACAACCCACAGCTGATATTTAAATAAGCCATAAGGGTTTCCTTTTAAAATAACCATATAGTGTTTAGTGGCAAAGTCCTGACCTGTAGAATTTATTTAACTGAAAAATATATGGCAAAAAAAAATTAAACCAGAACAAAAATCTTTAATTTTTTTTATGAAAAATCCCCATACAAAATATCTTTTAATAAATATCTTCAGAACTTAACAAATTAAGTACAATTTATTTTACTTAATTAAATTAACATAATCTCATAAATTAAACAACAGGTGCATTGTGTAGATTCATAGCTTTGAATCTAATAATAAAAATATTAAAAATGTAAGAATAGGTAAAATACATTTTTCTATTCAAACAACTATAAACCAATTTTAACAGTATTAATTTAATTTTTTTTAAAAAACAAATACTTTGATTGAAAACAATTATATTTAATACAAAATATTTCAGTTACATTTAACTCCATTTATTTTATTTAACTTACTTCATACTTTATTTTGTTGTTTTGAACTTCTTTGTATGTCAGGTTGCTCATAGAGGTTTCATAATACATACAATAAATTATTTTTTTTTAATCTTCAACGTCTTCATCAGTAGTAAATTCTGAAATATCACTTTGTTTATCTTCTTCTTTAGTATCGTTTTCTTCATCAGATATATCCCACTGTGGATGTTCTGTTAATGGTTCAGGTGCTTCTTTCACATCCAACTAAATATGTTTATATATGACATAATAATAGCGTGTTAAAGAAAATGTATTATGTAATCAAATGTTTACATTAATATACTAGATGTATGACTACTCACTTTAATATCATGCATTTGATCGAAACCAAAATATGAATCTGATCTTAAACAAACAGCAAAAACATAAACTCCCGGCCATCTAGGAGCAGTAAATTTCAATTGAATTTCTTCTTCATCTACTAATTCAGTTACATGATACGGAACTGTAAGTAAAGTACGACTTTTCCGATCACTTAAGTACACCCACCAATATTCATGTTTTTCCTGCAAGAATTTTTAAAGAAAAATTAAATATACATTATAATCAGATAAAATATATTGTACTGTTATTATTTATAAATTAATTACTTCTGGGTAATAAGGACAATGAACTAAATGTGATTGTTTAGTTCTACCTTCAAGTACTCTATCTTTTTTGTTTGAACCAGATTGGAATTTATCCCAATCATCATCATCATCATCATCTCCGTCATTTGAAGACACCTAAAGATCACAATAAAAATAAATGAAATAATTTAACTATACGTGTTTATACCATATAATATCTAACTTGAACTTAGGTATAATAAAAGCTACCATAGACACCACTTTAAATATTTTATTATGTGCAGCCCCACCATACAAAATACCTGGACACGACACTGCCTGAAAGCTTGGCTATTTTAAAACAATTTAATTTTATCTAATTAGTTAAGAATAAAATATTTTAGCCGCCCTAGTTATAAAATATAAACCAAAATATTTATTCAATACGTTATGTAGAGTTCAGATTTTTTTTTTAAACCATATCTTACTTTAACTAAAACAAACCTTTTTTTTATTATCTATTGTTTCTTCAGCATCAGATTTATCTGATCCTTCGTCGGAACTATCAGTGCTGCAACTATTTTCAGAGTCTGAATCATCATCTGAAGATTCATTAATTTCTTTATCCTCTTTTTCTTCCTTCTCGTCATTTTTTTCACCTTCATTTTCTTTAGACTCATTTTCTTTTGGCTCTTGTTGATCATCCAACTTGTATAAAAAAGTAAATCATTAAATTCCACCAAATGGTAAATAAAATTGAATTAAAGAGGGTTAGATATTTAAAACACAAATTTATCACAATCCTTAAATATAAGTTATAGAAATATATATTTATTTATCAGAAATACTGTAATACAAGGTAGAGATAGGCAGAGAAAGAAATCGACGGATATCAAAAATAAAGACACAAAAGTAGATGAATAAATAAATGATGATAGAAAGAGAGAATTTGGCTGAACTATTTAATTAGTCTACAGAAAAAAAAATTTCCCCAAAATGTAAAAATATTCAATCATTTAATCAACTTAAAAACTCATAAATACCTTAGCTTTTTCTAGTTTTTCTTTCTTTTTGATTTTTTTCTTTGCATGTGCTGATAATATAGTTTTTTGTTTTTTCGTATTACTTTTTTTACTACTTTTTCCTGTTTGACGCTTTTGTTGCCAAATACCTTTGGTCGATTTTGGTTGTTTTTCATTTTCTTTGGTCTCGTTATCTTCTTCATTGTCATTTTTTTCTGTTAAATCCCCGTTGGGTAAAGATTTTTCTTTTTCATTTGAATTTTTTTCTAACTCCACATGTTTATCGGCATAAGTTTCGTCCCCAAATAAAACTTTCATATCTTGTCTTTTCAGCTGGACAGTTACTGTAACTATTGCACCAGCCGTATAAACTGTAGTTGCTTCATCGTCGATAACTAAAAAAAATTAAAATAAATGCATAAAAATGTATTTATAAAATAATTACTCTTAACCTAACTAACCTTCACAACGAACTTTAAAGTCAATGTAAGGCATCCTGCCAAGAACTTTAACCAAGTCTTCATATTGACTATCTGACAAAAATTTTAATGTGCTGCGCTTCTCTTCGTTTTTCAACTGCGCTAGATGTTGAATACTTCTTACGCGTTTCTAATATTTAAGATAAAAACACGGATTAAAAAAATAAACAAAAAAACTTTAATAAATAAACCGTGAAACACCTTTTTATTGTCAAAGTGTTTAAGATGATCTTCAGTTATATAAGGTAATTGCAGGAAAGGGCTTTTATATTCCCATAATGCCTGCACAACCATAGGGCAAAGTTTCATACAGTTTTCTATTGTTTCAATATTGAGTAACCTAGGAACTGAAAACAAACAATTTTAAATATGCACATTAATGTTTCAATATTATGTATACTACACTTATATTTGTATAATTATATTTTTTAATTAATACTAACCTCTTTGAGCATATGCAAGCAAAATCAATTGAGAAACTACACCGACCATTTCTTGAATTAAATAAGGACATTTTTTTACAATATACATACGATCTAAATCTAATGTATCAGCCTTAAGTACTAAACGTGATAAATGTGCATGAATCAATGCTCGAGCTTTTATTGAATAATTATACGACAATGGTGGTTCCTTCTGAGCTTTCTCCATAAAATTATATAGTTGTTTAATCAACTAAAACATCACATAATAAAACTTAATTAGTAAGTAAATAATGGCAATTACAATAATTTCAATAAATAAAATGTTACAAAATATAGTTAAAAGACCACATTTTTATAATTACTCATAAATTATTATTAAAAAAAACAACAATTATTACCTGCGGCATTTCCTGCTCGTCACTAGACCTTTCCACTATCTCACTGTTATATTTTTTCTCAAATTCTAAAGAGGCACTTAAAATCATTATTACACGTTTAAGTGGAATCGAATTTGATTTGTGTAGAAAGTAGTAATACATTCGTGAGGTTTCTAATAAAACCTAATTAATGAATACATAAATAAGATATAAATAAATATTATAAAAAAATACACATGTTTACCTTATCTCCAGAATATCTAATAGACTTATACCACCACATACCCACAGTTGTAGGGAGGGCTATCATAAACACTAGAGCGTAAAGACCCAAAACCTAAATCATAAAAATTACATTGTGTATAAATTGAAGAAAATTACTATTACTATAACAAAAGTATTATTGTTATAAATCAGTGAAATTGTTACCCAAAATGAATTTTCTTTTTCAACTATCCAAGAAGGTAGCGCAATACCAAAACTCATTGCTCCTGGACCATCAGGGTTTCCATACTTTTCCCAATTTTTTCTAGATTCTTCATCAGTTAAAGCCTGGTAAGCTAAAATTAAATTAACATTTTTAATATAAATTGAGCTTATGCACAAAGAAAAGAATTTTAATGAACTAAAATTTTGATTTTCTGTGTATTAATGCAATTTGCAATTGCTACTGAAATGTTATCATTTGTATTACAATTATTTAATTTAATTCTAAAGAAGAATTAGAAGAATATTCTAAGATATGTTGTAATGTACAATATATTCATTAACTTCACTAACATCCAAAGAAACATTGTTATGAATTGTAACATTTTCTATAGAAATAGATCAATTTAAACATTTAAAAAACCTTACTCAAATTATACTTTATGAATGACCTTAGTAAAAATACATATAAAACATTATTTAAATTAACTATGAAGTTAATAAATCTAAGATTTTAACATAAAGATGAGCTGTTACGGAATCGATTCAATCAGTGTTAGAAATATTGTAATTTTTATTCAGGAACAAAGATCTCGATAATTATAGTTTTATATAACAGTATAACAAACCTTTAGTAAGCTTCATGAATTTTTTTTCATCTCCAGTTTCCTTGTCAGGATGATATATTAAAGATAACTTTCTATATGCTTTTTTAATAGCTTTTTCATTAGTTCCCTGAAAACCACCAAACCGGTATTTAGTTAATAATTAATATATGCAATTAATTATATATATATATACAAATTAATTATCTTATATACATACAATTGGAACATTGAGAATGTCATATGGATCAAAACTTGCACTCTCATAATCAAACTGTGAAACCTTATATGCAAGGAATGCCAATAAAGCCCAACCAGCAATAATGATAATTTTTCTAAAAAAAAAATACATGTTTAATATTAATTTTTTAAATTCTTAAATAGAAAAATTATACTATGAAATAAACTATTAAATTAAAAAAATTACTATTTAACACTATGGTCTGAAGTTGTTAATCACACTGTAAAATAAAGAGAACCGCTAAGTGTGATCTTTGATAAAAAGAGGTCACCACAGGCATAGTTAAATGAAATTCTGTATAAAGATTTTTAGCGTAATTTGACCATTTTTTGAAAGATTATAAAGCTCAAGCCGTATTTAAGATAGAATATAATATAATTTTTAGGGTGCTTTGAAGGAGAAGAGGTGCATTGATTCAAATTTATACTTCAGGTACTATATTTCTGATTTATAGATTTGCTACATCTTAAAATTGGCCTAGTGGTTATTATAAATTATAATAAATATAATAATAATTGTGTACTATAACAGGTAATTTTAATTTTATTAGTTTATAATAATATGCTCTTAGTGATTCTATAAATAGATATAACTGGATCACACGGTCTTAGACATAGCTAGAAAAATACTAGTATTACTGTGTAGATTACAAATTGAAAACGCAAATACATTTGGCTTAATAGATAATAAGAATGTAACTGTTGTTTCACTGTATAAGAGCAATATTCATAAATGTAGATAGTTCACTACACTGAAGTAAGTAGATGTGGCAATAATAAAACATTTAATATAATATATTAAAAACCTTCATTGTAAGTTAAAAGTAAATATAATAAAGTTTCTTTTAAAAAATAAAAAATATTTTATTCTATCTAGTTTCAAATATGTTTATTTTGAAATTCAATAAAAACCAATTCACTCATCATTGCTTTGATATGATGATACTTACACGAGTATTCTTTTCATTAATTCCCATGGTTTTGTAGACTGAAGAATAGTCTTTTTTTTCCTGCATCCTGGACAGTAACATTCTGATGCCAATGCTCTTGGGTCTATAAAATAACACTTTTACAATTTTTATACTTACTCAACACACAAATAAGCACATTTCATACCTTCTCTTTGTTTTCTAGGCCACCAATAATACGTCCCCGGCACCAGTAACAAAGCTAAGAACGATAATATGAAATAGAAAAATGTCGCGCCGCTTTCATCGTATTGAAATTTTTGGCCGGCCATCGCTTCGAATTAATTAGATTATTATTTAAATTACTTAAAGCACATGCTGCGCGTATACGTGTTAAATAATTATTAAATCCTAAAATAAATAAAATATAATTTAAAAATTAATTTTATTCCGACATGGAAAGACGATTGAGTATTCACGAATAATTATTAACCAGTACAACAATTATCATAACGAAGTAACACGTCATATGCACAGATAACGTCGACGCATTATTATTTGCAGGTATAAATTGATAAATGATAACAGACTTATAGAATTCACAATCTTCGCAGGAATTATTCCACAGAAATCACAAAAAGTTTTCTTATCAGAGAGATAAGGAGGTCTTGACGTCGAAACTATTATTATTACTAATAGTCGATACGTTAAAACGTTCACAAATTTTAACTAATCAACAAAAATCGTTAATTGAGGATTTAGAACATTAGCCGAAAAACATAAAGCTAAGACCTAAAAAAATATAATAATAATGTTTGAAGTGGTAACTGGTAAAGGTAAACTAGCTTGAAGAGATATAGATTTACATGTTATTTTACCCTTATGTCGGTCTGTCGAGGACGTCCCCCACTCATTGTCAGTTTCATACGTTAATATCACAATTTAAGATAATAAGATATTATCTTTAATCGTGGTTAATATCAAAGATTACATATATATCTATATCCGTGTCGAGTAGTTCTTTGAGGTGTAACCGGTTAATATCATAATTATGAAAACCTCAAAATGGCTGTCGGCTTTCTTAAGAGAGCTATAAGGTAGATTTATAGAAAATATGTATGCCGTAATCAAATTGTATGTAAATATTCACAAACTACAAAAAAACTTCCAAGCGGCGAGCCGCAGTTCATTAAATGGCAAACAACAAAGAGAATAAATTATTGAGGTATGAGTATAGGGAACATAGTGTTATAGGACGTTTTTTTCCAAAAATTTTCCTTGATTCTTCTATTTTATTATGCAATTTGCTTGTCAATATCCAACCAGCACTAGATCAACTTCATGATTATGACTAGACGGACAGTGTACGACGGGCACAATCGACTATGTCGACAATCGACATTGGCTAAATAATTTTTATGAAAAACTTCCATTTCTTTTCCATTATCCCTTCATTTCAAAATCCTTGATAACGTTGTTCGATGACCTTCATTTGTTGATGAAATTATGTTTACATTGGTCAACGAAGAAGAAAATATAATACGCAATCGCAATTGAATAAAAAAAAAAAAAAGGAAAAAACAGAAACAGTTAAATTTTGATACTTTTACTATAATACACTAAATTTATCAAAACTTCAGAATTTATTAAAATATTTTTCTTCAATAGTAGCTCGTTTTAATCGTAAGTGCTAACACCGTAACAAAAATGAGCAACCCGAGCATATTTTAACATTAAAATTTTTGGTAATTCGATTCAGTGAATTAGCGGTTTCTATTTTAATCAGAAAAAATGGCTCATTCGGATATTTCAATCGACTGTTCACATTGTAAGTATTGTTTTTTGGTAGGCAATTCAGTTATTTTCATTTTTTAAACCAGCGTAATTGTTGCCCTGTTTACTGTGTCTCAGTCGTACGTATGTACATAATAACAGTACACAACAGTCGTAGATAGTGTTTAATTTTAATGCTATCTAATTAGTAATTAGTTTTACGGCCTTCTAACTACGTGATGCGTCTTTGCCAAATGGCAAATGCCGAAAATCGAAATCCCGTGCAGCAATGGCGCAGGTGCTTCACAGACATAGTGGGTATGGTTTGTTGTATAGACTGTAGAGATTATAGAGTGGTATAAGGTGTATGGGGATAATACAGATTACAGAACAATATGTACTTTATACTATTATACTATATTACTAATGTGCGCAGAACAGAACTCAGAAGTAGCAGCTGCTGCAGCAGCTACTAAAGGTATGTCTTACGAGTTGTGGACGGTATTGGCTGTTCGACGTTTCTAGTGTTGGCAACACTGCGGCGCTACACAGCGTTCCATAAAACTAAAATGTGTGTAAACTGTCAGTCATTTTTGTTTTCGTGCTCGTGGCTCTACGCTGTTTTGTTACGACGTGCGTTCGTTGCTCTTATTGTCCACTGTGCGATCAACGAGAAGCCATTTTGTTATTACGAAAGCGTTCGTTAAGATTGTTTTTCGACCATTCCATACCGCACAATATTGTTCCTGCTGTAGTCGTGACGCTGCCGTAAATCAATTGTGTTTAGTTCATATTAACGTTAACGCGACATGGCTTGTGCTACGCTTAAAAGGTCGTTGGATTTCGAACCACCGATGTGCAGACCCACCAAAAGACAAAGGTGCACGCCTATGAGCATATCGCCATCGAGCTCGCCACCAAATAGCTCCCGTTCGGAATATGTTTCACCACATTTTGGGGGCGATATTGTACCCAAAATCACAGCAGGTAATTTTTGTCGGTTGAAGTAATGTTTTTCGTCACAAATTATTCTCTAGCGGTGTTATTTATAAGCACAATCTATGCGTTAGCAGGGAATGCCAATCAAACGCTTCGGTCGCTATTTATTTTTATTGTTACTTATTTAAATTTGCTATCATGGTTACCTAACTAACACCACTATCGTTATGTGCTGGTATTGCTTTCAGTCAACCCAATTAGCTAAGGTCGAAGTTTTTTCTTACTATAAATTATAATATACTTATCATTTTTTTTTCTTTGGAAAAATAATTGAATGCGATATAATTACTTTGACATGCATTTTGACGTTTATTTGAATTGGCGTTTATTTCAGGCCCACGTAGAGCCTGATATAGAATTATAGTTAAAATTATTATTTGTGTGGTAAACGGAAAAAATTTTCTTACCTTTTATTATTAGATTGAACAAAATTTCCCATATATAATTATTCTATTATGATAATTTTTGGTATTCAAAACATTTTTCCGTTGTATGAGTGTTAAAAGAAAGTATTTTATTTTAAACATTAAAATCCAGGTGCAATATAACATGCTATGATCAAAGTACAATCAAGGTATTAAGAAATTAAGTGATTCAGGATTTAATTTTCTAGTTTACTTACCTGTATTATTGTAGATTCTGAAAAAGTAATTTTACCTATAAACCATATAAGGGTTTTATAAATAAGTGAATGCATTTCAAAAAAAACATTTTCAGTTTCATTGAATTTCTTACAGTTATGCTTATAAATTTTTATAGTTAATTTTCCCTTGATTAATATATCTAATTTAAATTATAGAAATTTGCCTCCTTAGATCTTACCTAGTTATTATCTTTAATCGTGTTTATGAGTATAAGCTAAAGAAAATTATATACAATATGAGAAAAGTATAACAAAAATTCTGGTTATAAAATATTGTTCAAATTTTTAAAATATTCTTTATTGTTCTTTTAAATTAAAAAACATCACCAAAATTATTTTATTTATTGTTATTTTTATTAATAAAGCCTTAAAAATTGGGCCATTGGCTAAACTATAGGTATTTTTACAATATTTTAGTTGTTAGAAAGTATTACAGGTTTGTTTAAATTAAAGTATATAGCATGGTTTTTTTGAGGAATTCCAAGAAGTTTATTTTGGATTGTACATCAAGTGTAGGGCTGCCTGTAGCTGTTCTGGGATGTTAAATTCGGTTCAGTAGTCATCGTATTTCCTACATTCGGTGAAAATGTGCTTTACTGTCACGGCAATATTACACGTCTCACTTAGTTGAACTTCTCCATTTCTCATTAAGTGATTGTGGGTTAGCCATGTATGTCCGGTTCTGAGTCTTGTTAATACTACCGATTCTCTTCAATTGAGTCGCGAGTTGACTTCCTAATTGTCGGTGGTATGTTTAATTTCTGAGTTTATTGTCTCTTATTCTGTGCCATTGATTTAGGTAATGTTTGTTGATTGAATTTTTTATTTGTTCCTAGATGTTTTGCATTTTGGTAATTTCCCATATCTCTAGTTTGTTATCTGTTGCGGTCTTCCCGGCATGTTTGTCAGCTTGTTCTATACCTTTATATTCTGGAACCCATACTAGTTGGATGGGTGTTTGCAGTTTGTTAATCTCAGCCTTAATTCGATTAGAAATTGAGGTGGTATTGTGATTGTTTTGTAGTTTAGTTAGAACACTTGGCGAATCATTTACGACAGTAACCCCAGCTGAGTTGTATTCTCCCGCAGACTCAACTGCCTTGAATATTGCTAATCCTTCCGCTGTAAAAATGATGTTGAAAGGGTGAATTTTGAATTTATTTATGGCTGTATTGGAAATTAAATGTTATCCTGATACATATAATACCTTTTTAAATAATTCTGTAGTGCTCTGATAAAAGATCTTGGTCCAAAAATTTCGAAAATGGGTTTAACTATATTATAAGGGACAAATTGTTTTTTTTCTTGTGTAAAAGTATTTTATACAATTAGTTACACATTTTATGTTCATTGTAAAAGTTATTTAAATACAAATATTTTTCTGAAGTTTTATTCAGTTTAAATTTCATTTTACCAAAATTAGTTATTTTGAACATAAGCCTGAGCACCACAGAATTAACCTATGTAAAATGTTATTTATATTATGTCGAGTCGGCTATTTGAAAACTCTGCTAAATTTTTTTTACTTGGAGTGGAATGGTAGATACCTATGTTGTTTAATAAATAAAATAATTAAATTTAATGTAATTCTGGCCACAAGAAAACACTCAAAAGGCCATTTAATTACTATTACGGGTTAGGTTTATCACATATATTAACACTTACACTACAATGACATTTATTTAAACTAGCGTCCCACGTCTATCAATTCATTTTGAAAAAGTAACCAGTAAGTGATATTCCTAGTATCATTTGTCATAATTCCCGTGCCACGACTTCTATACTAACTTAGTTTGTAAGCACGAGCATTATCAAGGTATTTCGCATCATGCAAAAAAAAAGATCACAATGGGCAGGAGGCAAGTAGACGAGATATCCACTCATAGTCAGTATAATGTATGTCTGAAAGCAACGACCGACGATTGAAGTACCCATATACTGCTGGTAGACGTACGCCGCCGGCGTATGTTGAAATCGGTGACCTTTAAATGTCTTTAACTTCCAAACTAAGTGTAAGCGGGACAACATTTTTACATATTCATATTCAGCATGAAAAGTACTATCGTTTAAAAAAAAAGAGTCCGGTAAAGTAGATTTATACTAATTTCATTCACTTCTTAGACAATTGTCAATATCTGTTTTTAAAATTCATATATTTAAATTTATAATCTACTGGCATACCTACCTACTTCTTTCTGAGTGTTGATTGTTATTTCTAAATGTATTTAGTTTTAATAAACATTTTAACCATAAATTTAAAATACTATGTTTTGGCGTTTTTTTTCTTCAGAAATGTTGTCTGCCAGTTTGACTGAAGAAGTCCAAAGAATGCGTCGTAAACGGCAGTTGAATATGGAAATATCGGAAAATCGCAATCTTGACGACAGTTCATCATCTGATAGCTCATCTGAAAATACATTTCCATCATCAGCAAAAGATAAACCACTGTTCACTTTTCGTCAGGTAGTTTTTTTTTTTAATCAATAGTTAATATGAAGGCTAACTGTGTAGTAATTAAAGTAAATATACTCTTTGGTATAATATATTTTTAAATTACTAAATTTTTCTCTTTTCCAGGTTGGCATTATATGTGAACGTATGTTAAATGAACGTGAAAGTCAATTACGTGAAGAATACGATAAGATTTTAAATATGAAACTGTCAGAACAGTATGAAGCTTTTGTAAAGTTTTCCAATGACCAACTCCACAGACGTTTTGAAGCTGCAGAAGATCCTAGTTGTAAGTAGTCATTAAATTCTTTAGTAATATTGGCATATATTATGTTAGTATTATTAATATATCATATACAAATTATGTAGGATGAATGTCACTCACTTGAAACAGAGATTGTCAATTCATTTAATTTTTCTAATCTATTTTCTATTATTTAACTATGCAAATTATAAATATCCAATAACTGAAGAATTTCTTTGTTAACTGATAAGTTTTATTTTGAATGATTTTAAATTTATTTTGTTCAATTTAATTCTTCTTCTTTATCTTCGCCTTACACTCCCAACTACATAGTGTCAGCCACCCTAGTCCTACACCTCCATAAAGCTCGGTCTATTTTATTCAATTTAATTAAGAGAGAAAAATGCATTTCAATTCAAACATTTTATAACAAATCAACTCAGGGTGGGATCTTTAAAATCGCAAAACTGAAAAATCACTTTAAATTTTCAATCCTCGGTTAAGTAAAATAATTATTACCAAACGTATTGCTCACGAAGATTCTTAAGAGGATGCCAAAGATGAAAGATCTGTTGTCTGTCACTCATGGAATGAATGAAAAACTGTATACTACACTTCCAATAGTATGGCTTAATGGATTTAATCGCCTATAATAAAAATTTAAGACTATTATAAATCTAATCATTTTTAAGGCATTCAGTATAAACATTTTTTTGCAAAAACACAACTAGGAGCTTAAATTATTTTGTTTCTTCATTATGATAGTATTGTAGATACTTGATTCAAGTCGATAGTTTTATTTTATTAGACTATCTTAGACTTCTTTAGTAATGGTTTCCTCAAAAATAACTTCCTGCTTTCTCAGTGTAGTATCTTAAGATATTAAGTATGTTGGAGATGTTTACAAAATGCTGTTACTAAAATTGTATGTTAGTAGAAAAATGATTCTTTTGCTCTCTATCCATTATAATTTGAGTACTATTACTCGGTAAAGCAGAGGTATTTGAAATGTGAACGTGGTTCCAAGGAGTGTCATGTAAGTTGGTCAGGAAGACCCTGGGGTTATGGATTTTCGTATACCTTAGTGGGTAAATATTTTGTGAGACATCAAAATATTGTGAAGACAGAAAAGAGCCGTGGGATGAAAAATGTTAAATACCAATGGTCTAGAGTAAATGTTATTCAACTAGTGATACTATAAATAAAATTGCATTATTTTGCTAAAGCATTAGGTATTATGGTACAATTATTTTATATTGTTGTTTTGCGCCGTTTAATTGATTTTTTTTGTTTGTTTTAGATTTGTCTTAACTGTATCAAATACAAGCGATGATTTTGAATTTACAACAAAATTTTAGACGCACTTAATAGATAAATAATCAGCCTTAAGTCAACAATCGACTGACTAATAATTTTTTTTTTTTTGTATTATACATTTTTGTAAACTCAATATAATTAAATTAATTTAAAATATATGAACTTCATGATATTAGTTAAAGAGTAATAATTAATTTAAGTAATCATTAAGATAAGATTGTTTTGTTTTGTTCACTTTTATAATTGCGTAATTGAACTGTTGGATATTGGCTCAAAATAATTTTGTAAATGGCTTTTAATGATAAATGATAAAGTCATGATTCTACTTTTTCGTTTGTCTCATAAAACAATGTTTTATTTTGTAAGCAGACATATTTTTCTCAGTCATAAACAAGTATAGTGGCCTCACACTACTTATTTTTAGAGCTTTACCATCTTCTGGTTTATTACGACTGAACTTGATGGCTTATATAAATATATGTGTGTATTTAAGGCTCCCCAAGTTTTATATAAGTAAGCATTTTGATTACGCGACTTCCAAAGTTCTAATGTATAAAGTTTTATTACAGCGAGATTATGAACAAGTTTAAATGGTTTGTATTATGCTGTACTTGTTCATTCAAGACGATCTCGCATTTACTTCTTAATGTTAATAAATATTAAACAAATATATATATATATATAAAAATATATGTATACAAACATGTATATGTATATAAAAACATATTATAATGATTATTTTCAAGTTAACATATAAATAAATATGTGTATTTTTTTTTTATTATTATTATTATTTATAAATACAAATTGTAATGGAAAACTATTTTTTTTTCTATTAGGCCAACGTAAATTATTTTGTTGGGAAAAATACTTGTATAATTTAGTTAATAATACAAATTTGATGATAATAATAAAATATCAGACTTATTAATGTAATATTTTGCATTTTTTGTTGAAAAAGTACCGTTCTTCATCATACTGGAAATTAAATGATAAAAAAAACAACATCAGAGTTAGTGTTTTTCAACTTCAAAATATTTGTAGTGCTTAAAGTAAATTTTTCTACCAAGTAATTCTACAATAATTTGTTGATTTTTTTAAGTTTTTGAAGTTACACAGTGCTCTAAGCTATTTGTAGCTTTAACGATACTAATAAAATACTTTTGCTTTTATGACAAGAAGGTATTGTACATAGACTATAATGTGTGTATACATAAATAAAATAAGGATATTGTTTAAAATAAATTATGCTATCAAATTATGTTTTAAGAAGGAGGACATGTGGCCTAGTGAGTAAGACGTCTGTGTAATTGGCACTCACTGTCACTAGTTCAATGTCATGGATCCTCCATTTGCCAGGCGAAGAATCGTTGGCTGAAATGGAGCTTCAATCCCCCTCTTGGGCTTCGGATGAAAACGTCATGACATATAAACGGTTAAGGGGGCTGGGTATGGTTAATTCGTGCAAAAAACGGCAAATTGTTGTGAATTTTTTTTGACGATACGGTTAAAATCTGTTTATTAAAACTAATGGTACATTAAAGTATAACATTCGAAGAATATTGTGTAATATTAAAAAATACGGCAATGGCGACAATTATTCGGAAGCGTCTCGGAAAAAAGTAGAATTGCGGTGTCCCTCATAACTCGATGCTGCATCATCCGAAATTAAAAAAATCAAGTTCTTTCGTTAGATAATTGCTTTCCCCAGGTAACGCTGTGAGGGTTTTTTGAAATTTCAATTTTTCACTTTTTGGGAACACTTTGAAGGGAAAAACGCGATTTTTGCGAAAAAAATTGGCTAATTTGTTATTGTAAAATAAAAAATATTAACAAATTTGAAAAAAACTTTCCAGCGTTACCTCGTTAGTTACCCCCCCCCCCCCCTTAAGAAACCTTATGTTTCTTGCCTTCGGGAGAGACAGCGTTGGACCTTAGCCCTTAATGGCTAGTTAAGATTAAAAAATTGTATGTATATAATACGTAGATATTAAGGCTAGAATTATTTAAGAATTATGAAATTGAAAACATATTTGGTAGAACACATGGATGCCCAGTTTTCGGGATTTCGAAACAAGACTATCATGCCAAAAGTTGGACATTCATACTTTAGTAAGACAAATTATCTACTTTTGTGATTTGTCCTAACGCCATAGATGTGTACACAATCATATTGTGACGTGACAATTGTTGAAAAATTAAAAATATTTTTTTCACCCCAACGCGACTAGTTTTATAGGACGCGGTCATAAAAATGTGATACTAAGAATGTTTTGTGAAAAGTAAAATGGTTAAAAGTCATTGACACTCGGAGTCATTAACCATATTACAGTATAACCTAATCGCCTTCAATTTGATTTATGGCAAAACACCATAATTTAGTGCCTTAATTTTTCACTCGTAGTAATAATTTATTTTATTTGCCCTTTTATTCAAAAATTCGTTTCTTAAAGCTCAATTACAAAATGGTACGAGATGTAGACTTCTTTTAATGACTTATTATAAGTATGGATAGAAGTAGTGAGTGAATTAAGCAGGTGGGTCATTCGTAAAAATGATTTACTCTATTGGAAATAAGCTATTGAATATTTGAATAATATAATACTTCACCACGACACTGATCCATGACAATATACTATCCTATTGCCAATAAATATAGATTTGAAAAATATTGTACAATGTTTATTATTTTTTTTATTTTTGGAAAATGTTAGCAAGACCTAGAGAGCCCTACTAAAAGTCTTTTGCAACTAGTCGACTCGTGCGTCGCTAACAGCCTGCGCATTATAGTGAACGTGTATAATACCAATGAATTATAATAATTTATACACACGTGTTCAGTAGGTACCTAATAATATAAATTATAATAATATGAATTGTGCATTTCAGATTCTGTTTATATTATGTACTTTAGATAATAAATAATAACAAGCTAAAACGCGCTATTGAAATTAAATACTTAGAAATAGGTACTGTTCATAAAAGAATAAACTATTCATATCTCCGATAAAAGGTCAGAGTTCAAAAACGATTAGATAAATTATTACAAGTCTAGGTCCAAAAGACAATACAATTCAGAATTATGAGAAGGTATCGCAGTAATAATAATATATAGTATAGTTCAATATGTCTTCTACCGCTACATCCCAAAAAATGTCTTACCAGGCTCCGATTGACTACCGAAACATGTACTTGGATAGTAATGGAACGTATTTCAACTATCAGATCCCGTTACAGCCAGTTAAACGTTCCAATATACCGACATCGACGGTTATTTTCACTTTGAGTGTATTATTGTGTCTATTCAGTTGTTTGTTAACTGCTACTTTGTCGTATAAATGGCATACGGACACCAATTATCGAATTGACCAATTGGCCAGCACGGTCGGGATAGTAATAAAGGAACTGGAAACTTTTAGAAACATAGTCAGAGACGAGTTGTTGACTAAACACGAAAATAATAATTACCAAGAACACACAGAAACATCAATGGATTACGGAGACGAAGAGGATTACGAGGACAATAAGTTTATGGGAAGAAGTTTATTGCTTAACAATTCACCACTTAACAATACAGTGGATGTACCAAGAGAAGTTGATGACAGGGTTCGACGTAGTGCTGAGGTAGACGTAAATAATGATGCTAAAAACAATTTAAACAGGTAATATAGATTTTATTTTACTTATCTATACATTTTTTAAAAATATTATTATTAGACCTAATAAATATGTCATAACAATTCTACGTTTATAATTCTTGCAAAAATTAATTTAAGCACAAAAAAAAAAATAGTTATAGGAATATTTGACGGCTATTCAATTTAAAATGTACAAGTAAATAGGGTTGTTAAACATTTGTAATTAAAATAACTATTTTGAAGTTGTATTGTTATTAAAAAGTCCTAGCAAACCAAAAAAAATGATTGAGGTGGATTTAAAACCGGAAGAAAGTGAAGAAAATACCGTAAGGACATACATTCGCCGTAAACCCAAGAAAATTGGTACTAGAAAAAAAAATCCCATCACAGAAATAGACGAAGACGATGGTGTATATGAGGATATTAAAGACCCAAATGAAATTTATGCTGCTGCCCATTTTATTAGTGATGCTTCAAAGTATAATACACAAACACACGCGCATTACCACGGTAAGCCACATTTTAGTCACTTTTATATAGTAAATTTGAGTTTTCTTACTTAACATAGATTCAATTGCAAATTAACTTATTTTGTACTAAATGAAAGGTTCAGAGTCAACTACAGTTATTTTTTTAACCCTGAACATAAAATGTTTTTATTTTTACTTAACTCATGATGTTGTACAAAAGACATGGAAAAATAATGACTACCCATATGATATAAGAAAATTAGATGATACTTCGTACTTTTTATATAGGACCATACCATTAAAGATTCAAAAACCTGTTTATGTCTTACAATTAGTCACTCTTTTATATTAAAATATTATAATAAATATTAAATAATTAGCTTCAACTGAGAAACAATAAAATATGTGTATAAATAAAAACTAATATTTTTAAGGAAATGGCCGATTACGACACCCAGATGGTGATTTTAAAGATTGGACACCATATATTTGGGACACAAATATAAATAATGGAAATAATTTTCAAATGAAGAATGGAAAAATTGAAATTTTGAAGAGTGGACTTTACTATATTTATGCTCAAGTATATTAATTTTGACATTATTTATGAAACTTTATAAATAACCTATTATATTATGTAAACATCAATGGCAGATCCTATAAGGGTCAGTTTAGGACAGTAGTGCCATTTGGGAGAATGGCAGTAGGTGTAGGCATTTGCCCGCCATTGATTTTTGTGGCTGGTCAAATTTCCGGTACGTAAGGCCGTTTTTTTATGCAACTACTTACCTTTACTAATAATGAACCGTTTGAACCGACTATCAAGTATAATAGGTTTGAAGGATTATACGATGTGTGTTATTACTGTTTTGTATCCAAGTGTTTTGGAAAACAATTTTTTATATTTGTAAATGAACATGGAACCGATAAAAATTTTGCCCACCTTATGAAAAACTGGAATGGCGTCGGTGTTTTAATTTGCCGGGGACCGAACAGAATTTTGCAGCCTCTTTCGAAATCTAAAATGACTGATGTCTGATAACTAAAACTTAAAAGTATGAAAACAGAGTAAAGTTTTTTTTTAAATTACAATTTTTAGTTTGTGGTTAAAACAACTGTCTGTGGGAGGAGTGTAGTAGCTCGTTAACATTCTTAAATCTGTTAAAATAATTAACTCATGTTTCAAAACATATATAAATCATTAGTGTTGTAGTTAATTAATATTATAAGCAAAATATGTTCTATTAATTCTATTCTAGCTTAAGCTATTTAGGTGTTTGCTGCCTGCTCCAAGGAGTGGTTTCTAAGTATGTTCAATGTTTAGTTTGAATAATTTTTTTTTATAATTTTAGGTTTATTATTCTGATCAACATGATATCAATGGATATTATATTATGAAAAATGACGATAAAGCACTCGGCTGCACTACAACAAGGCATCGTGAGACACAATCGGACTCATGTTACACAGGAGGACTAACATATTTAAATACCAAAGATATAGTATCTATAAAAGGAATAGATAGTGAAAGATATATAATCTTAGACCCTTATAGAAGCTTCTTTGGTCTTTTTAAAATACCTAATGACAATATAAAGGTATAAATTTCCACATAACAAGATAATATAACATTATATTTATTACTTTAAAAAATATAAATAAATAAATATATATATATATATTGTAATATAGATGTGTAAAATAATATAGTATAAATTTAATGTTTTCACAGTTGTAAAATTGGACGGATTGTTTGTCGTAAGTCTTTAGTCTGATACATACAAAATTATTTCTATCTATTCTAACAGATCTTTGATAAAATTTACAATAAATAATTGTATGTTTGTATACAAAATACATATAATTTTTTAATATAAATATTAATATATATCCAAAAATAAAAAAATCAGCATTATATATAGGTAAATTGAAATATCATAGGTATAAATAATTATGTTTATGTTGAACTTTTATAATACAATTTATAAATTATAGTCAACTTTTTTAGGAGAAAATGTTGTTTAGTAACTTAATGTATGTATACTTTAATGTTCACAATAAAATAAAAATGTATAAAAAAGTTAATGCTAGGTATTTAATACTTTGTGTATGAGAATATCTCACTTCTCATTAGACTAAAACTTTATAAACTTATAGCATATATAGTACTTATCAGAGTAATACAAGAGTCATTAAATTAAAATAAGTGCAACTGAATGTTGATAAAATATTTGTTTAGTTCATTAGCCCTATAAGTAATGGTAAAACGGAAATTATTAATAAATAACTGAATGAACGAATCAGATTTGACCCATTACAACCATCGGAATCGCATGTATAAACACAAGTTCTATATTCAAATGCGTCACCTGGCTGTTTTATATAATCACAATAATTCCCTAAATTATGTGACGAACAGTAGCGTTTTACACCAACTCCACCTAATTGATAAAAAAAATATGTACATGTGTATATTTATATAATTAAAAAATAAAATAATTATCAAAAGTATAAATTATTTACCTTCAAATCGGCCAGTCAACTTAATACAATAAGCTGCATTGTAAACTTCAGTGCAAGGTGTCGGTAGCATATCAACATCATCCATAAATTCTGTACACTGAAACTGATCCTGAAGATCTGTGCTATTACATTGATAACATGAAATGCTAATGGCTGTAAAAATAATATATAATATCGGATAAACACTGTTAGTTTTCTGTTACCACACCTATTTTACACGCCTTAAAATAAACAAAGTAATGTGCAATAATTACCCGTTTTAATACTGACAGACATAATCAGTAATAATAATAAAAAGTGAATACTTGCAGGCATTTTGTAACTATATTTGAAATAAAAAAACTATTTTCTATTTACCGTACTATTGAGAAAAAAAATCAAACTATTTTATACCTGTTGCATACTTGTGTTAACAAAATAACAGATTTTAAATAACAAAATATTATTATGTATTCAGTATTGATATGCGTCGTGATAACAAAACTAAAGTATTGACTTCACAGATATATATAATAAACTAGATTGCTAACTAGCGATAAGAATTGAAGCCGACGGTCCGCCATTCTGGTGGGATTTATGTGTGTTATCAATGCATATAATATACAACTGTATATATTATTATATCAATATTGTTATAAATGTGATTGTTATAAACATATATAATTCTCGCGTGATAAGGTTCTAATTCCCACCAAGATGGCGGTAAGTGGCTGCTTCAATCTTCTCTATTGGTGGCATGTACAGTTAGCAATCTGGTTTATTATATATATCTATGATTGACTTTTTGTTTGACTATGGATAATAAAAGCATGGAGGAAAATATAATAGCAGCTCATCAGTTATTATTATAGGAGAGTTTCTGCCGCTGCCACCAGAGGTCAGCTGCTTTGCTTTTTTTGTCAATTTGTATGACACACAACGGTAAATCAAGAAAAAAAAATAGGTGTGTCAGCAACTTGTGATAACCGTAAAATGGTTGTTAGTTTTTTCGGGCAGCTGTGTAATCCTCATAAGAGTACTCTGGCCACCATATTGTAAAAATGTAAAACACAAGTTATTGATACACCTGTTTATTAGGTCACGGTAAATATCAAGTCGATCAGCTGTTTGTGGATTTATTTATTTATATTTTCATTCGATAATTTATTATTATTATGTTTTCACTATTGATAAAAACCAAATTTGTTTAATTTTTTTGTTATGATGATTATTTGAATATTTGAAAATAGATCAGAATACATAAATATTATTAACAAGTAATTACATTTGGAACATATTCTAATGTTTTTCATGTTGACGCAGATAAATTGCTCAAGATAAGGCTTAAATCAATTTATTCTATTTCGATAATTACTGTAGTTAGTCGAAGCTTTAAGTTTTATTTATAATAAGGTCAAATGCAAGTGTTAAATGGTAATTCATAGATACATTTTTGGAATATACTAGAAGTCTTAAGAATGAATGTTACGTCAGAAGACCTACCCGAAATTCAACCGGGTGTATTTACTTATGAGCTGTTCACAATACTTAGCAACTTTGAATCTGCTAACCTTGCTCAAGCAAAGTGTGTGCGCAAACAAACGCCTGGCATTGGTGCGATGGTAATAAATAACTATTAAGTAGGTTTATGTTAAGTGTCTCTATATTTGTAGATGATGACTTGGAGTTCTATTTGTGGACAAAGCCGGATTGCGGCGGTACAGAGTTTGAATGCAACTACAGATCATGGTTCTACTTTGCTATAAAAGGTATAGGCAAATTAATTTAGGAAAAATTATTTATTTAATCAAACCATTTTTAAAGGAGGTATTCCGGGAATGGCTGTAAGACTAAACTTGATTAGTTCGAACAAACAAAGTAAAATGTACAGTCAAGGTATGGCTCCAGTATGTAAAGTTGATATGGGAAAATCTGATAAATCTAACACTAAATTTTCTAAAGCTTCCTGGTCAAGAATTAAGGAAATACCTATTTATCAGGTACCACTTTTTATAAATGCATAAGAAGTTATTATAAATAATAATAATAGTTATAATAATCATAAATACTAAAACAGATTTATATTGAATGTTTTTAAGGTCAATAATAATCATGAGTTTGTGTTGAGTTTTAGTCACCGTTCATTAGAAAACCCTGATGCAACAACATATTACGCCTTTACTTATCCTTATACTTATACTGATTTGTGTACTAGTTTAAATTTTTATGAGAAACAATTTCCTCTTCCTTCAGATTTAAAAGGTATTATATATTTATACTAAAAGCTACGATTCGTATTAAATTTTCTTTTATTAAAACTGAGTCTTAAAAAATATGTAGAAAGAAATGAGAAAGACATATATTTTCACCGAGAAACTATTGTTAAGTCATTAGAGGATCGTTCAGTTGATTTAGTAACTATTACGTCCTTTAAAGGTGCATCAGAAGAAAGAGAATGTCGTTTATTTGGATTATTCCCAGATGAAAATAAACCCAGACCATATGTTTTCAAAAATAAAAAGGTAAAAAAAATTTACTGAACTATTATTATTATTATTGTACAATAAAAAAATTAAATTAAATTAAAATGGAAGTATGTATATATATATATATATATATATATATTTCCCTGGGATATAACAATTTATATGTAGTATTACTAAACAGTATTGCCAATAGGTATTTTATTAAATTGTTATTCTCATTAATCAGTACATAGACTTGAGATTTTTTTAATATTACAATTTTTAAATAAATTATACAATAGATACATTAATTATATTTAAAAATTTTAGGTAATAATAATGAGCGCTAGGGTTCATCCTGGCGAAACTCCTTCAAGTTTTGTCATGAATGGTCTGATAAAATATTTACTTAGTAAAGATGAACAAGCCAGTGTACTTAGGCAAAACTACGTATTCAAGCTTATTCCTATGTTAAATCCAGATGGAGTAGCTAGAGGTTTTTATCGCACAGATACTAGAGGTATTAATCTTAACAGATTTTACCTCAAACCATCTTTAAAGTTACATCCATCTATCTACGCTGCCAGGTTTAAAAAATATCAATACCATAGTAAATAATTATGGTTTTGTTAATTCAGTAATATTTTATAGGTCACTGATTTTATACCATCATTTTGGGTATGAATTACGAAATGAACTTATTGAAGAAAATTCAAATGTGCTGGATATTAAGACATCCGAATCCAATTTGTGCAGTTCTTCAGACAACGATGAAGAGCTAAATTCTAAAATAAAAGACATGTTGGCATCTGATTGTATTATGTTTAACAATACAAATAAAATAATACCATCAATGATTACCGATCAAACACCATTAAATAATTTATTGAAAAAAAGCCAATCGTGTACAGCAGAATTGATAGTCAATAAGGGACTCGATTCAGGATTATACTTATACGTTGATTTCCACGGCCATGCATCTAAGAAAGGTTAATTTAATTTTAATCATCTAGTGCAATAAGGGATGTAACTCCATCTAGATATATTTGAGAGTATAAAAAATAGTATTTGGAGAGTCTTTTTGCACAAAATAACAATGAGGTACACCTCGCTGGCTTAGCTGCCTTTAAAATGGAAATGCTCAAAATAGACTGCATCTTTTTTCGCATGAGCCAATTTATTTAAATCTGATTAAGTTATAAGTGTACTAAAAAGTAATAAATATAAATATTTTAGTAAAAGAACATGTAGCGATCCATTAATATATTCCTGAAATTAGGTTGAATAGGATAGTAAGATTTTATTGAATATATAACTGTATAAAAAATATTTTAAGTACTCTAGTAGAACAATTTGCAATTATACTTTAAGTGTACAATTAAAAATTAAGTTGTACTTTTCAAATAATATATGTGTAAAATAGTTTAGATATCTTATTTTAATGGCTAGTTATTATAAATAAAAAAAAAACAGTATGGGCAATGCTTCTTTGTTAAATATTTTGGTTCTATTTTATTAATTTTATTTTAAATATAATAATCTCATTATATATTTTTAATTTGTATGATACCATGTCAATTTTTTAGCAGTGAGATATTTTAATTTTGTATTTTTTTGTATTAGGAATTTTCATGTATGGTAATAATTTTGACAATATACTAAACAATGTTGAATGCATGGTATATCCAAAGTTAATGTCTATAAACAATCAACATTTTCATTATACGTCTTGTAATTTCAGTGAGCGTAACATGTATTCCAAGTAAGATTTTTTTATAAATTAGTCAATCTACAGTGCATACCAGTTATATTATATAAAATAATTATTATTTTACTAACTTATTACTTACCGACGTTGATCGTATCACTATAGACTTAATAAAATATAGATAGGCAATATCCTTTTATTGATTTTACACTATTTAGTCTATTAATTTTAATATTAGTTTTATTACCATTATGTAATCCAGATTTTAGACAAAAAGTTGTCTTGATCATTATTTATTGTTAGACTGAATTGACAATGTAGACTGTAGTACTTCAGGCCCCATTTTTATTAGAAATGAAATAAGAGTTTGAGTTTAAATTAAGTCCCTCTAAGATATTAAGCAAACTGATAATAATAATATGCCTTTTTACTAGAAAAAACCAAAGTATAACTATTATTTTATAATATAAGAACTTTTATGTAATACATATAAAACATTTTAGACTTACACTGTACAATGTAGAATTGGAACAATAAGTAAAATACATCAATATTTTTGTAAACTCTGAAATGTAAAATGTTAAGTTTTTATTTTGTATCAAAATAAAATGAAAATTGACTGCCTCGCTTTTGCAGACCTCTATTTATATATTTAAAATCAAACATCATATTAATTTTCTAACTAATTTCAGAGATAAAAAATTTGGGCTCAGCAAAGAAGGCAGTGGACGAGTTGCTGTGCTCAAATATACAGGATTGATTCGTAGTTACACTTTGGAATGCAATTATAATACTGGCAGATTTGTAAATTTAATTCCACATACAGTACATTTTGTTTCCGAAAGGAGACCTATCCAAAGTCTCGTTCCACCAAAATTCACACCAACCATCTATGAACAAGTAAAATTGTTTATTGTTATAAATAAATTTATTATTGTGTTATTATTGCTTTTTTTTCATCTTTAGGTTGGAAAGTCGTTGTGTATATCTATATTAGATTTGTCAAACATAAATCCTAATAGTCGTTTAGACAATAGTGAGTTTAAAACATTAGCTGGACTGAGGGAACATTTGCGTTCATCAATAATAAACGACTGTAGTCGTAATCGACGTATGGGATCGCGATCATTAAGCAATATAATCGTTGAAACGCCTAGTACGCCAAAAACTGTAAGCCCTAATAATATACTATACTATAATTATTATGTTGTGTGTGAGGATACTTCTTCTCTACACAGGGTGATTGTTTTAATTAATTGTTAATATTAAAACAAATTAATATTTGATATTGTCATATTAAAATTTTACCTGTCACCTGCTACTAGCTAAAATAGTGCTATATTAAATTTAAAAAAATGATTTCTGACTTCATAAATCCAATATAATTTATAAAAAAATACTCAATCATTTTTACTTTATAAAGATAAATTAGTACCTTTTTTTTATTAAAATATATTAGGAAAATTATAAAATAATCACCCTGTTATAAAATTGTTTATTTTCCAAAATTGTTTTGTTTTAGTATGCTAATTAATTACTTTAACATAATATTATATAATTATACAAAAATAAATTAAATAACCTATTTAGGTTGCATAGAGCTTCTCAGATATTTCCAACATTTATGTGTAGTAAATGGAAATTATTCTATAAGTAAGAATTATTATATATTTTTTTGCATTATGGCGTTTTGGCAATGTATTAAATTATTATTTTAGCTATTATTCAATATGTAATTGGCTTTGTTTTGTAGGTTGTAGTTACTTGTATATTTTCCTTCATAGGTGTGTGCACGGGTTAAATCTGAATAAATAAATTTTCAACACAATTTCCTTATTTTGTGTAAAAATTTCCCTAAAACAATTATATGAAATGATGAATTTGTTTTGGTAATACTAATAAAGAACTAGAAAAAAGGGTGTAAACAGTGTTAACTAAAAACACTTTTTATATGTTTTAGATATACATCAGATAGATTATATATCATCAACCAATATCTAGTAATAATGTAGGTACTCTGAGAAAAAAAAAAGTTAAAACTACTTTCACTTTTCTTTTCGGAGGAAAGGTTGAACATATTTCCTGATTGTTTGTAGTCACATCTTAAAATAATACCCCAGAATTTTTTGTAAATTTATTATTTGATTAAAGTCAAGCCTAAAAGATTTTTAAAACAAGAAAGATATTCTTGATTTCTGTAAGGAAAGAATATTTTTCTTGAACTTTTGTTTTAATCAATAGACTCTTTACGAAAACTATTTTACCCTCAGTAGCGTAACTAGAAACTAAAGTGCCCAGAGGCAAGACCTTTTTTTTGTGCCCTTTATTACACGTCAACTTGCATACAAAAACGGTCAAAATTAGAATGTGACCTGGGGCAGCCTCATGTTAACTTTGCTTTGTTTACCACATTCTTAGCTTTCTTACACAAACTTTTGTACTCTATCCAATCTTCTCTCCTCCTGTTCTTCTGCCATCTCAAATGGTTCTTTCCTACTCACTATAACACTGAACTCCTTCCCTCATTTCCTTGTTCTCTGGCATAGGTACTATTTTTACTTATACTAACGGCCCACATTTGAGGTACTTTTAACATAAGTTAAAACTTATATTTAATTAATTATTTAAATTGAATTATCATTTCTATTTTTATATGAATACAATATTATTTAAAACAAAATTTGCAAACTTTTTAAAACTGAAAAAAAATTATATCATTATAAATTATGCCAATGAGCATACATTATATACTGGATTTTTGTAACTCATTCAAATATTAAATTTTAAGTGTTTTAGATTAAGAGGCAGCCGTGGTGCACTCTCATAAAATTACAATTTGGCAAATCTGTTTCATTCTTTTACACGGCTGTTTTCTGTTGGTAGGTGAATTCATAATGACAAAAATAACTTTTGAGCTAATTAGTTATATTTTGATTACTGTGCTGATTATAAAATTTCAGATTACAGTTGTAAGACATTTGCATGAACTATCTAGTGTTAATGGATATTTGTAACTTGAATTTCAAATCTTGCATCACAGTTTCTGGTTACATATGTTATTTCTCAAGTAATTGTAACACTTATTTTACCTAAGTCCTAACCACTGTTAACTATCTCCCTAAGATAACTGTGGTTCTCATTATTAAAAAATCACTAGGCTTTAATGCCAGCACACACCTATGGGCTATGTTATGTTAAAAGTTTCTATGTCTTAAGGTTTTTGTAAGCCATTATCAATATGATATTAATATATTGTTAATTTTATATTTAACAATAAATACTAATGCCATTTAAAATAAATGTTACAAGTAGTTAGATTATTTCATATAAATCGTTTTTATTTATTATACATGCACTTAATTATGAATTATATGTATTACAGAAAATAAAACCTCTCCCAATGGCTTACGATATTATGAAACCTACTACGTCAAAGTTGTTAACGCCCATCATGACCAAACCTGTACCACCATTAGTCAAATCAGCTGCACTTCGTAAAACTTTAAAAACAAAAACTGGTGGAATATTAAAAAAAAATGGAAAGAAATGGAAAATGAATTCAAGCAAACAAAAAGCTATAATTAATACTGCAGAAAATTCGTTAAAGTTGTGGCGATTGGGAAAAAAAATTGATTTAACACCTTTGCGGATCTTGGGAGTTGATCAACAAAAAAATAAGAAATAAATTATTAATTTTATTAACTTTTCTAAAACTAGAAATTCTTTGTTATATTTTAACTTAATATTTATACCCTGTTTTGTGTTTTATAATCTTAATAAAATTACTCTTTGTTACAAAATGATATTCCTTATGAGGCATGTCATGAGATGCTACTACTATTAAAATACTATACTTATATGTATTAAAATTCTTCGTTAACTAGTGTATAGAAGATAAAATACTTTTAAGTTCAACTATTAATTTTTTAGAATAATAGAATATTTCTATAAGACTGCTCGTATTCATTACCAAGTATATTTATTATTTATTTATGTTAGCACTGTCATGTTGATTTTTTTTATTTATATTTTTCTTTTTATCGATTTAATATTAAAATACATCTTGTTAGTCAGTTTAAAATCAAAAAATATATTACATTTACTTAATATTGTCCTTAACAAAAAACAAAAGCTTATTTAATTATTTTATTTGATAAAATATGACTGTAATTATTATGTACTTTAATCGCATTCAAATAATGAAAACAACTTTGAATTTGTAATGGAATGTCTATTGATCCAACTAATTCTACATTGTCAATATTTTATTAAAATTAGTTAATTAGTAAAAAAATTTTAAAAATGTAATTAAATGGCTAATAATAAAACTATACAATGAAATGTATTTCAAATAACGTAAAACCTAATTATTTAGATAGCTTTATGGTCATTTTGAATCTATATTTAAAATTTAATAGGCAAGTTGGTTTCGCTGTAATGATGGTGTTTTTAAAGTAATTAAGCAAACCCAATGCAACTTTTTATGTATGAAATTGGTAAATATTTTTGGGAATCGTGAGAGGTTTGAGGTGATTTGTGCGTAGGACAGAAGAGATTTATTAAACATACCTAGAGGGATAAGCACAGGACGATCTGTAGTGTCCGTATTTCTGACAGATGAAACAATGAACAATGTCTTGCGTTTGTTCGATTTTAACTAATGTATGTAAGATGTGCTTTACTTAGAATATTTCATATGGCTCGAGATGACGTATATTAATTGTTAGTCGTACAGAAAAGCCAATTTCTTCAATCTTATTTTTTATCTTGTGTTAGGAATTAAGATTGAGGTTTTTCTCCGCGTAGTTGTCAAGTGTGATAATCAACTTTTTTTCCCTTTAAATAGCGGATCGTTGTAAAATAAGATAAAATATTAATATTTTTTATTTAATGACGCATTATGATAACACGCGAACCGATAAAATTGCAAATTTATAATTATATATTGTCTATTTGGTCATCTATTCTTCAATCCTCAATAATATTCAATGGCAGGACAGAGGCCTGATTAATGAGTGCATTAAAATGTTGTTTTATACAAATTGCCTATTTTATATTTATAAGTATAGGTAACTAATAACATTGGTTTAGTATTATGTATTATAAAATAATAGGGCTAAGGCTACAAAAATTCGAATTTTCACGAAAACCATTAGGTATTCTAGCTTCTGAAAAGATGTATTAATGCAAATGCATAAAAAAAGTATTTATTAATCTAATAATTTGTATTTCTTTAAAAAATACTTCCCAAAATGTGAAAGTTATAGCCGAATGATGATAATCAATAAAATTATACAAATCATCATAAACCATCTAATAAAACATAGTATTAAAAATTCAGTTGATGAAATAGTGCAACACATAACGTAACCAACAGCTATTAACATAGATTACAGATATATGTATAGACCACGTCATATATTTTTCTGAGAACCGAATTTTGGACGTAAGCCTAAATATTAATCATATAAATGCGTCTAATGTCCATTTCGTTTTCATGACGGTTGTCGCATATTTTCATATGCCCGTGGACTACCCATCTACATTCGTCTATCTATGTATATCAATTAATCTATGCTACAAGCTATTGATTTGTGAATTAAATAAAGAACTTGCAGTAACCCAACAGAGTAACTTATAAACATTTAATCTTTTCTGTGGTATATTACCTAAGAATATAATATAATATAGAATATTATAGTCTTTTATTACATTTTTCTTGTGCACGGTAATTATGAATAGAAGAATCGGCGGCCCTGGTAAACATTGGCGCATAACCTTTAATGCGCATGCGTTGATTTCTTGAACCTGTTTCGTTTGTCGGCATGTCGGCACTCGACACTCGATAGCAAGACAGCAGGTGACTGTTCACTTGTTCTCGTTGATCGTTCGCGACACGATATGAGTACTTTCTTGGTATTTACTACAGTATGCCCACAGTATTTTTTAATAACTTTTTGTAATTATTTGTGATGTGATAAATACATATATACATATAAATTGTTATGTATTCATTTTTTTTAAAAATTATTATGTAATATTTAATTAAGTTGAATAAAAGAATAGTATAATTACTATTATACTTACCACAATCATGATATTATTGTTATGAGGATTACCAGCAAAAATAATTCCTGTGTGAGCAATGGATAATTACAAAATCTAAGTAAGTCACAATTTATTTTTTAAAATATACTAAGAATACTTTTTTTGTAATCATTTAGCGTAAATGTTTAAGATATTATTATCTTTGGATATCTAAGATAACTATGGATTGTGGATAGGTATTATTCCATTAGACGACATTGTTCTAACAATTGTTCTGGGCTAGATATTATTTATTATACACTTCATTGTAGTATAATAATTTTTTTTTGGGAAAATATTTTTAGTAATGTAACGAGTAGGACGTAGGTATTAGTTATCATATATAAACGTATATTTTTTTTACCATTAATAATATAATTATTTGTCAATAATTATAAATATAATTTATGTATAATAGGGTGGTCATTATATTGGTTTTTGGTAAAATTCCACATTGGCTACCTATTAATTGGCACTGTATAAAAATTAAGTCATCCAACATTTTTCAGATTTGTATTTCATCACCCGAGTTGATTTGCACGTCAAATTTACAGAAAAATATACAATTTTAAATAAGTCTTAAGTTAAGCCTAATACCATATAATCTGATGCAAAGCCAAATAATATAAACTGGTCGAATATTTATATTTAATAATAGATTCGTGTGATAAATAGTTTCAAAACTGATAGTGCAAAAAATTATAAAAATTTGAATACTGTCTATTATTGTAAGATAACCTAAACAAAAAGATTTAAAAAAAGAAAAACTATAAAATCGCAGTTATTTTAAGAGAAAATAAGTGTCTTATGCTTAATAAATTACCCTGTGTAAATACATAATTCTAGTGACACGGTAGTGGCGTGGAGCTAAGTATATATATTTACACATTTAATTTATTAATACAATTTAGGCATGTTTGTTCATAAATGCATATTACTTTTAATAAATTAACATATTATATTTATAAAAAAAAAAATCTTAATTTGGTTTTTAGTGAAATGTGATATTAAATATGTTTATATTTACTAAACTGCATAAGATCAAAATTGTTTTTTTTTTTAATTTGAGTATTATTTTGCTAAGTAAAAAAATTACTGCACTGATTCATGGTAAAGCAATTATATTTTTAAACTATAAACATTTGTTTTATTTTTTATAGGTAACATGTTAACATTGTTTTAAAATTATTTATAAAAATGTTTACTTTTAATCAAGATAATGTAATTTGTAATGCACGTTGAGCTTTTTTACCATATTTAGCCATCGTTTCTTTGTATGTTTGCATCATATTTGACACAGTTTTAATGCATATAATTTTGGACTATATCTATAATTTTATATAAAATAATACCACCAAAAAAATATTGGTTTTAAAACATTTATTTTGAGTTATTATGTTACTTTTGTAACATTTGTATTTTACAAATATGTACTCGATAAAATACTAGTCACTTAGTATTTTTGTAGAAAAACTTATTTTACGTTTTTATTAATGATGTAAGAATAATGATTTGAAGTATAACATACTTTAAATATTGGAATTATTTCTGTGCCATGTAATCAGCGATTTTATTTTCTCGATTTTAATTACAATGTGATGATTCATACCTCCGAAAAAATGTTCTTTTCTTCCATATATTTTGTAGTGTGGGAACAGCCATTGTGTTACATTATTAAAATATTGGATCTATTGTTGTGGGCCTAGAAGCCACAATGCACATTAAAAACATCGGACAGCTGTGGTTAATCATGATGCACATACTTGTCTTGTATATCTCTCATGATGGGAGTCCAATCGTATCTTTGCTTGTTCATCCCATGTTTATTATATTTTTTTTTATAGACGTTTTAGGTCTACCCATGAACAAATTTAAAAAGAACAAAAAAAGTGACACTTTTCACAGTACTCATGCTCTACTATTATTATTGTTGTTGAACGTGTTTCGTTCATTTTCGTCTCGTTGGTCACGAACATTATATAAATGATTTTAATTCATAGTCTTGCACTTCAATAATATCTGAAAACCAATAATTAAAATGAAATTTTAATTTCGACGAAAAGTTTTGTGTGTTAAATATAGATTTTCTTTTCAATCACTATTTTATAGGGTTTATTTTCGATTTATCATTAGTCAGCATTATTTCTTTCTTTATTTCTTGCTGACTGATTACGAGTTTTAGTTGGAAAACTTAGATTACAGCGTACGCGAAACAACACTGATGTACCACTGTAACAGCGTCCGCTGTCCGAGTTTTTATGTGGGCGAACAAACACAGATTTATGTGTGCGCGTAGCTCCAGACATAATGTTCTCCGGTACACAGTAAACCCACTATTTTATTTTATTTTTTTATTATTCTTTATGCCATCACGAACGGTGTGTTATTAAAATGCTGCAGAGAGAATGAATAAGAAAGATTGAAGTACAAAATGAAAAATATATGTTCTTACATTGAAATAATAATAATAATAATATTTGTGTAGTGAGAAAGGAAGGGACGACATGTGGGATGACAGGTAAACGGCAGCGGGATCGCAGTCGGTAGTGGAACCCAAAACATTCCAGTAGTCTCGATCCGGTCTCATTGTGTTTGTTAAATATATTTTGCTTCTAAAGATAAAAAGACGTTGGCAAAAAAAGAAAAAGATAATATACGTGACTGCAGTGTGTACTAATAATCGGTGACGGGACATTATTGTTGCACCAGTGCACATTATAAATAACGACGACGGTCTAACGAGATTTTGATTTTTTTTACTCCGTATCTCGCTCTTCTTCCCACCATACTCGTCTATACATTATATGCGCGTGTTTCGATAAAACGGCGTATCAGTACAAACTACAATAAGGCCCGTGTATGTACAGCATGTACCTCAGTCCCTTATATGTGAAAATTACACGGTGGTTTTGTTCCTCTTTGTCAGTTATTATTACTTGTTATACTAAACCCTCGGGCTATACGCCCATCGCCTTTAATAACACGGATATTACAGTTAGGTGCAAAATGTAACACTTGTTGTGTCGGCTAATACATTTTCTCTATATACCCATCTATCTTTTTTCCTTTCTATGTCTGTATGACTTCCTCTTGTTTTCTTCGCGTTAACACATATAAGTAGAAGCGCCACAAATGATAGTGAATGGGTGAATGAAGTATTGGTAGATCATTTTTTCCCCGTAACTAACGACACCACTCATTGTTTGTCAGTTCCAAAGAAACTTATTTTGTAATCTCTCCGGCGCGACAATGCGTTATACATAAGAAGGTTCGTGTTATGGAAGAAAGGTACAATATAAACGATAGGTTTCTTAGTACCAAAATGCTGTGGACCCGAGCGATTGTAATTTATGTATAATATAATAATGTTAATAATATAAGTTATACATTATTCATGTAAGTATGTATAGACATATTGCCAGTACAATATCTGTCGGTCTATTATTAGTGTGTGAGTTTTGCTTAACCCGTCTTAAATGTAAACGACAATTACAAGTTGACGCGCATTATTAATTAGGGATGGTAGTGGTGGCGACCGGCGTCGGTAGAGGTAGCTTCGTTTTGTCGGATTATTATTCTTGTTTCAGTGGTGTAGGTACTCTGAAAACTCGTTTTATTACTTACGCATACATCAACAAGTAAAAAAAAAAAAAAGGAAGGCATTCTTATAATACCGACATCGACAAAATGTCTTAAGTGCACATATGCATATACAGGTACAAGAACGATATCAATCGCTCGGTGAGAAACACCGAACTCCGAAAACACGTAAGATAAACCGTAAAAGAAAAGCGCCTCGAGGCTGTCAATTCAGGCAGTATAATGCAGTGGTAGAATAGCGCTTCTAAATCACTTGTACCGGTTGTACATGTATGTAATAATCTCTGAAATAAATCACTTTCCGCGACCGTAATGGTATTATTGTAGTCCATAAGTCTTGATCCCATAGGATTTTATAAGAATAGGTCGCCATCAGCTACGCCGTTATTAATTTTTACTGTGTCTATAATATACCGTAGGGTCAAATTCAGCTTAGGTTGAACAAAAACCAAATAGCAAGTTTAATATATCCACACTTGTCTAAGAGACTTAACCGGTTTATAGTTTACCAAATATATAAATATACCTCGAAAAATGTTATAAAAAAATTGCGCGTGTTTTTACTGTACATACATATTTAAAATTAAAAATAAATATTCATGAAATGTGTATAGTTTTTAATAAATTATTTAAGTGTCTTTATTTCAAGCTGGTACTTAAAATGTTTATTACATTCGCCAGTTAAATTGATCAGGAATCGGCCACTAAAATCCCCCTTCACTTGTACGGTTTTTGAAAGGGGTATTCGTGTTTATCTGGGGTTTCAGGGTATGTGTACATTCTATCATTAAAATTTAATAATTGTTGTTAGTATTACCTACTTATTAGACAGTATTATATTATATATTTACTGGGTAGACAGTACTCAGTAAATATATATATATATATATATATATATATATATCTTTTTCGCATTTTTTTAGCTAAGAACTTGTTATTATTTTTGTTTGAAAATATAAGAGCCGGTTTCCTTTTTAAGTATACCGATTACCTACTACATGTATGTCTGTGTCTATTTTTTTAAACAATTAAAGTGGAATTCTTTTGTGCTCTACTCCCTTCGTTATTATTTTCAATTGGCCCTTTATAAATAAATATATATATGTATGATGTATCATAATGTTTTCTACTTGTTTTATTTGTTGTGGCGGGCTGGGGTGGTAATTAGTCGTACCTAGATTTATTTTCTCGATGATAATTTATTAGTTTTTTTTAATTATTCAAACATTTTCAAAAATAGTATTACCTACCCCCTTCACCGCGATAAGGTCGTAACACCTATTTATTTTTATATACAAGATAAAAAATATCATTTTAGTGAGTACTTAAAATTTGCTCATCTCTGGTTAGTATAAAGTTCTGACATCATTTCTGAAGTGCGGTGTTTAACTATACTATGTCTGGTTCGTGGATATTATTAATGATAATCGAACTCAAAGTGTGTTTTCGATTAATCTTATACTAAATTAATACACCTAGCACATGGCTGTCTATTGGTTTATGCACACGGTTAGAAAATGCGTTTGTCTGGAAACAATTCTAACGCCATTATGTGTATACTACGCCAACTAAGAATTCGCATTTGCATATTATTATTAAGCAGAAGGTATTGTTTTTTTAAATTGTATTCTGTGTACTGCGTACGGGTATAAAGTACTTCTTTTAAAAACAATGCGGGGTAATTCGAAGGAGAGAATAGGAATAGTATAAATGTATGATAATAATAAATAAACCGTTGACTATAGAAGCACATAGCGATAGCTTCAGTAGTCGTAGTAGCAGCAAGCAGCCAATAGCAGGTTCGGGTTGGGGAAGATTCAGCATTCCAGGTCGGTTGTTGTACGTCTCTTGTGGATGGTTTTGTTGCACACCAGTTCAGGTGCGCTCGGCTTAAGACAAAACATGTATACCTACTAGCGTTTACACTTTACAATTTTTATGTTTTTAATTAAAATCAACTAACCGTTTTGTTATGATTTTCTATGGTAGGAGTTAATATTTAAAAATAAAGGTAAAGAATAACTTGGATTGTTAACAAGAAATAAGCAAGAAGTGTACTTTATGTAGTAAAATTTGTATGGTAAAAAACATGTTTTTTTTATTACGGTTGTTAAGTCTATTGACATTTATAAATTAAAACGTATTATCGCTAAAATATGCGTTATTATACGTCATTTATAAATAAGTTAACTAATGTGTGTTATGCCAAAAAATAACGATCAATAATGGTTTTAAAATAAACTGAAGTGTTTGATGTTCGTATGATTCTTATAAGCATTTATTCATATATCCGAAAATGAATTTTGTTCATAATTATTTTTGTTTGTTTTATATTCTTCTTGTTTGGGCAGCCAACAATAATATGCTATAGAGTATAGAATATATATGTATGTACTGTATATTATATTATGTGTATGGCCGTTGTTTTATTTCAATGTGGTCGTCGTTGTTGCTTGTCCTTGTTACCACTTTGTGTGCACAGCATTTTACTAACCAACCCAGACGCATAAATATTGCCTTAGAACACCACACACATTATTATTCTGTCTTTGCGTATTTTCTATGTGTGCATATACATGTTTTTATCAACTATACCGACAACCGTGTTTATAGTGTGCTTGTTTACAAAGAAATATACACTTTTTATAAAGTGATATTATTTAAAAAGTAAGAACTGTTATCTATAATCCTTTTTGATTGTATCTTTTCTGCTCAATCAGCAAAGTTGATAATATTTTTATAATAATATACCTAGACCCATAAAATAGCATGTTTGTTGTTTATGCTTCACAAAACTAAACGAGTAAAGCATAGTAATCATTTTAGTTCATTTCAAAAATCAGCTACCATTGGACATCTATGTTAACGATACCAAGTAAATCTTTTGTTTAGATCAGAAGGGGGACGTCCTTCTTCGTACACGAGAATGTTGTAAATTTTATAAATTTAATATTTAAACAAAATCGTAATTAAATATCATGAATAACGCGAATATGAATCTGTACCTGATGTCTTAGCTGTAAACTTATAGTCTGAATTTTGAGATTGAATTAATTTAAATAGTAGTATTTCTAGCAAAACTTAAATTTCCACATCAAGGTTTAAATGAAAAAAATATAACGATTGAGTATGAAACTGTTCAAGAATCGTTGAATACTAACTTGTAATTTCTTAAAAATGTTAGCTATGGGATAGAATGTTTGATAGATTATCAGAATGGATGTTAAATAATTTTTACTAAAACGTCCTTGGGTCATTAATTTTGAATAATTTATTTATAGATATTTACCATTTTTCATTAGCTATTAATTACTACAATAAAATATAAATCGGTTTAGAAGCATCGAGTCAGACATAATTAACGGTTCAGTATTAGTCTTATCTTATTGTTTGTTCACATGACCGTATCCAACATAATTTTCGGCAAAGACTAATTGTTATTATTGGAGTTCTTGCATGACCGAAAACAAAATATATCGTTGGATAGTTTCAGAGGAGGTTGAACCCCTCTGATCGTCTACTCCCTCTTCCCTTTAATAAAAATAAATAAATCCGAGTCCCCCATAGTTTTGTTGTTATTTATATGTTATCGGATACTTTATTTACTATGAAAGCTGAAGCCTTCATGATTTTTTTTTTTTTGAAACAATAGTGAAATGCTAAGGGGGTAGTCTGTGTGTGGTCTGATAGTGATTATTTAAAATAATAATAGTAATAACATATCCTAGCTTAATAAGGCAAACAAATCGAACAATGCTCCACCATCCTCTTAAATATTTTTAAATTGCGAATCCATACAAGCAAAACAAATGGGGACGTGCTTAAGTTTAAAGTTACCTGTTGAAAATGGATATCAAGTAATCTAATATCTTTCAACAAATTTAACTATTGTGAGATTTATTTTTAAAAATATGTTTTTTTTTTTAATCTCATTAGTATGTTCAAAGATTGCGTGCAAAAACACGTTTTGGTATAATACGCTAGTAGATAGTGATATGACCGACCAATGTGATTTATTTAAACCGCCGCAACCTCCGCTAATATAAAAACCAACTAAGTGACATTCCTGTTCCCGCATATCTTTTGTCCTTGGTTTTACAACGGGAGAGCGTCTGTAATGATAAATATATAAAATATAAAACAATGTCTACTGAATTTTGTAATTAATTCCACATTTGTTATAATACCAATAGGATACTATTATTTTTTTTTAACTATACACGTGTTCAAACATTTTAATCGTACACAGATAACCATAAACCCATGGATAACTTATGAACGCAAAGAATGCATGATAGTGTAGAGGATTGCGTCCAAAACCAGGCTGCCAAAAACGGAGGGGTTTTATTTAATCTGCATTTTGATTATACAAAAAAGGACTTCATCTACCATTGTTGTTTAATCGATAATTTTTTACTTATATGGTAATATTATATTTTATGTTACCTTAAAATGTTTAATATTGCTTCCTAAAAGAGGAAGCTATGGTTCCCTAGAAAATGTTTTTTTCTCGAATATTGGGGTAGGAGTAAGACCTTATGAATTATAATCGAAAATAGAATTACTTGACATTTTATTCGTGGATGTGTGTGTTCGTTTGTGCATTTTTTATGGCCTTCTATAGCAACTATACGGATTCGAATTTTTCGCTACAAAATTGTTTTAAAGACAAAATGTATAGTAATGCCGAGTTTTTCAAAATTATATTTACTTAACTTATTAATAAAGAAAAATGCACTAATGACTATTGTAAATGTGTATATAATATTATACATTATTAACTCCTAATGCATTAGTAAATTAACGAATTTTATTTTTATTTGTTTTAGGAGGACGCATATCATGGAGTAGAGAAGATTAAATCATCATGAGTAATTGGGGTATTTTAATCCTAATATTTGTCGTTTTGAAATGTTCAACACAAACTTTGGGTAAGTTTTTGTTGAAATCTTCATTTTAAATCAAATCGAAATTCAAACTTATAGTAAAATAATATTATTGTTGTAGACAGTGTTTATTAATTAAGTTTTCCACTAAATTGACTTTTTTTCTATGCAGATCCGATTGGGTTTGCAATTATTTGTTTTCTTTTTTTTATTGTGTCGGGTGTCTGGATTTAACGTTTTTTACCGCTGGATTGATTTCTTCATGCATAATAATAGAGTATATAGATGAAAAATTGTACAATATAACAACTGATATGCCAAACTTTCAAAATCGAAAAACCACGCAAAAAAGGCATTTTTTAATATGTTTATACAACTTTTTTTTTAAGGAATTATTTAGTTAAAAGGATATGTTATAGTCTCTAAAATATTGTCCTCTTTCGTTTTCATTTCTAAATCAAGCAGTTATCCATAAATCTCGTACCGGGTAATACCCAATATACCATACATCCAGTTATACGATGTTGTGGGTATTACCATTATAGCTCTTATAAAATTATGAAGTTCAAATGTATTTTGTATATTTATAAATAACAAATAATTTTTTACTATTGTTTTAGCTAAAGGGATTGGAATACATTTTATTCGATCACCCGAATCTCTTGTCGCACCACTTCATGATGAGGTGTTTTTTGATTGTGATCTTAACATAGCTCCAGAAAATATTAAATGGCTTCATAACTCTGAAGAATTACCAAATGTTGGCCATTCTAGTTTAAATAAAAGACTTGTTGTGAAAGTGGACGATATATCTCAAACTGGAGATTACCAATGTGTAGCAGATTTCGGTGCTGGTGCTTTAGCATCGACTGCAGCGACACTTAGTTTGGCTACTATTAAAGAATTCAGTACTCAATCATTAACTAATGGGGAAAAACTCACTATATCTCCTGGCAACACAGTAGCTTTAAACTGTGGAAAGCCACTCCAAAGTGACCCTCCTGCATTAATTGAGTACTATAGAGATGGAAAACCATTGATTAGGACCATCCCTGTATCTAGCGCTGGCTCAGTATTACTACAAAATGTACAATTTGAGCACAGGGGTAATTATACATGTACAGCAACTAATACTATTGTGACGCAAATGGTAAAATCGCCTATGTTACTAAGCTTGGATGTGCGCTCGAGTTACACTAAATTGCCTCCAAAATTTATAACCAAACCTCCGACTCAATATATTGCACAAAAAAGTAATTATTGTTAAAACATATCCAAATTACTTAGTTCTTATAAACATTAAAAAAAAAAAAATGTAATATAACATTTTAGATTCAAACGTCAGTATGGAATGTGCTCCTTATGGTGACCCAGTGCCTTCAGTTCACTGGCTTGATATTCATAAAAACGAGCTCAGAAATAATAACAAGACTATTATTCAACCAGGATTGTTAACTATACATAATCTTAGTATTGAGGACACTGGCATTTATGAATGCATAGCGGAAAATACGTATGGTATAATTAAACATCAAATTATGCTTGAAGTTCAAGGTATGTAAACGATTAAAAGTAAAAAATTTGCTTCTCAACATAAAGACATATTTAAATAAATATTATATGTAATTACAGAGTTGCCATATATTAAGTCGGGACCAGATGAACCTGTAACAGTAAATGAAGGTAGTTCAGAAACATTGAGATGTGAAGCCATAGGAACACCCACTCCGAAAATTACCTGGTACCTTAATGGTAAACCGGTGTCAAATGATTCAACTATACTTGCTAAAGGTAAACATTAAATTGACTGTTTTGATCTTAAATTTGTTTTAATAATTAAATTAATTTTTTTAAGGTGGCGTTTTGACATTAAATAACACTCAAAAAAACCATGCTGGTTTTGTTCAATGTTTTGGTTGCAATACATTAGGATGTTCCTATTGGGTTTCCACACTACAAGTAACTCCAAAACAACATCAGCAACTTTACTACGATGGTTAGTATTTATATTAACAGACTATCCAATTAAATGCTTGATTTGTTCTTTCAAAGGCTTTTAAAATTGAAGCATTATGGTAAAACAGGGTTGTGTTGCTACTTCCAATCAGTCCATGGTGCTATTTGATAATGATACATTAACAAAAAAATGTACTAAATTCTCAGGCCAATTGATTTATTAACACTACGTATTATTTTTAAATAGAACCAATCCAATATAAAATAATGTAATTATTTATTTTAAATTTTACGAATTTTTTTTTACGTTTATAGATATAACTCGTTCTTCTCAAAGAGATAGGAAGGACAGAAATCATAAAGGAAAAAACCGTAGGAAAGACAAAAAAAAGAAAGGAAATAATGGTTAGTAATATTTATTTATTATGTATTATGTACTTAAGTAATTATCAGCTTATGTACCTTTTTAGATTGTTATGTAAATTGTATACTTGTAAAAACATATTTACCTTAAGTATTAAAATTAATTGTTTATACTGACATACCGCGTGTATAATAGTTCCATGAACAATTTCTTATTTATTTTAAGAGGTTTTTAAACTTAAATATAAACTACATAATGTGTTTTTACTTATTTTTATGGTTTTTTTTTTAAGATTTAAAGTTAAACAAAATTATTTTTCATTATTTTTTTTTTTAGAAATGATTCCTCCATCGAAGCCAAATATTACACGCCTAACAGAAAATTCTGTAATGGTAACCTGGGGAGTTCCAGATAATGATGGGCTACAAATAAGATTTTTTAAAGTGCAATACAAAGAAGTAGCAGCAGGAAGTATATGGAACACAAGTAGTGATGATATTCAATCTTATATTCGTTGCTATCAAGTGGACAAATTATTACCCGATCGTAAATATGTGTAAGTAACATCACTAGAATATATTTTAATTTTATTTAACACTGAAATTAAATAATATTTAAAAAAAAAAAAAAAAGTATTTTCATTTAAAAAAAATGTCAAGTACAGCTTCACTAAAATAAAAGGTATAAAATAGATTTCTAGTATTTTGAAAAGCACTGGAAACCATGTATTCTGTATTAAAAATGTTTATTATCATATAACTAATATCTTAGGAGTTAGTTATTGTAAAATCTCAAAATTTTTAGTAAACGTCTGATCTAACAAATTTTTTTTAATGCCTACTTTTACAATGATGATTCCAGATTTCGTGTAGCAGCGGTATACACGAATGATGATAATAAAAGTGGTCCAATGTCAGATCATTTCTTTTTGAACAAAGGTCCTCCTAATAAATTTTTAATACCTCCTACTTTGGTGTTGGCTAAAGCAGTCAACACAACTTCTATATTGTTAGAATGGCAGGTAAGCATAATGAAATAAAAGGAATTAATACCAGTTTGTGACACTTGTTTTTAAATATTTTTAATTTTTATTAGTACCTGAATTCAGTGTTGGTTCCCGTGCAAGGATTTTTTGTGTATTACCGAGCAACAAGTACTGCCGGTGATTATACTAAAGCTCTTGTTGAAGGTCAAGATGCTCGTACTTTTGTTGTTACCCATTTATCTCCAAACACTTCATATGATTTAAAATTACAAAGTTTTACTGTTCACGAAGCTTCTAACTTCAGTGCTATATTTACACACAAGACTTTAGGTAATTATACAGTTAACTTGTGACATATCATCAGAAATGTTTTAATTTTAACTATTGCGCAGGTGAGTCTAAATCGATTACAGATACCCCGAAATGGACGGATAATACAGTAGACAACAACAATAACAGTAATTCACATTCCACAATTAATGGTGTGAGATCTCTGTATGTTCTACTTGGTGCAGTAGCTTCTGTAATTGGGGCAATTGTTTTATTGATATTTTTTACCGTGTGCATATATAGTAAACGCTCTTCAGCACACTCGCATTCTCCAGGTATAACAGCTTTTTTTAATATCTATTGAGTATATATTATAATAGGTGTATGTTTAATGTTATAACTTAAATTGTACGCTGCTGTTTTATTGAAGTAAAATATTTATTTGCCGTTTTTATTTTTAAAAAGAACTAAACAAGAGTTCTGAAGCGGTTTCGGGACTTGAACCATTATCAATGAATGGTTTTGCATTGAAAAATGGCAAAATAGTTAATGGTTGTACTTTACCGATGACACCAGACAATAGTCATACACATCCGCCAAATGGTTATGTAATACATCCAATCAACATAACTAGTAACCCATTAGCGCCCGATGCAAAGGTAAGATGGGAGTTTTATTTTCAATTAAAAACTATAAAGTTTTCTTTTAGTTAAAATTATTCAATTTTTTTTTTTTTTTATAATTTAGAACGCTATAGAGATATCATACTTGGCCAATCACAACAATAATTGCTCCGAAAATGAAATGAACTTATTGCCCAGGCGAGCTATGCCTGTACCCCCCGATACTCCAAGAACATGGCGTTCTAAAGATGCAAAAGATGAAAATTATGTCTGACTACAAAATTAAAAAAGAACAAAATTTGGAATCAAATTAAGTCGCTTAAAAAAAGTTAATCAAAGACTGATAATAGGTCTTGAAAGCATAACATTTTTAGCTAGAAGAGACGAAAACCCACAAGACTGAATATTAAAGTCCTGTCAAAATTGCTCATGCATAAGAGATAGTTAGATACAAAGGTGTACTCGTAAGAGTATGCACTGGTGTACCCACCTCTCACTTTTTTATGTATGGGTGTACTCATAACAAAAATAACATACATAGAATTACATAAAATGCATAGAAAAGTAGGAATTGGGTATAACACCCTTACGATTTAACCTTTGGTTACATGATAAACATGACTTTAGGGACATAATGCTAGTACAGTCTAACTCGTAGATTTATTATTATTATTCATGTTGACATGAAATATATTGATAATACATTAGTTAACAAAAGCCTTTTTAAGAATATCAACAACATTGTTTTACCATCAGACATGCTTCAATTATAAAACAATTTTTATACACTAGGAAGTAATTTTGTGGGTTAGACTGTCCCTGTCTAATTATTGTTCCGTTTGTTTACATGTGAAATTATTTTAATTGTGTATCAAATCATATGGGTACGTGGAACATAATAGTATTAAAAAGATGTATTATTCAGTATACGTTTTGTAAGTATTTATTTCTTGTTTGTTAATTACTGTCCTAACTAATAGTTATGCACGGTACTACTGTGATCTAGATTAAGATTTTGTTTATACATTTTATTATTTTAGAAACACATATTTATAACTTAATTTCAGTGTACCCTAAAATTAAATAGTTATAATTAACTAATTATAAATAATAATAGTATTAATGATGAGACTTTTTTTATACACAGAAATATTAAAAAATGTTTAATAATGTATTTTTTATGTTTTGTTAAGAGATTTCCACGTTAACAGTATTTTTTTGTTTATATTTTTTCTACGTAAAACCACATTTTGTATAAAATTTGTATAGATCTAACAATTGACATTTAGTTAAAACTTGAAACTAAAAGTGCAATACTTGAATAATTTATATGGTTTTTATTAATGTAATTTATTTTATGTACCTAAATCATCATTCAATTGAATATTACAATCCTTTTTTCAGTAACCAATTGTTGATTTTTGTTACATGATCACCGTGGAAACATAATTGACCACATACTTCATGCACTTTTGAAGCAATAATTCTTTTGTCTTCAAACAATCTTTCCAAATACTTCTTTAAAGCCTTTTCCAAAGCCCATATGTCACCATCAACATTATTGACTTGTGTAATGCGTCTAGTTCCTCTCATAGAAATTTTTAAGTATACTGGCAGCATGTGATTACGGGTTCGGTGCACAAAATATGGGTAATCTCCAAACTTAGCTAAAAGCAAAAATATAATAATAAATATTTATTTAAATTGATTAAAATAATTTTAAAAAATAACAGCGTGGCCAAAAAAATTAAGTTGTGAATTGTATTAACACTATTAATTAATTAAAACTTTTAAATACCAGTTTGAGGTTGCCACCCAGAAGGCAGATTTTTAGTTTCTGGGGGCGGTGGTATAATTGATTGAGGTAAGAGTCTTTCGACATATTGCCAGTCTACTGGAGCTGAAGTTACTTCGTACTTAGCGTAATGCGATGGATCGTTAGCAATAGGGCTGGAACGATATGACGAATCACGTTTGTTCACTAAAGTCTGTTAAGTTTTAAAAACAATTAATATGTGTATAATTTTTGGTTTATATGTTTTTTGATTATATATTTTAATTTTAATTTGCAATCAGTGCTCATACTGGCTGAAAGAAGCTTTACTTTATATTTTTAATTTAGCTGACTAATACTATGTTCTTTTGGAAGCTGAAAGGGTAAGATTGCCATGTGGCAGTGTGTAAGCTAACTTACTGGTTCAACACTTGGACATGATTGGCTCATTTAATAGGACAGAAACTGTCCAGTGAAAAAAAGCCACTATACCACTTTTTTTATGACGGACTAACAACCCGTCTCGTCTGCCATAAAGCAATAACATTAATAAACCTTATAAGAGAAGTGGCAGTGTAGGCCCGTAATAGGTCGTTTAAGCTAATTGAACATTACTGACCCACAAACATTGTATTCTGACAACATATATTGATTTTAATCAAGTACATAAATAGACGTCTTACAGTTATTTTCCGGTGTTATCGTATGAATCCAGATTTAGTGGTATACCGTATAGGTAAAATACAGAAGTTGATTTTAAATACATCAATTATAATATATAATACTAGCCATAATTATGTTTAGAAGTAAACGTTAACTTACGTTGATTAATAATGATCTTCCATTATTCATGGAAACGGTATTCCTCAACATAATTCGAATAGACATTATAGTTGGAACTGATTAACAGTTTAAATAATATTGAATATAAGAATTACTGATACTTTTTGAATGAGTATTAATCAATGGTTCATAATAATTATACACTAATTGCTAGACCACGGTCTCCTTTTAATCTTAGAAGCATTAATAAGTAATACGAAAAACTCCTCGATGGTTAATGAGTATGAAACACGATGTAGAGAAGATAAGGTGACACCCAAGGTGGATAAATCCACCTTAATACATTTTAAGTCTATTGATAAGGATTTTAAATATTCGAATATTTTTTTTTGTGACGTTGGTGCTCGTGCATGATGTCGGTGATAAAATCGCTTATCATTTTTCGGCCAACTACCCTGTGCCCCATGATCATACCACGGTATCTTTATCAACCTGTGCAATTAATATTTTGTCAGTTTCCCGCCAAATAATTTTTTTTCATATTGTTTATTATACTTTAAGACTTATCAGAGATCAAAATTCAAAATAATTGTGTTATTGATTCTTAGATTAGAAATTAGAATATTAGATTTGGTACGCCGCTTGCCAGCTGCCAGGCAGTCTGCAGTTAAAAAAGTCTAAATAGTTACTTATACTTAATTTGTTTCCATCAATAATTGCTATAAAGTAAAAACTAAATATTATATAAACCCAAATACTTACTTTTTTAGCGCTATTGGTTATTTAAATAAATGTTTGTAAAAAAAAGTAATAAATTGATTCAACTGTGATTTGAACTGTGTTATATTTTTTTAATAATAATTATAATTTATTAATATTATATACATTTAAAGTTATGGCTCCTCGTGGTAAAAAAGTTGCTGATAAAAAAAAAGAATCTGAATTAGCAGATGATGACCGTCTATTTATTTTACCAGGTAAGATCATTATAAATAGACTATTAATAATTGATAATTGTATAATTTGTTAAACATATTTATAGATAAATTACTTAATAATCAAAATGGAGATGCACGTTTTATTAAACTGCGACATCCTCAAACTGGTGACTTGTCAATCTTCCTGTACTCTGAACAAGATAAAGTTCTATCACAAATAAGATCATTACCTCTCAGCCATAGGTACCAATTATATATTTTATATTATTACTTTAAATATGTAATTTTTAATATTATTATTTTTAGATCATTTTTTAAAGGCGACGAGGTCATTCCAATTAATAAAATTGATTTTGTCTCACCAGTCGATCCATTGTTTCTTATTCTACCATATTTAATCAAAGTAAGTATTACGCAAATTTTTCACTGTATAAAATAGCATGTCTCAAGTTTTGATACACTACTTTTATTCTAATTTCTACCAAATAATATAATAATTATAAATAGGCTTCGACACATCCTTGCAACTTAAACTATTAAGAGGACATCACACGCCCTTTATTTTCTTCAAAAAACCCGCATTGCGCGGCATAATTTTACAAAGACTGTAATCAAAACTAAGAAACCAAATTTTCACATAATATAGACAACAACATTGTATTTGCTCTACCATGGCCCTTTTTTTAATATTTCAACCAGTTAATGAATAGTTCATTAATTAAGAAAGGACTTTTTTAAAAATAATATAGTATCGGTTGTATTAAGTATATCAAAAAAATACGGATGCTGGAGCACAGATAATTTGATAGTCTGACATAAAAAATGGCAATCAACAAAGTATCCTCATTACTGTATTAATAATTAAGTATATATTATAGTTCAAACTCTAAATTAAGATTTTTTGAAAAATTGCCTACTCATTACTCCAAAGAAATGGTTGGTGGGGCGTCCTCTTAAGTACAAGTAAACAATATTTAGATAATATACATTTTACAAGATTTAAAATAATGTTATTTGCGATTTTTTAGGACAATTTATTAGTATTTATATAATAACTGAGTTCTATGAATATTTGTTGTTCTCTTAGTCATCTTCGATGTTTAGTCCATTGGATCAAATCTTAATAGATGAAGAACTTCCGGAACTAAATACTTTATTAATGAACCTATCTAAAATAGCCAATGTCAAAAGCATTATCAATAAAAAAGGTATCTAATTAACTAAATTTAAAATTTACTATAGATGTATGATTTCTTTTGATTGAAAAAATGAACATGTAAATACTAAAATTTATATAGTAATTTTTCATTATAATTATGGCGTCTTTGGTTTTTTTTTTTTTACATTATTTAGAATGTGGAGACTTAGAGCTGTGGCAATTAAATGAAAATAACATGATGAAATTGCTAAACAACAAGGTGGAAAAAGTAGCAAAAGTGTTGATCGATAAACAAATTAATGTCAATCCTAATGCTGCAGTTTCAACAACATTTAAATTAAGTGTAAATTTGCAAGCTACCGAAGGTATTATTTTATTTGTATAATGCAAATTAAATCTCAAGTTTACTTAAAACTAAAAATATTTTAAAACTAATTTATAATTTTTTTTTTTTTCATATATAGAACAGTATAAAAGATATGCATTCAGTATAGTTTCTGAGTATTTACCTGTTAGTGTTCAAACGGCATTATTAGGTTATCTTGGCTTACCAGAAAAAGTAGAAAATAACAAACGAAAAGCTGATGATAGTAAAACTGCAGAGAACAAAAAAGTCAAGCATAGTGAACCCGAGTATAGTGAAAAAACTTATAAAGTTGAAAAAGTAAATTAGTCATCTATAGAATTAACAAAAACATAATACTTAATTTATATTTATTTTGTTCTATTGGTTTTAGGTTGTTACACCTAAGCAAACAGCAAAAGACAAAGCACTCCAAAAAGCTGCTTCAGGTACTAAAAGTATATCATCATTTTTCACAAAAAAATGATAAACTAAATAAAGTTTTTATAAATTTAATGATTTTTATTATTTATTTATAATTTTCCTTGACATGATGTTAAGAGTATTACAAATTTTATGTTTTTAAAAATCTATAATTATTAAAATTAAAAAAAATAGTCTTTTATTTATAATTCTTTTATTTTATTTTGACACTAAGTAACCTATAGTAGGAACTCGTAGTATATTTAAATAACTCTGAAAAAACTTTGTTCTTAACAATCTAAACACTATGTAGGGTATAAAAAATTTTATTTTATAGTTTTAGAACACTAGTATGAACTAGAAAAGTTATATAGTTGAATAATTATTCTTACATTAAGAAGGCGTTATACCATTTTTTGATTTTATAGACTATTGCTTTGAGCAAGTTTAGTATCAAGGAGTCAATTTTACAAGCGAGGAGCTAGTAATATCTATTTGCTACAAGTTTACTCAACACTCACTTCACTTGAAGATTAATGACTGTTCTGCTATTCTTGATATTGGCTAGATATTTTATTAGCATCTAGTAAAATTGCTGATTGTAATATTTTTCCAACATAAGGTTTTGAAAGTGGGTAATAGTCTAATAGACATTTGTTAAGACAGTTGGAACATGCTTACTCACCAGCGAGAAGCTAGCAAATTCGCAGTGTAAAAAATGGGTCTGATTTTATAGTATTTTTAGTGATAGTTTAGCTTTAATAAAATAGTACACCTGTTGGGAAGGAGACATTGGTGAAACTAGAAGGGGAGAGGTTAAAGAAGTTCAGACAGTTTGATAAAAATTAAAAACTGTATTTCGGAGCTATGCCTGATTAGATGTTTACGTTTCTTAAGAGCCTGAAGAAGCTTTAAAAAATTTGAACTTCAAGCCACTCCCACTAGAATGGGGGGGGGGGCATTCTAGTTGCAACAATGTTGGGAATTTACCAATTCAGAAGTTACAGCTAATTAATCAAAGCGAGTTTAGAAGTTAGTATATCACTAATTTAAAAGTATTATAATTACATTTTATAAAAAAAATATATTATTCTTATTTATTATACTTAACTTAAAATTATAATAATGTGTATTAATTAATAAACTTATATAAACTGAAGTTCTTATCAAATTATCGCAAATGTATTTTAAACTAAGCAATTTCAGCAATTACTCTGATTTCATCGTTTTCTTTTGCTTGTGGTACGTGTCTGATTTTGACTACATGGATCTTTTTATTTGACACACAAATGGAATAATGATAATTTTGATACAATACTGAAAAACCAAAACTACACTTTAAATAAAACGTATAAGATTAGCTGACAACATTTGTTACATACTTGACATATTTTGATATTGATCATCTGAAGAGTTCAAGCTTTTACTCATGCCAATCGATTTTGCTATAATATCGGCTACTTGTTCATTATTTTCCAAGTCTCCGCCTGACTAAAAAAATAAAAAAAAATTTTAATTGTATATTTATATTTTAAGTATGGTTTAAAACAACTAACTATATTTTTACATAAGAAACTAGTCTAAATTTTAAAATAAGGAGTCTACTACAGACTAGTCAATAGGATTTTACAATTAAAACATTACTAATAATATTTTTATGTACTGTTCAATAACAAGTATTTTAACCAATAAAATCTGTAGTAGGTAGATTAATAAGTAACGGAGCACAAATGTCAAAGAAATTTATTGGTAGAAATAACATCCCTCGACCTTCCGGTGATTGTAGCAGATATAAATATATCAAAATAATATTTCCTATAGGTAGTTACTTTACTCGTGGAACCAATAATAAATAATTAGCAAAACAATATGGCATATTATATTAGGTGATTCTTACTGATATAACAGCTCCATCCATAGTTAAAATCAAGTAGCCCATTTGCTCTGGTATTCTTTCCATTTTTTGCTAATATATTTTTGCAAGTCTAAAATATAAATTTGTAATAACGATGGATATCGGAATTGACAATTATGGCAGCTTACAGGTGTGAGTTAATTTATGTAAATACTCGAATAGAATACAAAATTTGTTTTGATAAGCACCAACTTTTAAGATTTATCTTGAATTTTGATAAGCACAGGGATAGATAACAGTGTTGTTATCTTTTTATCTCGAGGTTGATAAGTGATAACAATATAAACACCACAGAAGATACAAAATTAATTGCTAATTTGTCAAACGTGAAACATCAAATGTCTATAAACTTAGGTACTATCCTAAGTTCTATGATAACATTTTTCTAGAGCCTATGCTATTCTATTGTAAAATGCGACGTTTTATTATGAGACATTATCGCAGACACCAAAACAATCATCACCATCCACCAGTCACTCATTGACTCATTTAGTGTTAAATAAAAATGACAATCAAAAACCGATAAAATAAAATAATCTAACAGCTGATATATTATATTGGATTAAAGAAATAAAAATAAATACACACTACAATTAATATTTACAAACAAAATATTATTAGTTGGTGCAATACATTAGTATAAAGCAAAATAATTTTATACACATTTCTTGCTCGATTATCTAAAGCTGTCTTCGGATGTCCACCCGCCGCTGTCGTATTTATCTACCTAAAAGACATTTTATTTTAACAATAAATAGTTTCGAGCTACCTTAGCTCTCCACACTAATAGAACAACTACAGAGTAACACATAATTTATCCTAAATAAGGGGCAAAATTTAACAAATTCTAAACCAATTTTCATAAGAGATTACTGTCCATTTTGTCGTAAAGAATTTGTTTTATATAATGTATTTTGAAGAGTTTTAAGAGCATATTATTATTTTGTCGTGGGACTGTAAGTGAAACTAATAATACTTGAGACTATGCAAAACATAAGGTCATATAAAAAAAGAGAATATTATTGATACTATTTGTATTATATTCATATTCGTTAATTTGTTCATTATCCTTTTTCTCATTGATTTTCTTTCCTATTTTTTAAAAATACATTTATCTATCCAACTGATTGGCCAATTAACTGTAAGGTATTTTTGTAGGATATTAACAACTGTAATTAAATAAGAAAAAAGTTGCACTGAAGATAATTAAAAATACGAACTCCTTGTGTTACTTATTGAAATATATGATATAATACTTGGCTCAAATGGTCCGAAGAAGAATCCAGGAATGATACCCGTCTACGATTCCGGATGTATGTTCGTTGCTTTTCTAATTTTCGTCTAATTCCATCTCGCCAAGTCTGCTGAAGTTTAACGAATCGTTAGTCTTCGAAAACGCATAACTATTACTGTTGTCTTCAATCGGTAACTCGAAACTGTCGGTCAACTGTGCCGACGATACTTCTGAGAAAAACCATTCCACATTTAACTACTAATGTGACCAATTTGACGTAAGCAGTTAGAATGTAAGACACTCGTTTCTTCTTAAAATAATTGCAATTTTTTAATTTTTCTATTTTTACCTTTCACTTTACACCACCAACTATCTACAAAACGAACCCATCAACAGTATGATGAAACTTTAAACTAGCTAATAAGGACCCTCTATTCTCGTACGTGTAATACTTATTGTAAATAATTCATTTTAATACTATATTGTACTAATTAAGTTGCCAATTATTATATTTTTAATAGTTTTATGTTATTTTTCAACATTAGACAATATTTAAATTTGTATCTTTTTTATTTTTCCAAGAGTTCTATGCACTTTTGAAACCTAAAAGGTAACGTATATATTTAAATACCGTTTTAAATTAAGAATACATTTTCCGAAAATGTAGACTGGTCGATAACCAGTTTTGGATAATTTTTTATCCATTATTTATTTAAGATAAAGTCTAGTTTGGGAAGTTGGGTGTGGTAGTGCAAAAAACTGATTCGCGGGAAATGAACTTTAAAGTTAGTATAAGCAAGCTCTAAAGTGTACAAATTGTCTAAAAAGTGCAAAAACTTGCACTTACAACATCCAGAGCGACTTTTTGGACCCATCCACATGTTCTCCACGTCCCAGAGGACAAAAATAAAATTAAAAAAAATCGGAATTGCAATGATCTCCCGAGAAAATGTGTGTCTTACGTTAAATTGAACACTCCTTATAAATAGTGTTGAGAAGTTTGCGTTGATTATTATTTACCCGGTGCTTTGGACGAAATCAAAACAGGTTTGAAAACAAAATCTTCGTTGACGGAACTCGGCGCCGAAAAAAAATTACTATTATAATTTGTCGTTTTATCATTCACTTCCGTAGTCACAGGTCTTGGTTGTTTTCTCGGAGAGGAACGTCGTCTGAAAAATATGTAAGCAATATTCGAAGTTCAAGTAATTTGGTCAGCATCAAAAAGGCTAACAAACAACACTCTAGGCTTACGAATTTACAATGGTCTCCCGGAGTCGTTTATACAACTCGACAGTGTAATCTGAGAAAACAAAACAGGCAATAAGTAATATTAAACTATTAGTAGTGCAGGAAAACAATGTTGAAAAATACCGTCTTTTGGAGATATCTTATCGTGTGCACTAATCACGTCTTCGCAAATTGAATCGACAAATTCCACGTACATGTTGCACATTTCATCGAACTCGGGATATTTTTTGGCCACTGTTCCATAACATTTTTGCGGTTCTTGATCCGTTAATAATGTGCTTTTTAAAGCTTGTATTTGGTTCTTAAGAACATTGGACGTTATTTTTTCTGGCAAATTTCTAGAATCGCGGTTACTTGGATTTCTAAAACAAAATTTAGATTTGTATATTTTAATGACGTCCGTCGTGTAAAAATGTATTAAATGCAAGTTATCATCAAGTGGAAAACTATTTACATTTATACACACATGTATGTATACACATATAAACACACACCATACAATTTCTCTACTCAATAGTTACAAAAAAAATAAACTTTCACATGAACAATAGCTAATGCCAGTTCCTCTGAATTGAGTAGTATAATAAATTATGTATCCAGTTTATTAAAAAACAATTTACAGAAATAGACGTCAGCTCGATAGCCTGCTTGGTATTTGAAGTTGTAAACCATGAGAATAATACAAGTATCTGCTCCCAATCTATGCATTTATCAATTATTATAACAGCCAATTAACTAACGGTGAACTATTCAATAAAAATTAGTTTTCTACGTACCATAAATCTAGTAATATTATACTCGAATCCCTTTTAGTCAAGCATTTTATATTAATTTTTAAAAAATATACATAATACATATTTATTAAACATACAAATATATTAAAATTTATCACTCGGTAACATGAAAGTAGTCGTTACTACTTACTTGTTACAAAAGGCTAATAAACCACCAATTACATTCGGATAGGATTCTACGTCGTTTTTTTTATTGCCATTGTTATTATTATTGGTTAACTCGACTTTTTCTATTGGAGATCTAGAAGGGTTATGAAAAAAATTAATTTATAACACTAATTATTTATACAAATATATATTTTTTATCGTGGTAGGGAGTAGGTATTTTAAATTTTTACGTCATCCCCCTTAATTAAGCACAAATTGTGTGAGGGGGCGGTGGTTTAAGTACCAGCCTTAACTCACATTACAGTATTTCTAATCAACCAGCGCCTGCTTGTAGGTGTAGATGCAACATTCGGTGCGTCAAACTTCACTCGAGTTTCGGGCGACTTCGATTTTACAGTAGAAATAATGTTTTCTATGTTTTGAACGGCTTTTGCTTTGTAAACTGGATCTAAATTTTCTGAAAGGTACACAAATTATACAAACAAAATTTGTACGTGCTTGCATGTAAAGTTAAAGCAAATGTTCTAACTTCGTTCGCAAATATTTGTTCGGATGCCATACGGAAACAATCCTCTTCTTCCCTGAGTAACAATTATTGTGAGAAAACGTTTCTATATAGTAAAAAAGTGTTTCTGTAGTTGGAAAATAAATAAAAAATCTTACAATAAGACGTTTGTTAACGACATGATGTGACGAATGAATTTCATTGTACCGTTCAATATTCAACTGTGCTTAGAGGAAAACTCATTTTAATAATGCGATAGTTGTGACTCATGTGTAGGTACTTACTAGTAGTTCCGATTTTCTTGATGGCTTATAATCCCCAGTACTACAGTCAATTGAAGACTGTTCAAAATGCTCATGCTAATCATACATCATTTTAAAAACCGCAAAATAAAATACATAATAAAATGGTATAATACATAAAACAGAGAAAAATTACGATAACTATAAAAATATGTTTTAGTATTTTGTCAAACTATGTTTGTTAATTTAACATGTTTATCTAATACGTATAAAAGTGTAAAAATTTAATCATAATTTTAAAATATCATTATTGGCGGCTTGGAGTGAAGTTTCTCAATCAATTTTTTCGTTCAAGCTTTAAGCATAAGCGAAAAAAATTAACTTTTTAAAATCTATCTAACTACACTAGTTACAGTGATTTTGCAATAATAAATTTCTTTATTGGATGAACTCTCACAAATTCATTACTTTGAGTTCTAATTTTGTACTGTAATACAATAAATACAGCAAAGGATAACGAAAAGTCAAATTGTATTCAAATTAAAACTAAAACGCGAAGTCACTTTTCATAGAAGTTGCAAGGCCGGGTTTTTTATTTTTATTTTTAAATTAAATTTTACAAGTTTATATTTTAACTTTTTTACACTTTATCTAATAAAACCAACAAATTTTCTAACAACTCAATCAAATATTGCCTATGTTTTGCCCCTTAATAAATACCCCAGTCCTCATTCATATTTTTGGGGGCGTAGGTTTTTTCTAAAATGTGTCCGTGTATGCTTTATTTTTGTATATTTTTTTATGCCTACCATTTCTTCGATATATTAAATATATCGATAAAAAATGTTCTCAGTTATCTTTTATAACTTTCACTCTTATAAGAATTTTTTATAATAAATTAAGGTAATAGTTAAAACTTATTTAACAAATTAAACTAATTTTTAATCAGTTAAATCATAATTGACCTAGCTTAATGAGTTACAAATTTCTTTTATTTTTATAAGATATTTTTCGGCCGCTGATATTAGATTTTTGAAGTATTCATTTTTTAAATGGGAGTGGACGATATGCTACACTAGAATAAATATAGTTTAGGTGCCACTAGAAATAAACGAAACATTAGACACGGAAGAGAGAGACAGAGATAGTTTGGGAAAATTGATATTTTAAAGATCGTAAAGATCGTAAATTATCGTAAAGATAATTTTATTCTTCAATATTAAAATAAACACTTACTCTTTTATTAAATTCTTTTTTTTCGTGTCTTTTTAACAATTTGTTTGTAAAATATTTGCTCTCGACTTCGTTTTTTGTACTTAGAATGTATTTACTTCGTATAGGCCACATGTTTAGTACAGTAGATAATCTTGTACGACCTATTAACAATTATAAACCTTTAATATTTTAGCTTCTAATTTAACTAGCATCTACAGTTTTCCTGTACTAAGTGTAATCATTGAGTTAAAGATATTATTTTTTACAGATTTAGCGCCATCAGTGGTTCGGTTCCCATACTATTGAATTTTTTGTTTCCATTTATGAGCCATGGTTACCTTTTAACCATGACCACGGTTATAGATAATATCTCTAATCATGTTCAATACAAAGAAATACATGATAAGAGATAACAAATGTCAAATATTTGATAATTTTAAAAATGTTTTAAAAACCGAAAAGTGAACACTGAGGACATTTTGTTAAGTTTAATTATTTCTTGCATTCTAGATATTTCTTTAACATTTGAAGTTTAGACGAACTCGGTTGTAATGGACCAAGAAACTGCTATGCGCTTACTGTTAAAAGGCGCAACTGCTTTTTTCTTAGATGTCCCATCCGGTATGGAATTTGGCATCGATATGATGTCCTGGGCGACTGGTGACAAATTTAAAGGCATTAAAATGATCCCTCAAGGAATACATTTTATTTATTATAGGTAAGCCACGTTTTTTTTTTAATTTGTCATTAAAAGTAATTATTTTGCAATTATATTAGTATTTACCTATTCTTATATTTACATTTAATTATTTTATTTCTTTACTATAATAACCTCAAGTGTTACTTAAGTTTTTTCTAGTTTGCAAAATTTTCTTTAAAAAATGGATAGATGTTTTTATATTAGTCATGAGTTACTAAGTGTGAAAACTTATGCATAAAAAAACCAAATTGGGTACGATTTAGCGTGAGATATTCTAAATGTATGTGCCACGCTTTTAATAATTTATAGAATATACTTGACTAAGTTATATAGCCAGACCAACATTTTAAAGCTTGAGTTTTCATCTTCTGGTTATTTATTTGTAATTTTAGAAGTACTGATATTTAAAAAAAATCAATGTGTCATGTGTTATCAAACTAAATGTATGTTTTGTTTTTAAAGTTCTCATAAAGTATAAAATCAACGTAAAATTAGGCCACTACTTTTTATTTATTTTGTTTTGCTATATTTTTTCTTATAGTTATGAAATTGAAAATTACCTATTTTAGTGACACCCCATGTCTCTATGTTGATATCAAGAGTGATTTACTATAAATATGTACTGACAAAAATGAAATAATAACTTTATCTTTTAATCGTAGTGCAACAGATAAGTATGGTAATACAGCTCCACGATGCGGCTTTTTTCATAATTTCAAAAAAAGTGAATGTCTTGTAAGAAAATGGGATCCAGACAAAGAAGAACTGTTAAATGTACCCAGAGAAGAAATCGCACAATATAAAACAAATATATTGAATTTGGATCAGTTTTTAGCACCATATCCGTTTGAAGAACAAACCAAATGGAACGGCTTATCGTCGTTACTAACGGGTACTTATAGAATGGTAGAGATGCATTCTCTTTTTTTTTTTATTTATGTAGTTACTTTTCCTAAACTTAAATGGTTTTTTTTATAACTATGTATTTATTTTAATTTTAATAAATATTCTAATGCAAAATAGTTATTAATTTAGAACCTTAAAGAGTTAAATTTTTTATAACTTTATAGTATTGATTAGCCACCGCTACATATAATTTAATGATTTATAAACGTTTTCACTAATTAACAGTTATTTATTTTACTTTGTTAGAAAATGTAATAACTACACTTTGTCCGGAAACAACAATAATCAGGTCGGCAATGGAGTTGTTTCCAGCATCTAAAACAGAAAATGTTAAAAGAAGAAGAAAATGGGGACCTATAAGAACTGATGATGATGTAGGATACGATCATCTACCAAATTTAGTACCTAAAGCTGAGAGTCAATTTAGGTATTATAATTTTTTTTATTAATTGGTGATAAAATATTTTTCATAAAGTGTTTACTATTTTATAGATTTACCGAACCGCCAGAATGTCATTATCCCCCCGGTTCATCGCTTTCTCAAATAACTAAACATTCTCTTGATTCTTCTTACATCCTTGAAAAAATGGCCGAAAAACATCACAAGTATATTATTTTTATCGGTATTTTGAAACATTTATATTTTATGTTATTGCTTTTTCTTTCAGTGTAATTGATTTGCTAGCAGAACTTCAGTTTTGCTATATTTGTTTCCTCGTTGGTCTCAATTATGAATCATTTGAAAGATGGAAAAAGTTATTTCAACTATACTGCATGGGCAAAGATGCAGTTGCTCAGAATCAAGGTCTTTATGTAAAATTTCTTTTAGCCGTTCGACAACAGCTAGATACCGTTCCTGAGGATTTCTTAGTTGATATTGTTGAAAACAATAATGTCATTTATAATGGCCTTAAAGAATTGTTTAGAACTTTGGAATCTGGTGATTTTGTGCTTGGAGACGATCTTAAAGATGTTACAGTTCAATTAAGAAGATTCTTACAACAAAAGTTTGGATGGGAGTTTAATGGATTAGATGAAGATGATGATGATGAAGCCCCTGTAATTATAAACTTTGATGAAAATTAATTCAAATATTTGTGTATAGTACTAAAAGTGAGTATTTATATATAAATTGTTTGATTTATTTGTCAATATGTAAGATAACATTTTTACTGTTTTAACATTAATATTAATGTGTTTTAGTTTATAATGTTCATGAATAAAATTGAAAAATAATGTAAACACTTTTATATTTATTTATTTTTTGTTAAAATTAAAGAAAATAATATGTAAATTAAAACTACCCTAATGAGTTTTGTTATAATTATTTTTTAAAAACGTTTTATCAAAAATATTTTTAACATTTTATTGTTAGCTATTAGGTAGTACTAAGTAACTACTTAGTACTAGGTAACTACTAAGTAGTCTAAAAATTAAAATTACTCAGCCAACTAAGTGGTTTTATTTTACAACTAGGTAGTTGCTTTGTTCGACAACTTGAACTTGACAACAAAAATTGATTTAAATGAACACATATGCTGTCGTATGGCATAAATAGAAGCAGTAGCGCACATTAATATTTTTTTTTTATGATTTTTATATGTAATCAAAATTATACATATTTTGACAACTGAGTAAAAAAGAAAAACGTCATTTAAAACACCATAGTGAAAAAACAAAATAGAAAGGCAAGATCATATAAAATAAGTTTGTGAAGAATAAAAGAATAAAAAAAGTTGTTTGAAATTTTTAATGTCTGAAACGGAACCTAGAACAAATTACGTTAAATTTGCCTACCTTTTGCCCCTTAATAATTAGCTGGTTCCGTTCCCCACAGATAAATAATTTTTTCAAGTATTGCTTATATTATGTTTCCCCTTTGTAAAAACGGTGTGCAAAACTCTTATTAGCTCTTACAAAATTTAAATCGTAAAATTAAAGACTGGATTCGGATTCAGCCAGAGAAATCGTAAGACGATTTCTTAAGAAGACGTCGCACAATATTTTTTAAGCTGTTCTATTTCGTTTGTAGTTGTCTGCTGACGTATCACATAGGTTTTAAATTTTGAAAAAATAGAAAATAATATTATACACCGTGTGCCGTCAGTTTTTGTTGAATTTCTATAACAGGTTAATTTTTATTAATTATTTAAAATTCACTTTATTCATTTTTAACTTTTTTTTTAAATTTTCATGTAATACATCTTGTCTGATAATGAAAAATACAAAAACTGTTCGTGACCATAGTCAACCCATTACATGCATAAATTATTTAAATATTCGTAGCCGACTGAGAAATGCACAATTACTGGACCAATAGAATATTTATTTTTTTTAAACGAATCTTCCTTCCCATGAGTCATCCATTGAATTAGTCGTAATAATAGTGTAAATTTTGAATTTTAATTAGTTCTATGTTTTAACTTAGCTCCTATCTTAGCGTTTGATTTCATATTAGTTTTAAATCATATATATTTGTTAAGTCTACTACAGACCACTGTGTTGGATATGGTGTTACATATGTATCGTTATTGTTTTCACACGAAGAAAATAAACCAATAACAATAATGTCGTGTTAGCAACCACAAAATTACAATCGATACCACCAAGGACAAGTACAGCGGCTATTCTAAAACTAATATTTATTCAAATAAAATTTTGACAGTTGAAATTTCCGAGCACCTCAAAATTCTAACGTATGGGTAAGAGTTCAATATCGGATTTGAACGAAAAATAATCAATACCAACAATAAACCGTGTATACTTAAGTGACCAGTATCGAAACCCCATGCTGATCCCTAACAGTCCTATAGTTATAATATATAAACGCCATTAAGCAGTACGTTTTTCAATTAGTCAAATCGCGTTGTGCGATGGTGGATTTACTAAATTTAGTTCGTGATTAAAATAAAAACGTAAAAAAGTTTAACTAATCAACCGAAAACATAATATTTATTTAGGTACTGCCGGCGGTTTCCCTACTATACATACGCCTTCACGCGGTCCTCTTGCCGCACGTCGCCCGCGAAGTGCTTGCCTCGTACCATCGGTGTCGGCCGAACGTTCGAGCGATCAGTCCTACCGTGTCCGGTTCGATGGTTGCACGTGACGCTCTTCGAATGATGATAGAAACGCGCGCCATAAACCGTAATTAGTATAAAATATAATACTTAAAGTATAGTTAAAAAAAAAAAATAATAATAATAATATTCGTTTTAATAAATAATTTATTGTTCGTGTCCCGAAAACGTAAAACCGTGTTTTATCGATCGTAAGCGATTTATTGTTTTGTGTTGATTTTATAATATTATTATCCATTTCGTTTTTGGTGCGATCACAGAAATACGCGCGAAAATTACCATGTGGATTACCGTAGATATGCCGGATACCCGAGAGACAAAGGTGAGCCTATACAATATTATATTTATTTCTACTGTAAAAGTTAAAACCGAACAATTTTCATTGACGGAAATTCATTGAAAATACAAAGGGGGTTGAAAAAAATCGGTCCGTACACTGAATTAATTCTTCTTCTCTTTGTTGATAGACCTCCAACAGGACAATCCCATCGCACACCCAACCCTCCCATCCTTCTCTATCTCAAGCATTTTCTTTCAAATTTCGACCTCTACCAAGTAACTCTACCTCCTTTTTTATTTATTTTTTGCCATCTCGTTTTGAACCTTCCCAGAGGTGTTTTTCCACACGAATTCTCCTTCATTGCCGCTCATATTAACTTATTTTGGCTTCTCCAAGACGTCCCTTCCATTGTAATCTTCTCTTGTAACGTCTGCTATACGTTTTGTACTTTGGAATAAATCCTGAGCTCTGCATTTTTGCCTCGGTTGCTCCGAAAATTGTCCACGGGTATTTTCTATCTATACTTTGTTCCAAAACCGAATAACCAACACAGAAACTAAAATGCGACGGCTCAGCAGAAATTAATGCGTTTTGTTTCTGTGCTGGTTATTATCTTTTGGAACAAACTATAGTATTAACAATTTTGTCTGGTCTATTTTTCTTAGTGGCCAAGTTTCCGCTCCGTACAGGATTCTGGACGGATCAAAGTATCGTATAATTGGCTTTTTAAATCTCGATAATGATCGTGGTCCTTATATTTTTGCCATCCCATAGTAACACTTATTGCCTGTCTGTATTCTAGCCATAATTTAAATTACCATGCTATAACTACAGATTTTTTTTAGGCCGGTGTTCAAATATTTTAGATCTAAGCCACCACGTACACTCTCTTTCCGAAATGTCCGCCTGTGATAATTTTTTTCATATGCCGTACAATTAAAATTTAACTTTCGTCAGAATGCACAATGTGCATTATCGACTAGTACGCCCATTTACTAATAATAACTCTAACGGCACCGGATTCAATCCCCTGAAAATCCCTATTTCCGTACCAAACAAAGCCAAGTATCTAGCGGATAACATGTGAGACCGTGTCATATTCTATGGCCGTCATCATTTGAGATGATCTCGATTTATTACATAAGAATAATATTTAAGTCGGGATATAAGGAATAGTATCGGCTAACCTTTCAAGCATCGTCACAACCACCATAGAAATGTTTAATTTTTGGATACAAATTATACAAATATTATACCTAGGACTTACTTTACTAAAACGGGTTAGTGATTTTTTGTCTAGTGTTGTCGGAGGTAGGTGTCACAACTTACCGAGACGCTTTTAAATCTAAAACGGTCCGTCTCACACCCTAAACGTGCCCGTCTAATATTAAACTAGATTTTCAGAACAAAGCCTGTAAATTACATGTGTGAGTTTACATTGTATATACAGGATCAGGATGTACCATGAAGAATTTTAATGGTATAATATTTTATGGTATCATAATTACTCCAAACACATGCGTTAAATGTGTATTATGTTGTGTTTATATATAATGTATATATATCGGGTCATAATAATAATATATGTTATTATAATTATATTATACACAATTAAACATTCGAATTTGTGCTTCATATTTTAATAAAATATTTTAAATATAATATGTATTTACGCATATAAAATGCATAAAGAGCTCCTGCAATGAAATCTCTCAGGGGGGTCTATTATTTTATCATTAATCTTTTAGTCTAATGATCATGTTATACCGTGCTAAAAGGACAGAGTTCATTTTCCAATTATAATTTGAGCAAATATCAGCATCCCCGCTAGGCTTAATAAAACAAAATACTGTCAATTTTAATCTTATCCTATAAGGCATAAGCTATAGGCTAATTCATTTTAGAATAAAATCTTTTGATTATTATTAAAATTAGACAAACATCTAGAAAGTGTTAAAATGATAAAAACAGTTAAAACAATAAACATATAAATGTATATTATACTCTAACAATTTGTAATAAACATATAGATTTTTGACACTTGTCTTTTTGTATGGCAGAATATTTGTGAACAAATGTCAATAGTTATCGGATTGGATTGCTTGAGCTCAAATTCTGAAATCTACCCTCGTCGTCGCAATGGGGAAACATTTTTTTAGTTAATTTAATGATTATTGTTTATAAGCATGAATATAAGGAAAATTGTTTTGTTAGTAAGTGCTGTGATATTTGTTGTTACAATTTAAGCGATGAGTACCTAAAGCATGTTTGCTCATAAAATATTTGTCGACGAGATCTTTTTCTATCTACCGTAGATGACGTATAACTTTTCTTACATTTTTGTGGTAGAATAGATATATTGACGAAAAATAATAACCATCGCCCGTAAGAACACATTGAAAATATAATTTTGTATAATGTTGTAAAAGTTACATGAACCTTTTTGGTCCGTCCACTGTAATTTTCACATTTCTTCGCACTGAATGGAAATGTTAATACGGGTTCGTAAGATATATAATATATATATATATATAGTGTATATATATACGGGAAATCTATAGTTATCGATTATTTCTTAAAATGATTTAGGGGATTAAATTATTTTTGAATGACTCAAGCTACCTAGTTTCTACTTTGTATTATATTATGCGTTGTCATTAGGTATCGATCTCCGTATAGATACAATAGTTGGGATATCAATTACAAATAACTGGGGCTTATTGTTTTTTTGTTATACAATTGGTGTTTACCATCACGACCAAGTCTCGTTGTTCGTTGTCGTGAAGCCGCACAGTTCGAGGGGCTGTGGCTTTTTTGACCCGAACGACTTGCGGTCGCGTGGGCGTTACTTACGCACAAAGACAAACATGTGCAATCGAAAAGTCTGTAGCGAAGCTGTAATAATTTCAGTATTGTTATTTTTTTTATTATGTATATCACTACTACCAACTCGCCGATCACATTGCAACGATCTATATTTTCGATCCTTACCACCCGTCTCTCTCTCTCTTGTGTATGTTTATAGGTATATGTCATCGTACACAAATAAAGCACAACACCGAAGGAATGGTGTGTGTTCTCAAATCCGGATCGAGGTCACACGACTTGCACCGCTCGTTTTTTTTTATGTATTTCTTTTTTGACGGTTGTGTGCGACGCGTTTGTGTGCTGTTGTTCCCCTCTCTATCTCTCTCTCACTCTATGAGTGTCTCCACAAGACTGTGGTCCGGTCTGTTCGACTGAGGCGGTAGGTATAGTGGGCGATTTTTTTTTAAACATGGTTTTAGGGCCGACCTAGAATCGGAGGCGATACGTGACCGGACCAAAAAAAAACAACAAAATAAAATGTTATTGTGCCGGTAAAAATTGAATGGTAAAAAATAACTGGTCGAGAAAAAACGCAATTTTTCGAACGTCGTGTGTTTCATGACCGTAATAATAAATAATAATAAAAATAATGAAATAATAATAGTATTAATGCTCTTTTGTCGAATCTAGCAAGTATAATCGCAACGATATTTCAACTGGTTTCAACCGAGTACGTTCGTCTTTCTTCTACATTTTTTCTCTTAACTCTTTCTTACTGTAATATAATAAATGAGTATATATAGGTATACGAGGTTATCCGATTTATGTATACATAAAATATAATAGGTAAATATTACTATACAGACAGACCGCGATAGCCACAACCGTTTCCGACAATCGACACTATTCCTATTTGATTTATTTCCCAGTTTTCTCGTTAAAAAACATATAATTAGTGGACCATTAAAATAATTTGATTCCAATCATTTTATCGCAATTCGTTCACGTTAAATTATAACTAAAAAATGTATTTTATTAATTAAACAACAATGTGCATATAATATAATGTTTTTATATGATATGCACGCACAAAATTCAACGACATAATAAGTGATTTTTTTAAATAAGTGTATCATAATTAATTACCATAGGGTTATTAAAAGTTCGGTGGCACCGAGAATTTTCATTTTCAACTTGTCGCGTACAGTGTACACACAACTCAAAATGGAGACCCACCAATACTAATACATTGCAGACCTAATCTAAAAAATTGAAAACAATAACGAGCTCGAGTATACATAATTATAATATATAAACAAATAGTTCTATTATTCATTTACAAGTTGATATTTAAAACTTTTCTCATCATTCATTTATTACTTCTCTTTAGTCAAAATACCTAATGTTTTTTTGTGTTGCATTGTTTATTGTGTGTATAGCATGTAGATAAACTGACGATGCATTCGTTAATGTTAATTAGTAGATGTCAATTCGGGTTAATGGAAAAAATTAGAAATATTATTGTTTAATATTATTTTTACCTTTGTTGCTAAGCCCATTTAACTATACGCCGTAATATAATGGCTTGAACAACTACTCATCGAAAAAATACACTATTGCTCCGTTAAGTGCTCTATTATTATTTATACAGTAAAAGCCTAAAAAGGTCATCGATTTTTGGGGAAACTTATTGTGTGTACCTAATTATGTTGCTATTAACATTTAAACCCGCCGGAAATACAATAATATTAGTGGCAATCGCCTACGCGGAAAGACCACGTCGATTATTTAATTCGCTATTTGGCATTTTGTGCTATTTTATTTTTCAAACCGTGCTGACATGCATGCTCGCCAATCATTAATAACATAATGTTTGCTCTATTATCTTTTTCGCTGGTATACATTAAGCTTTCTTTGCGCCGCAGTCGAACAACCTGTCCAACAGACACGAAACGTTTTAATTTTCGACTGTTACATTTTTAGCGGGGTTTTCGCCTGGATACTACACAGACAATATCGATAATAATACATTACCTAAGTAGGAGCAGCACAACAGTTGTAACGATAATAATTAATAATAATACAAATAGAAATGACGATTAAACGCATCAATTGCTATATGTTTGGCGGCTTGGATGGTTGTATCAGATATGATCGTTACTGATTTTTACGGAAATTATTGTATTTTCAACAAGTCCACTTGAATAATATCTGTTTGTATGTACAATTAAAAC